CGTGAAGATTCACCACGATGTAGCACAAGCTGTCATTTGCCGAACCGAACACTGAACTCATCACAAGAATGTCTTGGGCTTCTTTGAAGAAATCGCTTGTTGCCGACATACGGGTAGGACTTTTCGATCGGGATACCTTTTAACATAGAAGCGAAATCCACAGCAGCCCCGCGGGCCGCACGAGACGCGAAACTAGGTCCGCAAGCAGCCTCATTCCGGGATCGGCAGCGGCTATTACGTCATCCGTCAAACCACGTGATCACGCTCCTTCCGTTACATGCGCACAGAGAGCGGAGTGAAGCGATAGAAAGTCTACGGTTAATTGGTCCGCCGAGTCCGCACCTTCTGCAATGCTTTTAGCTTAGGGAGAGAGAGAAAACAGAAAAATTGAAAAGCAGAGCTCCTTCAAGGCCAGAACGGGGGTGCGATCACAAAGACTAATCCTCAGGGGCATACCAACAATGAACACAGCGAGAGAATGTGTCACTTATATCCTGTTGACAGTTCGAGCCAAGGTTGATAGTGCAGTGGATGCTATGTGTGGCCTTGGGATAACGCTGGACACGGCAGGTGCCGTGTCCAGCGTTATCACCAGCTTCGAGACAGTTGTCACGGGACACTAACCGGAGACATGATTGGCCTCAAACACGCATAGCGTCTACTCTGCTGTCACTACCGAGTGAACAGGACAGCTCCATGAAGGCCCCCCAGCTTTTGGACTTCTTTCTAAAGCTGCACTTCCCAGAAGTGACCCAAATGTTTGAAGATATCATATTTTACGCCTTTTAGCCCACATTCTAATTCAAAATGAATAATTAATGGCGAATACTTTCTCTTTGCGCAGGATGTCCACAAACAAATAAATAAATAAATATATATATATATATATATATTTTTTTTTTTTTTACCAAGCACTTTTGAATTATGTGTACACTGTTAGGTTCGCATTTCTAAACGTCAATTTTGGGAATCTTTGCATCGTTGTGGCATCTATGATTGTGTGGTTCAAGAAATTTGTGCCGTAATACGTTTTTCATCCGTGAGTTCAGTCTATGTCACTGCCATCAATTACAATCTCTGAGCACCATGATGACTCTTGGTGGGGATGTGTGCTCCAAGAAGCTCCAATGAGTTTAATGTCTCATAACTTAAAGAAAAAGAAGAAAAATTAGCCACAGCGCTTGCTGATTTGTTGAATTCGCAGAACAGAAAGATAATAGGACGCACCTAGGGTAGCGCGTGCCTAATGATATTAATTTTTTTTTCGGCTGTTATTTTTGTATATTTCGCCGTTCTCGACATGGGCGTTGACGGACATTGCACCGCTGCTTACGCCCCTGCCGGGGTAAGCTTTTTTGTTGTCACGACACTCTATCGCGCTATAGGCGCGTCGATTTAACGCTCATGAAGTCTCGAGAGAACTGTGAATTGTTTAGTCAGAGCAACGACGCAGCAATCGCGAAATGAAAGACGACTGCGTGGGACTCTCGAGCGTGGGACTCTCGAGCAGCGTTAACTTGCTGATGATGCAGGGCGATGCTTTGTCGTTGAGATTCTTTGTCCTGCGAACGCCGGCGAAAACGTTCCAGTGCTCGGCGTACCCTAGGCAGCAGCGCCTGTCAGCGACCGCCGGCGCAGCATCGCAACCTTTCTGGAGCCTACTGGCAGTCTGCGAGCGACGATGATTTATCGTCGCGACTTGAATGGAAGCGTTTTATGAACTCCTGCGGCGAACATGAAACACCGCGAACATGAACTCCCGCGACGGCGAACCGCCGGCGCTCGCAGACGGAGGGTTCCGATGCTGTGCGAACGGTTGTTGGAGGACGCTGCGTAGGGTATACGCCGGGCGCTGGAACGGCTTCGAAGCCATTCGAAGGGCAAAGGATTCGCGACGACCAAGTAGTGTCTTACATCTTCAGTAAGCTAACGGGGCTCGAGAGTGCTAAGCTTACATTTCCACAGAGCGAGCGCGGCCGGCCAGATCGAGGCGCAGTCAGCACTCGCGTCGCGATTGCTACGTCGTTGCTCTACCTACACCGATGACATGTAAACCGGCATTCAAAACCGCCCTCTCGAGACTTTATACGAGTCCAATAGAAGGCTTTATAGCGCGATAAACCGTCGTGACAAGAGTAAAGCTCACCTCTGTAGTGGCGTAAGCAGCGTTCTTGACGCCGCGTCGAGAACGACGAAATATACACAAAAAAAAAACATTAAATATATTTAACACAGCAGGCAGAAAGAAATACAAACATGGCAGGGACACGGACAACGTAGAAGGCGCGCTACGAAATACATATACTTACAAAATACACTGGAAACGACAGATAATTAGAGCTAAAAAACGGGAGATTGAGATGACGTCAACGCCGAAATAAGGCAATGCGCAGGGAAAGCAGCCGGCAAAACTGCAATAGTCCTATAGGCAGCTAAGGACGCTTTTGTGATCGCGGGCGTATAGCCTCGGCGACGTAACCTGGCTGAAGAAAATTCTCGCCCCGATCGAGCGCATGAATGACTCTCTTCCACCTTCGTACACCTCAGTAAAAAAAAAAAAAAAAAAAAAAGAGGGTCGCGGGCCTATAGCTTAAGCAAACCAGTGAGCCGACTAAAAAAATTGGATGGTCGCGAGTCTATAGCTCGCGAGACATACATCCCTCTATAGCCGGCTAAAGCACATTGTAAGGACGGAGGCTATAGCTTTGGTGACATAGAACACTTTTGAGTCGGCTAAAGAAAATTCAATGGTCGCGATTCTATAGATTTAGAGACATACACCACTCTATAGTCGGCTAAAGCACATTGAATGGTCGGAGGCCTATAGCTTTGGTGACATAAAGCGCTATAGAGACGGCTAAAGAAAGTTCGATGGTCGCGAGTCTATAGATTTAAGGACATACACCACTCTATAGCCGGCTAAAGAACATTGAGAGGTCAAAGGCCTATAGCTTTGGTGACATAAAACGCTATAGAGTAGGCTAAAGAAAATTCAATGGTCGCGATTCTATAGATTTAGGGACATACACCACTCTATAGCCGGCTAAAGCACATTCAATAGTCGCGAGTCTATAGCTGCGTAGTCATAAATTATTCTATAGCCAGGTATAGAAATCGGAATGGTCGAGATTCTAAAGCTTTGAAGACATACATTTTCCTATAGGTGGCTATAGCGTGTTTTATGGTTTCTAATGGCTGGCCATAGAGGGCCATAGAAGGTGATAGCTCACCATAGGATTTTCTATAGACGTCCATAGATCATTTTTGTATGGGAAATCTAGCGGAAAAATTTCTCTGGAGGGTCACGTGACCTCGGGGGGGGGGGGGGGGGGGGTCACGGGACCCCCCACGTGGACCAGTCACGTGACCCCCCCCCCCCCCCCGACGTCACGGCCCCCTCCCCTCCCCGAGAACACTTGACCCCTCATTACCCTTCCCTCCTCCTCCTCAAGAGTTGCGCTCTAATTCGGTGTTACAGGGAGTTGTAAACGGCTTTCACTTTTTTTCATACAAATTTACTAATTTCAAGGATTACATCGCAACCTGTTGAAGAGGTATCAGCGTGGTAAGACTTATAAGCTTCTGTGATGTATACGCATTTGAGTGGTCATGTAAATCTTTCGAATGCTCGCCTTCGGCTCACGCCAGGCAGCTCATGACAACAAAATGGACGAAATAACGTCAGTGAAAACACCCTATATGATCGCATCCATGTGAACCCAGCCCTAATCAACTACTTCCACAAAGCCCTGCATGCAACACGGCGCGCGTTGCACTCTGGGAACTAGTTGGCTAGGGGGGAGAGTGCCATGGTTTCCGTTTCGATCGACACGTCAATCGGACACAAAGCGTGGACTATAAACCGCCTTTATTTATGTTTTCTGGTCCCGAGAGCGTCATTTGTGGTCTCTCTAACTTAAATGGCCAGACCTCGAAGCTTTAGCACAAGCCCAAGACGTATAGCTTGTCTTAACGCATGCTTGTTGTATTTTTGTACTTGAGCATTTCTGTTAGCGTTTCGAGGTATGGTGGACTAGCCAGTGCTGGGAATCTCGACGCTGCAAAGCTCGGGGATCTTGCTTGAGTACGAATCAACAAGCTGTATACACCAGTAACTGGCATTAAGTATGCATACATCGAGCTCGCGACAACTTTTCTTGGCAATGCAGTGGAAGGTACAGTCCCGCGTCCCCTCTCCCATTTTGAGTGCGCGCGGGCTCTCCTCCTCTCCCCGGAAATGGGGGAGGACGAGAGCCTGCGTACACTCAAAATGGGAGAGGGGACGCGGGCCTGTACATTTGCCTGTACCTTCCACTGCATCGGTTTTGGAAGAAGTCTATTACGAAGAACCTGTTGAGTCTGGCTTGAATAAAGAGACCACGATTACGCTGGGTCTCGAACAGAGCTCAAAAGGGCTTCCCTGCCGTTCTTATCGTCTCGGTGACCGTAGTATTACAGTGTTGTAGTGTGGTGCTCAAGCAGACAAAAGGTTGATGCACGCGCGGAACCCGTGTTCCTGAGCTATCGCTTTTTTTTTTTTTTTTTTTATTTGGGAAGGGGGGGGGGGGGGGAGGAAACTTTGTAAGTATACTATTCTCCCATTCTTTCGTGTGCACCGGGGGTCCACCCATGTCAAATTGCCCTCCGAGAAGGAGGGAGGGGGAGGGGTCCACATTGTTTGGGGGGGGGGGGGGGGCGGCCTCCCCCGTCACCCCCCCCCCCCCCCCCCCTTCTTGGATCCGCCACTGCATGGAGCATGCTCGTGAAGGTAGCCTTGGCAGGCTTGCACTTTCACGTGCTTGTTCGCACGAGCAAGAACATGGGGGGGGGGGGGGGGGGGATGTTTCGTCTGCAATCGTTTTCTTTAGCGGGTTATACTTCTTGCCCCAATTTATGCGAATGAAATTTGACCGCTGCGATCGTTATGAAAGAGTTTTCGTTTCGTCGGCGTAAGTCATAACGGATATATTGTATTGACATCGCAAAAACGGGAGTTAGATATGACGTTCTTGATGTCTGCGCGAGGTAATAGTGCATTGTGCAATGATCTCATTGCGTAAGTTCATTTTTTTTATAACCGAGCCAGCGCGCGAGCTAGTCGCATTGAAATCCGGTGGCGCAATCGTGAAAAATTACTCTAAGTCGAGAGCCCAGCCGCAGTAGATCACGAATAATGGATATATTATACATGATGACTGAAACCTGAGACTGTGGTTTGAAAAACGGAATCTGACACGTTGTCTGTCCCTTTTGCTTCCTCCTTTACGAGTTTCCGTTTTTGAAACCACAGTCTCAGGTTTCAATCATCATGTAAACTTACACCAGCTCGCCTGCACTTTAACAGTTTTTTCATGGACATATTTTTTTGTTTTACTTAAAGTCTAGTTTCTCCAGTATCGTATCCGTCAGCAAACAAATGATGACACGAAACTCTGGACAGCGACCGCCATCTATGAGCGACGGCGGTAGCTGTCCAGCCTTTCCACTCTGGCCTGCCGACTTGCGGTTGTTCATTACTTCATTCCCACATAGTACAGCATCGCTGGTCTTTCTTCTTCACGAGAATGTAAAGGCTACCTTCTTTCTTTCTTTTTTTTTTTTTAGTTTATTGTTGGGCTTGTTTTGCCGTGGTTCCCGCAACAGTACACGGTGTCATCACGAGCTATAAAACCTAATCGAACAACAGAACCTTGCGTAATCTTTATGAGAGTTGCTTGTACGCAAGTAAAAGAAAGAAGACAGACGCATAAGAAAAGAAAGAAAAAAAAAAACATGCAAGCAGAATTATTCGTTATTTGCGTATCTTCTCGCGACCAACGTTCAACCGATCACAACATGCGCAGTTTAATAAAAACTTAAGAAACCCATCGAACAAAAAGAAAGAAAAAAAAAACACAAACTAAAAGTAAAGGCGACGAAAGCAAGTTGACAGAAACAAAACAAAAGCGTGTCGTCTTTTTGTTTTGTTTGCTTTTCGTCCGCTCGGGCTCTGACGGCGCCTCGACCAATAGAAATCGAGCACGCAAAACCCGCGAACGCCGGACAGGCCAAAAGGCTACAGCTCCTTCTCGACCTCCGCCCTCGTCAACCGTAATTTTTTTCTGTTTGTTTCTGTCGTTTTCTTTTAGAAGAACGCGTTTTCAACAACGGTTTTCGACGGCGTCCTTTCGCTGCTTTGGTAGACGTCGCCATGGCGAGTTCGAAGTTGCACGATGCTGTTCGCCACGACAAGTGCAGGCTCATCACCAGGCTAGTGTCTGAAGGTGAGATTAGTAGCGGGAGGAAATAACGCACGGTGATGCGCATCTGATTGAACTACTGGAGCCGCCGTTTGAAAGCTCTTTCACCGTCTTTGAGAATCTTAGTGCCCTTGCCAGCGATCCTTTTTTGCGTGCTCGTTCTTTTAGGGGTCTCACCGAACGCGCTTGATAACAACGGCAACACGGCGCTGTACGTGGCCCTGATTGATGGACCAATCAACGCTGTGCCTTATCTCTTGCAAGCCGGAGCCGATCCTAATTTGTGAGGACGTCCTTTTTGTTGTTGTTTTTGGTTGGTTGGATATCTCGGTCGTTGCGTTATCGTTATCTCACGTGCGGGGCACCGCATTTCACGATAGCAGTAGTGGTTTGTGTGGTCGCTCGGTTTTGAGAAGATCCAGTACAATTGCACGCGCACTCGATGACATCAAGTGTGCGTGCAATAGGCCTCCTGCGCTGAAGCTTTGAACAAATTGTAGCGGCCTCATTTTGGGTAGTACAAGCTCACCTGATTGAGCATAGCCCTACTTATGGCACGTTGGTCGAGCTTTTTCAATTCTATGTTGTGCTAAAGAGGGAAAAAACACCTTTGGACGCCAGAAATCGGCCAAACTCAACGTTGCAAGAGAATCGAAAGCGCCAAATTCATGACACCACCGCTAGGGCACGCCTCTCTTATTTCTGGGTGGTGACGTCACAACATCTGTGTCTCGACGCTTTAATTTTTTTTTTTTTTTTTTTTTTTTGATGTCTACTTTGGAACGCGTGAAACGGCATCTCTTGGCTCACGCTCTCAGCGTCTTAGCTTTGACGGCGTTCGAATTTTTGTTCTCGCTTTGTATTTTTATCGTGATCTCGCGCTCCGCACCAGAGTAGGCACGCTTCTGCATGCGTGACAGTTTGAGACGCTAAAATTTGTACTACCCAAAACACGTCCTAACAAGTCTTATTCGCAGCACCCTCTGGGCAGCGCAGGAGGCCCATTGTACTGGATCTTTATACAAACGCGTTCGCAACTGCCTTGCGAACGCGGATCCGCTTGCAGTGTGAATGAGCGGGAAGACAGCTCGTCCATCTGCCACTTTTACGCTGAGTCATTCCTCCGCTCGTGGTGACCGAGTTGGTATTCGCGCTGTGAAAACTGAAATTCTTCGTATGGTACCTTCCCGATGCATCGATGCTGACACAGCACCTTTTTGAGGCAGACTTGGTGTACATGCGCGTTGACGGTGTCTCTGACGTAGTTTGTCTTAAGGTCCGTTCGCACTCTTGCAACCGAGTATGACTGAGAGAGACCTGACCGGTTTTTAAGCCTCTTGCGATCTCTTAGGTCCAGCTCCGCTGTAGCGCATCCGTGGTCCCTCTCGGTCGTACTCGGTTGCAAGAGTGTGAACCGGCCTTTAAAGAAACACGGACGACAGGACAAGCGCCTGACCTTTCGTCCGTGTTTCTCTATTGTCCCCGTTTCTTCGTGCTTTTTATTTTTTAACCTTTTATTCAGTAATGGACCAACCAGCCCAAATTCAAGTTTTAATGAAAAGAACAGAGACTTGGTTGTTTGTGTGCGACACACATTCCAGCCGATGCAGCGGCGACGCGACCCCGGTCCACGCGGCTTGCCGTCGCGGGAGCCGTCACCTGCTCCAGCAGCTGCTCGAGTGCGGCGGCGACCTCCGACTCCGCGACGTCCGGGGTCGCACGCCCCAGGACTGGGCCCTCGAGCACAGCGACCCCCAGTGCCGTCGCAAGCTCGTCACCTTCATCAACACGCGGCGGGCCTTGGCGTACCGCTTCGAAGATGCGGCCGCGCTGCTTGACGAAGACGCTTCGGTGGCCGACGTATCTGGCAGCAGTGCCGCGACGACCATTAGGAGGCGCTTCGCACGGCCCAAGCGACTGTGGTCCACGGAGAGGCTCAAGGCTGACGGCGGGTTCGGTGTGGTGAGTCGGCCGGGCAGTCCTGTCAGTTTTATGTTCATACATATAGGGTCTCCAGAATAGAACCCGCCGTAAAACGAACCGGAAAAATGCCGGGCTTGAACATAGAAAGCTATTTAGGTGGGGCATTTTACGTGGTGAAATTCCAAAACGTAGCTCTCTTGTACAAAATTAGAGCTACAATGATGATAATGCGATTAATGCAAAGGTACAAGCCAGCTGGACAAGAGTAACGATAATAATCCCTGCAGAAGGTCAACAAAACCTAGCTGTGATTGGAGGTCTGTTTGTCCTTTGTTGTCCTTGTTAATTCCCCTTCTCCAGGGATTATTATCGTTAAAGCTACAAATTTGCCAGTGTTGACGGCTGATGCGTTTCACTGACGGTTGATGCGTTTGCAGACGACCGAGTTAGCAATGGATGTAACTTCAAGCGCTGTCTCTTGGTAGATGCCGCGGGCAGCCGACGCACTGTCAGCTGCTCACTGCACCTACCGGGAGATGGCGCTACAAGTTACAACCATACCTGACTCGGTCGTCTGCGAATGTGTCCATCGTTGACCCTTGCAAGTTGGTTGGTCTTGTTTTTCACAGGAAGAGGAGCTATGCCTTGAGGTTTTATCAGCTGGAATCCGCCACCTCAATACACATTCAATGAAAATTTGAACTTTGTATATGCGGGCACTGATTTTTCTGGCTCGTTTTAGAGCGCAGAGTTTTGTTGTGGGACACCCTATACATACCGACGGTAGCCGAGGCAGTGCAGCTATTGATACACATCTAGAGTCCAACGTCTTATCCATGGGGCTTATCCTCCCCTCCAGGAAGACAGTCGACCCTATAATATACAATGCATGATTTCTTCATATATAAAAAAGAGGTAGAGTTTTAAAAGGGGAAGGGGGGGGGGGGGGGTCATGTCTCCAAGCTATAGATCAATTCTACCAAGTGCTTGTTTGAAAAGTTGACAGTGTTCAACAGGTCTTGATCAGCCATGTGTATTATTGTGATTGTAAACTACACTCATGATGGTTAAGATGCCACAACTTTGACGCCACAATACTATTTGAAACAAAGACTGGGAGTGCTTTTGCCGTGACTGCCCGGTGGATGTAAAGGCATAAGAGAAGTTTAATTTGCCATCGATGGAGGTTCGTCACCACCGACTTCCAGCTACCTGCATTGCATGGTTTAGTTCTATGCGACACAAAAAATCCCCGTGAGTTGTCTTGCGCACACTCCGAACATCACATTTCATTTCTGATCTGTCGATGGGGTGGCAACCAGGTTTACTGCAGCCCGTCCAAGGAAACCGGCAACTCGACGTTCGTCCCCTTTGTCCCGAGCATGTACCTGTACAACTCTGAAGACGGCAACATTCTGTGGAGTGGTCCCCAGTCTGTCGTTCAGAAGTGAGTTGTTGGGGCCCGTATCGCACTTTGTTACCGTCGTCTGTGTCTCGACAGCAAGGCGGGGCATCTGCGAAGATGTAGATTCGAGTGTCGGTTCTTTTTTTGCACAGCAAACAAAAGCGAGAGAAAGCCGACAATAAATGGATCATGTTTGCTTTGCCACACAGTGCATCCCGAAGATGCGCTACTTTGAGGTCGCTCTCAAATGACTCGACGAAAAGTGCCCGCATACTGCGTAGTTTCTGACATCCTGGCAAAACGTTTCTGATAACTGGCAGCACTGACCTAACAAAACGGCCATTGGGAAAGTGACAGTACTCTTTAACTATACGGTTTATTTAGTGGCACCCATTCTTTTTATAGGGTTACTGAACTCCCACAAATCATATTTTTAAGTGCTTAAGTAAAACATAAATGCCACCAACAGAACTAAAAAAAAAATTATTTTTCTTAGTTCATTTGGTGGAATTATTTTAAAAATTAATTAGTGTTATGCAAAAAAAAAAATGGAGTTCTGGCGCAATTTATTGCAACGTGTGTCTTTTTTTAATTTTCTGTCTCCACAACAAAGCATGTACTGGGACAAGCTGAAGGTTTCCGTGAAGAAGTCCTCCATGAGCGGAAGCAGTGCCAAGGGCCCCTGCTCCGACATCCTCATCACGGAACTGGAGAAGATCAGGTGCCTCCATTGCATACCGTCCTCCCAACAACCTTGATGTGCGTTGACGTTCATCGTCGGAGTCGTGTCAAACTCCAGTTGAAGGACTATCTCATTAACGCACCTTTCACACCCCCTCAAAAAGTTTCTTTCATTTTGCAATGCACTATAGTATGGTGGAAAAATACTCCCTAAATAATTTTTTCATTGCGGAAAAGCAGATTTTTTTTAGAAAACTAGAAATGCGCGAATATTTAAGGCTTCTAATGATTCAAACATGCTATTCAATTCGATTTGCAGCAAACTTTCTGGAATATCTGCAAATTACAAATGTCTTCAGAACTGTCCGACATCTCGTGTCAAGCTTCTCTGCTTTGCACCGGCTCTTTGATGTCGAGCTTTGCACCGGCGCTCTGGTGTCACGCTTCGCACCAGTGCTCTGGTATCAAGCTTCGCTGCTTTGCACCGGCGCACGCGCGTCAGGCTTCACTGCTTTGCGCTGGCGTGCTAGAAAAAACGGCCGATGGGTCGATGCATGCAGGAAAAAAAAAAGCCTTGAGAGGCCGGTGCTAGACTAGTAGCATCTGTGTAGAAAAACAAAAGAAAGCAAAAACATAATTCGTCGATCTTGTTCACTCTATTGTGTATCGTTGGTGTCCTTTAACCGTGCGTGGTCATGGGAAATTTTACATGGAATATGAAACACCTTTTTGTTGTTCCTCTGCTCGAGATAAATTACTTCTCGTAAAACATGGATACTAAATGTCTCTCACAATGTTGGACGAGGCGTGCGCTGGCATTGTACCCTGGGGTTTGGTGGCAACGCAGGAAGCTGACCTGGCACCCATACTTCCTGTGGCCGCTAGGCGTGAGCCCGGTGCAGAACATGGACGACGTCATGCTCGTCTTCGAGTGCGTTCACTTTGGGACGGTCTTCGACGTGCTCCACAAGACCGTGGCGAGTGGATCCTCGAATCTCTACCGTCTCCGGATGGCGGATGCACGGCGTCCCATCTTTAGCCGTAATGAGACTGTGAAAACGAAGCTACAGTGGTGACGGGAAAACCGAATTATCTTTTCTTCCTGAGTGCGCGGTCATCTCATTCGAATGCCATCTTGACAGGGGGCATCAACGCTAGCGTTCACTGGCGCTTCTTCTACACTTTGTAAATGTAAATCTGAGCATTAGCAGTGTAATAAGACTTTTGCACATTGCAGCACACTGGGACCAGAGCGCAACCGCTTTCTTTCTTGTCATTCTGTTTACGCACCGACTGTCGTGCGCTCTGGCTTCTGTACGTCTCAAGACATCAAAATAGCACTTTATCTTAGGAAGTACAATCTTCAACAGAGGTACAGTCGTGATCAACAGACACGCATAAGTGTAAAAGTATGTTCAGGCTTTCCACAAGCAGGCTGCTCAGACAAAACGAGACACATTAAAAACGTGAATTAGTTCAGAGATTTGTGTCAGAGTTTGACCGACCGCGTTAAAAATTTTTGTGTTGTGCGACATGTTGAGAGTACCTTATTTTCCACATAATCATCTCATTGCAAGTAGTCATAAGCGGTCGTGATTTGTTCGGTCCCACTCGAGCGCAATTGTCTGAACTAGCATGATACCTAGTGATGGACCGAATCTGTCGAATTTCAGATTAAAGTTTGGGGTAATTAAATTGTTAATTACTTTTGCATAATTAATTTTTTTAATTATTGAGTTTAAGGGCATGGTTTCATTTGGGAACTTGCTGAGCATCATTGAAAAACATTAAATAAAAAAGTTGGAGTGTGGTAGAAGGCATGCGCTGCATTTTACAGCTTTCTGAACAAGAGCACTATTTCGACAGGTTTTTAAATTTCGGTTTACGATCGGAGCGCTTCTCGGCACTGACGGCATGGCGCCCTGTGGAGAAACTGTGCAACCTGCCTCTCCTGTGTTGCTCGAGGGCAGTGAAGCAGATGTTGGTTGCACTGTTTCTCCACGGGGCGCGGTACCGTCGATGCCGAGAAGTACTCGCATTGCACACCGAAACTTAGAAACCCGTCGAAGTTGTGCCGTTTTTCAGAAAGCTGTAAAATGCAGTGTGTGCCTTCTATCACATTCCAATTTTGTTATTTAGTGTTTTTCCATGATGCTCAGCAAGTTTCCAAATGGAACCATATCGCGTAAATTGATTACACGAAAATAATTAACAACTTAATTATCCCGGACTTCAGTGATTTTTTTAAACAGGCCCCTGGCCTAGGACCAAGACAACACAAGCCTTTTTTTGGTGCAATGCATAGTTTTCACAATATTGAATTTGACCACCTTTTGTGAAACACCTGGTATACTTACTACCAGCTGTTACAACGACGTACGGAGTTGGCGACATGGTAACTGTGTGTTTGTCAGCTTTTGTGAATGTGGTCCTCTTCAATATTTTCTGCCCCAAGAACAGAAGATCGTCCAGGAATTGACGCAGTCCACTGCGCAAGTGATGAACGAAAAGTTAGGGTGCAAACGAGCTGGTGAAGGTTTAACATAATTTAGGACAAACCCCTGAGACTGCAGAAAGACAAAGGACAATTCACGGCACACAGGGTCTGTGTGTTGTGTTGTCCTTGATCTTCCCCCCGGTCTTGGGGGTTTGTCTTTAATTATGATAAATGATCCATTACATTCTGGATAAAGTGAATTTCATTTTATATTGTGAGTGATGCAACGGGGGTAGCGGCAAAATTGACTAGCAAGCACTTTAAGCAATCCTTGCAATTATAGCAATCATGTTTTCAGCTCGCAAGTAAGTTTGTGCCGAAACAAAAATACTGCTTTTTAGTTTGCGTTATTTTGCAGTTTTCATCTGTCCACATAAAACTATACTTATCATGCTCGACATTGCACATCCGACATTCCTAGCTCTTCCCACCTTCCTAAACGACCACGTGTGTCCTAACATCAGAAACCGGCATTTTAGAAGGTGAAAACGGAGCGTTTAAAATATTGGACGCAGATTTTCATGCAAAGCTGACGTCAAGTGACTCGAATTGAAAAACGGGCATATTTACAATAATGTTATCTCTCCTGGTGAAGGCCCAGCGGCCATTGCATTAATTTTCTCGCACAGAATGGTGACTTTCTGAAAAAGTAAGAACACATTCGCCTTCAATGTACACACTTGCAGGCTTGCGCTGATGAGGCCCTAAAACCAAAAGTTGCGTATCATATGGCTGCGCCTGCTACTACCTGACCTCATTGTCTCACTACTGGGAAAAGTCTCTAAAATTGCCAGTAAACACGCAAAAATGACGTCGATACATTTATCTTGTAAAATATCACATTTTTTTAATAATAATTTTGTCAATATGCATAAAGAAAAGCTTTTTTTACCTGAGAAAACAAGAAAATGAATTCTTTAAATCTGGCAACAATTTATTTTTCCCGAATTTTTAGAAAAGTCCAACAAAACTGGGTTTTGCGCCAATTTCTTGATTCTGCAAAAGTTTGGCCCATCACTATTGATACCCCTGCCAGATAACAAATTTTAATGTCGTTTCCGTTGAATACCTCTGTGTGATCAGCCAATCAGCGTGCGCCACTTTTGGTGCAATGCTGTGCATGCACAACACTGTGTCATTCGATGGAAATGACATTAAATTTTGTTGTTTAGAAGGAGTGTGAAAGGAACCATAAAATGTGAGCTCCAGGCATTTGAAGTGAAACTTTCTTTGTTAGGCTGTCTGTGTCCGTGGTCGTTTCGGTTACCGGTTTGCAGCTGAACGTCCGATTTACGAACAACTTCAACTTGTCGTGACAAAATGAACACTTCTGATCTACTGTATACTTTCATTCTTTCTCTCGGGGCCAACGATGTTAGCGCTTACGATTTGACGCGTTCTGCTCCCATCTTTACCTTCTCCCCCGGTTTCAATGGGCTCGGCCTCGTCCAGCTACTTTCAGTCTCTTTTTTTGTTTCTTGTCGACACAGCCAGAGACGTACAGCGGCCCGCTGAACAAGAACCAGCTACTGCTGGTGATGCAGCAGGCCTGCGAGGCACTGCTGTTCCTGCACAGCCGCAAGTGGGTTCACGGCTGCGTCTCCTCCCACTGCGTCTACGTCATCAGCCCCTGTCTAGGGAAGCTGGGCAGCTTCGAGTTTGTGCAGCGCAGGTCAGAAAGATCAGCCACAATGGCGTGTGTATCTTAGCACTTTGTACTGTTTGCTGGTGGGCGGGCATGGCTGTCGGAAAATGGAAATCATTAGTACCACCCATAGTACAACCAGATCTGACTCCTTTAGAAACTTAAAAATATTTCCCACTTTGAGAGAAAAAGAAGGCAAAGAGCAAAGTTTAGCACAGGTCAGTTGCCCTAGGCTACTCCATAAACATAAGGCCTGCGAGATGTGTAACTTTGTTGAATTTATGAACCATTCAAAGGTCCACGAATCCAGATCTATAGTAAGCATATGCATGTGCATTCCTTTAGAAAAGAAGCAAAGCGTGTTCCATTGCCACAAGCATAGAAAAAGGCACTGACCAAAACATTCCTTATGAAATGGTGCGTGTGCATCATGATTAAACTTGAAAAGAAAATTGCCCCTGAAGATGGCTTTTTAATGCGATAGATTAACCTACTGCTCAAGGTTTTCAGCTATGTATACTGTAAACGACTTAATTTTTGTGAATTTCGCAAGTCACCTACAATTAGCAAAAAAATACTAAGTCCGGCGAATTATTCCAGTAAAATGTAAACACATTGGAATCTATATTGAGATCCCACCGCGTCGCAAAAATTAGAACCCTCGAATTATTCCAAAACTTCAGCTTTGACCTAAATCTCGAAAATTGAGTGGTTTACAGTATTCTAGTCTCCTATGGCACAATAGGTATGCACGGAGACCATTTCAGCTCACTGTGCTTGCACCCCATTGCGTCGTGTGTATGCGAAGCGGCAGTAGCGCCCCTTTACATTCGCACCCTCTTCGAAAGATCCGACGACTTTGACATCGTCCTAGAGGTCATCCGTCATGTCCTTGAGATCATCCTAGAGGTCGCCCTAGATGTCATCTTTGACGTCGTCTAGGACGACGTCAAGAACGGCATCCTAGAGGACGACGTTAACAATGACGTCTATAGGACGTCCTCTAGGATCTCAAGGACGACAAGAATTTAGCGGGAAGTTTCCTTACTAAATTTAGCGGAAAAATTTATGTCGTGACCTATGCACCAATTCAGTTTTCCCGCTAAATTTGGCGGTGTGCAACTATAAATTCTATCGCGTTCATAGATAATCACCCCTGTGGTTTCTACAAATTTGCTGCCCTGCAACAGTTTTCTACCCGCTCACACTCGCGTAACGAGGGAAAGACAACTTACGGGGCATCTCTTCGGTGCCAGTTGGAAAAGTAGGGTCGTTGCATGCTCCACGACATTGGCTGTTCAATTCTTGTGTACTCTAAACTTGTTTTGGGTTCCCTATATGACACGTCGAGGCAACTATCTAGGACAATGAAACTGCTCATTTCGGGCACTAATTCCTAAGCGGCCAAATTTGATGCCCGTCAATACCTTTCCGAAGTAAGATGCGGAGAGGCACATATGTCGTGTTTGCACTAACATTGTTGTGCACTGTACTTGCACACATTTCGTGCACACCTTTTACTTGTCTTTGAATCGCACAAGCAGCGAGGAAGCGGGCGGTGGCCGACTGCCGTACAGTGCCCCCGCCGAGGATTTCCTTGACTACTACTACCACTGGATGGCGCCCGAAGTGCTGCAGGGCAGGCGTCCCAACCGGCTCTCCGACGTCTACCAAGTTTGCGCCGTCCTCTGGGAGCTCTTTACGGGCAAGTCGAAACCTACGCCTAGCTCCTGTCAATTTGCGGTGTCGCGTATTGTCGTATTGGTCACGAGGGTTTCGGAGTGCCGCTGGTTTGTCGACTGCATCGAGGACTTTTTAACAAACCCTTTTGGAGTCTTTGGGAGTTGCGTTTTGTACAAGTGGTGTGGCTCGTAAGATACAGCATTGGATTGGATTTTGATTTTGTCTTGCCTTGCTCTATTTTTTTTTTAAGTCTAGAAACTTTAGAAACTTGTTTAGTGCTAAAATTGCTAAAACTGGATCTCACCTGGCTCTTGCCAAAACAGTAGCTTCACAAAACCTATTCAATGTAGATATTATGATGTAACAAAAACGCCAATGTAGTGAGGCTTTCCTTATTGTAGAGACAGTATTTTGCCTAGCTTTCAAAACTTCTTTTTTTTTTTTTAATATATGCATATTTTTGGTGTGGTGTCTATTGAGAATGGCAAACATTAATTTCCAGAACGTGCAGCTCGTGCTTTCGGTTGCACACCGTGAGAGAGCCACTCTAAACACATGTCTTTCAAATGCAACGAAGCACCAAAAAAGCATTTGGGTTTTCCCCGCATTTCAAACTTCAGAGCAGGTGCCGTGGGGCACCGCAGATCGCGAGGTGGTGGAGCGCCACCTGCTCCAGGAGCGCTCCGGTCTGCCCCAGAGCACGGACATCCCTGCTCCGCTGGATGCCCTGGTGAGCGCTGGACTCTGCCCGGATCCGCTAGACAGGGACACCGACCTGGAAGAGATCTACCAGGTGCTCTCGGCAATGGTGCAGGAGGTGAGAGGGACCTCTTCAATTTGGTTCAATTCAGTTAAATTTGATGAGAGTAGAGTAAAACTGGCAAAGGGAAACCGGAGATGATTGTGGTGCCATTGATCTGGTGTTTGAACCTGTTAGCCGCTTTCTAACACGGAATGTGTTTTATGAGGAGAATTCATTAAAAAACTGTCAGGCTTCAGCGTCAAATTCCAGAGTTGCACTGTGTACAAAGTTTAAAGTTGCATAAAAATTACATAGGCCCTTAGGACACATTTAAAACAAATGTAAAAAGAACACCCTGTCAACAATCGAACCTGCAACCATGTGATCCTTAGCCGGATGTAAACTGACTGGGCTGAGGGGCAGAGGTGCTCGGAGAGCAGCTGTGGAAAGGGCAGACGCGTCAGGAGCAGCTGCCCCTTGACGCCAGGGGACCATGTCACATGACCTTATGTAATCACACACATCATGCACCCAGCTCATTCACAACACATTTTGTGTGTCACAAAGTTCATAAATAGGGTTCCATGTTTCCGGATAAATCTGAAAAAAAACTCTGAAAAACACCTGCCGGTAAAATCTTGGTCAATTTGGATTTATCCAATAAATTCAGAATTTTGATGTGCCAATGCCCCTCCCCCACCACCCAAAAGAAAAAGGCTGTATTTTACCATCAAGTTTGGTTCTGGGTGAATGCCACCACAGTTATCTTTCATAGCACAACAGGTCACGGTGTCTTCAGGCCATGACAAGAGCCCCTTTTTTGGTTTCCAGTTTGGGCCATATTATTTTGTGCTTTAGAGGAAGGAGAGGTTGTGTTTTTGTAACAGTGAAAGCTATGGATCATAGAGGTTGCATAAAATGAGGAACTCCTCTGTTACATCCTTTACCATTCCACCTTGCGAGGCCGCTGGGTAGGTTGAAGGAGTAGGATGGGATGAATATGGGCTTCCCAGCGACCACCTCGGAGGGTTTATTGATTTTAAGGTATCGACGTTCACCGAATCAATACTTCACAACTTTTGTCGGGGACAAATTAGTATTTGCAAGGGGGCACCAACACTAAATTCGAGTGAAAAAAATTATTATTTGATACAAGCACATTTCATTTTTTTTATTTAGCATACATTTACACCCAGAAATTATTTATTTATTTATTTTGAATAGGAAACACTGCGAAATTAAAGTCAGAATTTCTGAGAATTAAGAATCAAACAAAAATAAACTCCGGTAAACTCCGACTTTCGGAATTTACCGGAACTGAATATTTGCACAACCCTAATGCCATGGAGTGGATTGCTATGGTATAAAGTAAGCGCTCCTTTATTTATTTTGTGCACTCCATTTGTCTATTGGGATGATCAAAAATTCGAGACATGACATGGGACTGGGTACCAACCTTTTATTCACCAAACACAAAATTAAATAGGTATATCTACTGCAAGAATGGACGAGTGCCTCTCCAAAAGTGTTACAACCACACCCCACATTAATTTTACTGATGTGTACGCTCTGCCTTGGCTGCGTGAAAGAACCGGAGGAAAAGGACATCATCTGGTATGTCCAGGCTCAATCGCGTTCGTTGGCATGATAGGATGTATTTAAACCCCAAGAAGGACCTTTCCACGCCGACTTGCATGGCCAGTACTGCAAGAGCGACAAGTGCAAGTGAATATAATTCGGGACACTGGGACGTTTCCTTTTCCAGAATTTCCAAGACATTGCTACCCTCGCTAATTCGGGGCACCTTATGAAAGCCATCCTGTAGCATCTGAATCTCCCCAAAGATAGAAGAATGGCCGCTAAATGCTTTCAAGCAGCCATTTTTTCTTTCCATGAGGAACGCTTTGAGGTCATCATCAGGGCACGTGGAACTCCCCGTTGTGCACGGTGCTTGAGGTTGCTGTGGCTGGGCATCTTCACTAAGTGCGCCAAGCTCTGGAGAACACTCTACAGCAAGGCTAGGACAACTCCCAGGTGACCTATGTCGACGCAGCCTCAGCTGACAGGGGTCGAATGACCCTTGCAGTTACGAGTCGCTCTGGCCAAATCCTCACAGCAGGCAGCATGTATACCAGCAACTGTGCAGAGGCCGAGGAAGCAGCCATCGCCTTGGCCCTCACCCTCAGCATTACGAAAGTCATCGTCAATGACTCCCAGATGGCCATCTACCAGTACATGCGTGGTCACATCTCTGACAAAGCCCTCAAGATCGCCACTGGTCATCGTCTGATCGACCACCCTGTCCGCATCCTGTGGTCTCCAGCGCATCCGTCGCTCCCAGGCAACTAGAGTTTTCACAGTGCAGCCTGCGCTCTTGCACACCGGGCTGGAACACCAAGTGAGCACTCAACCTTCGCCTTGTGGAACCACGACAACCTCTACACCTTTAAGGGGGTGCTGGACCACTACCGAGTAGAATGCCGAGCCTACCCAGAGGCTCACAGCACTCTCAGCAAGGCAGAATCCACCATCCTCCGTCAAGTCCAGATGGAGACCTTCCTCAACCCGGTGCAGTTGCACTTGTGGTACCCAGATACCTACAACCCGTCTTGCAGGAACAGTGACGAGATCGCCACACTCCACCATATGCTCTGGGTGTGCCTGGAACTGCTTCTTCATTCGAAGAATAAGGAGTTCATCAGGCAAGCTAGGCAACCAGGTGCCTGGGAATCCTTCCTGCGGGATCCTGACCCCAAGACTCGGAAAATTCTAGTCCAGCTGGCCTCGGACGCCGCCGGGAACATCGCACCTTGTCTGTCGACAGAGGGGATTGCTTCGTCAAGAGTCTCTCCCTAAGAGAGACTCGCTTGATGCTGGGATCTAACAGTCTTGGACCCAATAAAGTCTACCTCACCTCACCTCCTTCATGCCAGTAGCAGACTCGGCTTTGCTCTGAACCTTTGCTCGCTTGTTAGCGTGACATTGTATTGAGGATCCAAAAATATAGCCGTACAACATGTGTTGCTTCCGAGCAACACCTTCTCTCGCCTTTTCATGGCAGCAGCCAGCTGATTCGCCACCGGGGTGTCATTTTTTCACATCTCAATTCGACACGTGAGCCATGCTCTGTAGAAGTCCCCCAAAGTTAGTTGCTCCCTTTGAAGCTGTACTGTTGCTTGCTCGGCCGGCCCCGGGGGGGGGGCAACTGCGTTGCTTATTGATTGCCACTCTTTTTGAGTGAGGTGGTGTTGATCATAGTTTGTGATAAACTCGCTGCAGAACTCTCTAAGCTCCACCAATCGTCGCATCGTGGCCTCGGTGGACATCCACTTCGTTACGCTATTCAGGATGGGATTCTTCATACTGAGCTTCCGAAGTAGAGACAGCACGGTCTGCGACCTCATTTTTTTCACAACCTTTCGGGCCTTCTGTATGATGTCGCTAGCAGCTGTAGACTTGAGAGCATCATGTATAGCGAGCTGCAGCGTGTGCACAGAAAACCTCATTCCTTGAAGAAGAGGTTCCTCATCTGAAAAAGCAAAAGCTCCTTTTAGTTCTTTGAGGTAGGAGACATCATCTGAGGCACCATTGTATGCATGTACATCTTCCTCTTCCGGCTCAGACTGGTTGGATGTTGCCGCGACCGGGCTAGCAGATTCTTCTGCTAAGAGAGCAACCTTTTTCGGCATATTGGCTCTGTTGTCAGTGAATTTTCCAGTTTTCGACTTATTGTAGGTTTATGCCAAGAACTGCGCGTTGCCGATGCGTGGTGCAGTCGATTTTCAGTTATGCCCTCCATGCCCTAAGGGACTTGGGAGACCTCTCTTCTGGCAATTCATGCCTTTTCTGAAACTTTCTGCCAGACGCTTTCGGCACTTACTGTGACGTGATCTTTGAGGTCCTTCAGCACGGGATCGCCAATTTTCTTGAACCCAAAGTCATCCATCATGCGAAATGGCCGGCTGTTTGTGGTGATGAGCTTGACATATGCTTTCCCAACTTCGTTTCTATTTAAGTTTGATCTTACACCAAAGCCCCGTTGTACGACAGATGGCAATGTTGGCGGCTTGAATGGTGTTCTTGGCAACTGATTGACAGCATGGCTGCTGCCGGTGGACGGCTCGGGAGTAGGGTGACCACCTTCGTGCCGGTGAAATGCGGGACACCGTGACCGGGGGGAGGTGTCCCGCTAGAAGAAAGGCACAACTGTGCGTGTGCGTCGGGATCCTGCAAGAAGGACGGCCACTGCCCGCAGTGCTTGGATAAAAATGGCATAATACCATTGAGATTCACACGCTTACCAGCGAACTCCACCCTTCCCCGTGCCCGTTGTTTGGAAGCGCCATAATTTCGGTAGTGAATGTTACGACAATATGAAATGCGGGATATTTTGAAGATTTTGGCGTTTCTTGCGGACATTAAGGACAAGAGTCCTCAATGCCAGACAGTTCCGCGAGTCGCCGGACGGGTGGTCGCCCTACTCGGGAGTGCCTCTGCCCGACGGCTTTTGTACCAGAAGCGCATCATACACTGCCTTGTGGCGTTGCTCTACGTGGCGCCTGAGGTTGGCAGCATGCTGTCCGGAGAGGCGCAGCCCACATTTGTCGATTTGGCATGCTCTCTGGTTTTTGTCAGTGTCAAATTTGAATAGGACTTCTTTTTTTTTATGCAAGAACCACCTTCGCAGCCAAAAATCAAAGTGAGAGAAGGTGCACAATGTGGTGCGCGGCAGCGACCAGTTACAGAACGACTCTCAATCATTGCATTGCTCTTATCTCTCATTGGCTGCAGTCCTTCACCAACCTCGGCTTCCTGACCAATCGGAGGGAGCATTCGGCCGAGAACACGCGGGTGACCAAGTCTACGCCCGCGCAGCGCGTCCATTCGCGCCAGACGTCTGTTGCCGACGCGGCAGAACCAACCTATTCTCGGTCACAAAAGGCTACCAGGTGAGCCCGCTATTTTTCGAATGCCCGGGTTTCATATACTTGTGCCATCATATTTCAAAAGGGTCACCTTGTACAGCATATAAGCTATTCATTAGAACTTATGTTTTCGGTTTGGGGAGAAGTTTGTGGGACTTTTTACATTTGGTAAAGGATCACATAACAATGTCCAGTTGAATCCCATTTGAAAATTTTCACCTGGGGGTCTTAACTGCCCGTTCAGTAAGTCAGCTGGAGTGGTCGGCGGCGTTTTTCTTGTTACCGTCAAACATTGGCAGTCGATCGCACCATGTCTCTGCATGTCCTGCAGAAATCGTTGTGTTTGAATTGTTTACAAATGCAAAACTTGAAAGTATAAAACAGAGAGGACGAGGACGGGAACAGGACATCTTTCATTTAGCGACAACATAGAATGGCACAACGATAAAAAACCGCCCCCCAAGGGTCTCAACGTTCTCAAAGAGGGAAAGGAGATACTAGTTATGAAGGAAAGGGAATACACTAAAAGAAAAGTTTGAAAAGCGCATCAGTAATCTAGTTATTTTCGATTAGTTAGAATTAACCTTGGTCATTGTCAGTGATAATGCAGAATTATTCTTGTTTGCAGTCCAAAAAGAGAATTGTACTATAAATATAAGAGTTTAAAAATCCGTAGCTTCACGACGAGGTGTCAATATTCTAGTCATCTCTGGTGTTAAGAATTCGACCTCTGTCTTTGTCAGTGATAATGATGGTGCAGAAATGTTTTTGTTAACAGCCCCCATGGCAAATGACTCGATGATTTCTCTCCCAAATCTGTTGTTGTGCCCGCCCAGTATCTTAGTATTAGAAAAATGAGGAGTACAGTCATCGCATGTGCGTCTGTGAACAACAATGGGGTGATATGACTCAGTTGAAGCCTTTGATGCTTCCAAGTTATGTTCTCTGAGTCGGTGGTTGACGCATCTCCCGGTCTGTCCAATGTACTGACTGCCACAACTTAGTGGAATCGAATACACCTTCCTTTCTTCGCATTCTATGAACTTTTTTGCATGTTTTACATTGCACCCTCGGGGACTGTCGCTCCCATTAACCTTTTTGCACATCTGTTTGAGGCGCATACGACGAGAAAAAACCACACTCGTGTCGAACTTGGACGCAATAGACCTTAGACGGTGCGCGGAATTGTGCATGTAGGGAATCGCAGCGAAACAACCTTTCTTTTTTAAAACAACTTGCGGAAGTTGTGGTTTGATAATGAACCTCTCAAGGGTGGAGTGAAGTCGATCAGCAGGAAAGCCTGCTTTTTCTAACCTCTGCTGCTGCAACTTGAGGCTACTTTCGGAGAAATGCGTGCATGACTTGGAGAATGAGGACTTGAAAAGTGACCTTACTATTCCATGCTTAACGGACTTGGAGTGAGCACTGGTGAAAGGGAGGACTGGCTTCTCCGACCTCTGCTGGAAGGCCCAACAAACACCTGAGGAATGAGGATGCAATCGTAAATCCAGAAATTGTAATCCTTCCACTGAAGGATTTTCCCGGGTAAAAGTAAGCCCTGCCGCACAGTCTTTGAAAACTTCAAAGATGCTGTCAGCGGACGCAGCATCTGGATAAATGACCAAGTAATCGTCAACATACCTAAAAACTAGGCAACCCTGGAAGGACTTTTTCAACTGATCTTTGATAGCCCTGTCAACAAAAAGAAGAAATATTTCGCTAAGGACAGGTGCGAGGCAAGAGCCTATACAAACTCCTTTCTTTTGTCTGTAAATATTTCCTTCGTAATATTGACACCTCGTCGTGACGCTACGGATTTTTAAACTCTTATATTTATAGTACAATTCTCTTTTTGGACTGCAAACAAGAATAATTCTGCATTATCACTGACAATGACCAAGGTTAATTCTAACTAATCGAAAATAACTAGATTACTGATGCGCTTTTCAAACTTTTCTTTTAGTGTATTCCCTTTCCTTCATAACTAGTATCTCCTTTCCCTCTTTGAGAACGTTGAGACCCTTGGGGGGCGGTTTTTTATCGTTGTGCCATTCTATGTTGTTGCTAAATGAAAGATGTCCTGTTCCCATCCTCGTCCTCTCTGTTTTATACTTTCAAGTTTTGTATCTATTAACCAACACGCTCGTTTTCAATTGTAGTTGAATTGTTTAAGCTTCATCTTCCGTCCCGTAGGCTTTAAATTTTGCCGGGCGCACCACCCAGGTGAAGTGCATAGCTGTTTGTATTGCATTTTAATGAGTTTTTTTTTCGGAGTCGGGCTTGCGAGATTCCTCACTTAAGCCATAGTTCGAGCGCCGCGTGCTAACTTTCTCCTTAAACATATTGCCATGCAGCATTTGAAGCACAAATCTCGCGGTGACTCGCTTTCGTGTCTGTATACAAACGGTCCCCTGTATGGCGTGTAAGCGGGACTCTCCTTCATCAGCCCTCCTTGGCTCCGCTTGTTGCCATCGCGTCGGTCCCTTAGAGTCACTCAACAGATTTCGGGCTGATTTTAGGGCAACAGCGCGTTACCAATAAAAAAAGGAGAGTACATATACAAAGAAAATCACAGCGCTGAGATCACATTCATGTTTCCTATATTTGCGTGTAAAAAAAATATGTAACAAAAAGAAAAAGGAAAGTACGCTGGATATTTGCATTTATCATATAGACTGCTTCGCGAAGTAGTAGAATTTTTTGGTGGATAAATATACAGGAGGGGCGAAGATACACTTGTCATCGAGCCAGACAATCTTTTCTCCTTCAATGAGTTATCTAATTAGTGAGCTGCTACGTTGCACTCATGTAACGTCGCTGTCACGTGACACTGTGACTTGACTCTATAACGTCATGTAACAAATTTAAATGATTGCTCTTTATATTAACACTTTATATTAACACAGGCAAGCTGGTTTAAGATAGACGTAGTAACTCAGGAGCAGAGACGACAGGAAACTCAAACTTCGGAGCTTCGCTTCATCTGTCCCTTTGTTCCTTCAATGCTGCGCTTTGTGCGTTAATGAAGCTTAAGTTTAGAGAAGAAGGTTGCGGCCAACCTTCGTTCCGCTGCATCCTTGTGTCTACCGTTGCAGGAAGCAGTCGTCTGTCTTGCTGGACGACGTGTCGGACGCTTTTGACGAGCTCATCAGCCTGGCAGATGACGATGCGCCCAAGACGCCCCAGCGGCAGGGAAGAACCGTCGACTTGCTGGGCCCCAAGTTCGACCAGGTCTCGCTCAGCTCCAGCCTCGACCCGATGGACTTCACGTACGCGGGGACAAAGCTTTTTCTTTCCTTTCCGCCCGTCTCTAAGTCGTCATCTCTACACATCTGCCTTTTCTCCGTTCGTTCAATTTCTCCCCACCTATTCAGCTCCTCTTTTGCATTCGCATATTTTGTCCATATATCCACCTTGTCATATCTAGTGCCACTAAATAAGCTACGCTTCAGAGTAACGACACTTGGCCATATTGTGTCGTAAAATCACGGTTGCCAGTTATCTGAAGCTTTATCTGAATTCACAGGAAACGCCTTTCCGCCCTCCACGAATGTTTAAATAGTTCGTGACAGAGCAAAGCAATATTGCGTGACCTTTCCACAACCGAATCTAATGCTGAGGAAGTCGCACTTTTGAATCATGACGATCGGCAGTTGCGTCTGCTCTGCATACGAGCCAAAATGGCGGCGCCCACAACAATTCCGGGGAACGGAGTGCCGATACTCTAAGCGCAGCTCATTTAGTGGCTCTAGTCATATCTATTCATGGATTCTCTTTTCTTTGTTTTATTTATATGCAGAGAGCAAGTCATCTGCTTCTTGCGCAGGAGTTACGGTGACGTCAAAACGACGCCGAGCTCCAATTGGCGTCGATTGAAAGCGTAGTGGGTAGACCTTTAACGCTAGATGCCTTGGAGGCTACCCTTTATTTTTTTTAGTCGGCCAATAAGTACTCGGCGTTCTGACATCATGGCAACCCCTGTGCAAGAAGCAGACGAACTTGCGCTCCACACACCTTTGCCTGTCTGGCTACCTCTATATAAATCTAACATGCACGCTGTCTTTCGTTCTCCCATTATTGTGGGTCACAAAGTAATCTGCAGCATCTGTTTGCTGCAGATAACAGAGGCAAGCAAAGCAAGGGCATGGTGCCATTTTGTGCACTTCGAAAACGGAGGTTACAAAGTTTATTTTTATAATTGCATTTATTTTGTAGCAAAGTTGCATAATAATTAATGTATACCACAACCTACATTTTCTTCTTCGTGTTTACAGCGAGGGTGCCAGGGTGCCGACGTTTAGCTGCCGGCACGACAAGGGGTCCTCGGAGGCAAGCTCCAATTTATTTCCCTTCAACTCTCCCGAAAAAAAAAACAAACTGAATGCAGGCACAAGCTTGCTCTTTGTGCTGCCATGGCAGTGGTGCCACCTCTTGTGAAAAGAGCCAAATACAGTATGTGCGTTTTGCGTTTCCTTCAAAAGGTGGCACCCACCATCCACTGTGTCACGTCATAGAGGCTACATCCCCAGACATAAAGTCCTAAGAAATAACCCTATAAATGCCACGCATTAAAAAAAATATATAAATATATTTCGACAGGGAAATTTTTTTTAACACGCTCCTTGATTTCAGCGGCTTCTGCTAAATAGCTCGGTCGGAGATATCCAAAACAAGTGCTGGGCAGCTTAAGCTACGTTAACTGAGACATTGCTTGCCGAACACTAGTCATGTGCAAATATAGCAGATTTTGAGTTCAAAGCGAATTCGAAACAAATAGTGGTTTTGACCGAATGTTTTTAAATCGAATAGCTTCTTCGAGCTTATCACTAATGTGTACCTTGCTTAAATAAATTGAGTTGAACTCGTGGGGGTTGTTCCTGACCGTCCACTTTTAAGCTCGGTCAATTTTAATGTAGCTACATTTATGCAGTGTGGCATGTGAAAGACAACATTGTCGCAGCTATCCTAATCGGGGGGATTTATAAGGCGGGTTGCTAGATGCAAACATTATTTCTTCAATTTTAAATTTAACACAAAAGACAACTGAACGAGCGTGAATGATGAGCACGGGTAGACATCGCTGCCTTACACATACCGTAAGATCCCGTACGAATGCCCGCGCTTGAGAGATTGCCCGTCCCATTTTTTGGGCTGAATATCCAGGACTTAAAACTTCTGAAACGTCGTCCACCCCCCCGATTCCCGCTGGATGTCAATCACGTGATGTATGACGGGAATCTCATCAACCGCACGGTCTATGTACCGCTACGTGAGACAGTGAACTCGCAGCGGGTTTCCTCGTGTTTATCGCATGAAACGGGAATCTACAGCATCCGTGATCTGCGGTATTTGTTCCAGTAACATGCGAGTTCCTAGGTGGTTCTCACATACTTTTCTCCGCGATCTGCGCATGCGATATCGGTTCTTATGATAATGAGATTGCAGAGGTTTCCCGCGCTTTCATCGCACCGTGAAATGCGAATCGGCTCCATTTGCAATCTGTAGTATCAGTTCCCGTTTCACTTGGTGTGTTGCGGCGGGAAGTGGGGTACCGCTCATTTTTTATAATCTTTTGCCGTCTAGTTCCCAAAGATTACCCTCCCCATATTTTCAATGTGTATCTATTCATTTCGGGTGGGCGTTCTTACGGAATTTTATGGTTTAGTCCCCTAACATAATTGTGGTTGGGGTTAGCCCCATTGAGTGCGCTTCTCACCGAGCACCTATGCGCCGGGGGAAAGCAATACCCGCGAAGACCGCGAGCTTCGTTGCGGGTATTGCTTCCCCACAGTGCACAGATGTTCAGGGAGAGGCACGCTCGACGGGTCTAGCTTGATGTGATCAACACTTCAAAAAGCATGAAAATTGCAGTTCCTCTCCGAGCGAATGTCGAATACAGTGTTATTCGAAACTACTATTTGAAAATTAAAATATTCGCACGGCACTACCAACTAGTATTTGATGTCTGCAGGCATGCACACAAACTGACACTTCAAGAGCTCCAACGGTGCGGCCGCGGACCAGGGCATTCGGAGCCTCGTGCTCCGCGAGCAACATCAAGCTTGCTACGCGCTACACCGACACCGTCCTTATGTCCGGCAAAGCAGAGCCGTCCCTGGTTGCACAACGCGGCGAGGTTTGCAACTTTTCGCTCGTCTGTAAGCAGGTGCAAAGAGTGGATTTTGGGTTCGAAGTAAATAGTGGTTTTGACCGAATATTCTCTAATCAAGTATTGAATAGTTACCCCAAGCCTTTCACTACTGCAACGTGCTTAATTAAGGAAACATAATCCTCAAAAATATATTTTTTTTATTAATTCTTGAAGTTAAGAGGCTGAAGTTTGCACAGTTAGTACATATTCAGCTCCTCTTGTCATATATGTAGTCAGTTTTCTGATATCTGCCTTGGTGAAATATCTGCCATATGAAGGCATATAAAATGCCTTTTTTGTGCACTATTTTTCTCTCAAGTTTACTATAAGAGAATGTCCTAAAATAACCTGGTTGCTTCCTTGTAAACAGTAGTGTGCAAATTCAGCGGGAAAAAAGATATTTATGTCTCGAGAGAAAATGACAATTGTGAACTATTGAGTCATCACTTTTTATGTTTCACTTTTAGTTTTATAATTCTTATAAAAATTCAGTGGTGCCAATCACATAACTAGCAAAATTTGCACACTCTATACATAAACACCTATACAAAATTTAGTTGTGGGTTCACTGCAAACGGTGAAAATTGTGTGCACAAACTCCGAAAACAGGCAAAAACACTAATTTAAGAAAAACGCAAATGAGTTTTGTTTTGACATACCTAAATTCTCAAACTACACGAAACTTGTTGGTAATATTGTTCCAAATGTCAGAGTCTGGACCGCCATGCTAGGATTCCCTCACTGCATAGCACAGCTCCAGAAAAGCTGCCAGTCCCTTTCGCGAAGAGGTCCATTCCTGGACGGCGAGTTTGCACTTTCTGCAAGTCGAGCATGCCGCGCCATTGACGAACAAGAACTTTCATCACACCGATCTCACAGATCACAGTCCTTGCACGCTCATCATCTTCAGCTCCCTCTCCGTTTTCAAGCATCCTGATCTTCTTTTCCGATGCACTAACGAAGTCGTCAGCGCTGGCGATGAAATTCGAGCGATCAGACTCGGAAGCGTCACCCCAATTGAGATTAGGGTTAGCTGTCGCGGATGAACTTTCCTTCTTCGAAGCTTTCCGCCTGCCCTTTTGGCGACTTCCTTTGAACTTGTGCGTCGTCCAAAACTTCTGAGCTCGAAAGTCCCGTTTTCGGTTGACGTTCACTGCGAAGAAAGCAGTATGATCGAGAGAGTCGTTGGTTCTGGTTTCAGGAGCAGTGCGACACTAAACAGCCAAGCAAGCTCCACCGCACAGCACGTTACTCTCAGCCAATGGCGGGGCCACAATTGCATCACATGACTCAAAAAAGCCAGTGGCGACGTGCGTGTGCAGCGGGAAAAACATTTACTTATTATTATTTGTGACCAGAATACGAAACTATCGACGACAGTTTTGGAGTGAAAATGGCTTGGAATATGCGCCGAAATAAACGCGATGGCGGGCGACGCCACAATCAAAAGAATCACGCACTCGAAAATGGCTCAAATTTGTGCTGTTTTCCATCGCGAGAAGGGCTTCAAACTCATATCGGACTAATTTCGCGATAATGTCCGGCCTTGACTTTTTTTTATGCAAAAGAGGAAGGTTCAAAGATAATAAAACACTAAAAAAAGCAAAATCACTTTTTTTTTTCTTCGCAAAAATTATGTTTTTTTAATTGCAAGGTGCAAGTAAAAACACATAACCAAGGGAAAACTTTTTTTATTTTAAACAAGCTAGACGGGAACAAAATGTCATAAAATGAACTTACAGCAAACAAACAAAAATTATTTTAAAGCTATATTTATGGCGCGAAATAAATTTTTGTTGGCACCCGCGGGAGCCGCCACTGGTAACATGGTAGACCTGTGTGCCGCCGCGCTGTTGACGCAAGTGACGCCGGAGTCATTCAACACCCCCGCTGAAGTCCCCAGAACCCCAAAGTCGCCGCCTCCGCCGCCGCATGCTAAGCATGGCAAGCCGTTGGTTGAATGCGTTTCTCTACGCCGCCACCGCCCCAGTCAGTTTCTGACCGGCGCACAGGTCTGTCATGTTTTACGCCGTAACTATAGCTCTAAAGTAAAAAAAAAAAATTCGTTCTTAATTTGGTTTGTGGCACTTTTTTTTCCATCTAGACTGTTTAAGAAGAATATTTTTTTTCCTTTGCATATGTCCTTTAAACAAAAACTCAGCTGAACCCATGAACGTTGTTACCAAGCTTCCACTTGTTCATTTCTAAGCAAAGAGACAACTTTAATCAAACTACATTTATGGATTGTGGCGATGGAAAGTTCAATGCCTACATTGAGATGGCAAGTCGTCAACGACACATTTGACATAAAATTATTCCTATAGCGATGCCTATGCAGCTATGCCTAGGTTATCAAAGGGATTTCTAAATCTTTTGCTATGTGCAAACATCCTCTCTTGCGTCTAAATTTTGAAAACAAAAATTATATTTAATGAATGTCACATACTTTTGCATAATAACTACAGTTTAATTTTGAAGATTTTACTGTAGTGTAGGACATTCACGAAGTTTCCGTTTCTTTTTAAAAACGTCAAAGGCGTGCGGGCACTATCCCACTTGGAAGGTGCGCTTCTTTCCTAAGCACACGACTGCAATGTTTAACCTTTGAAGTGTTGATCGCAGTGGGTTAGCCCTCTTGGGTCCTCTTCTTACAGAGCACCGGTGCACTGTGGCAAAGAAACACCACGAAAGCAAGCTCCGTGAGTGTTGCTTTTCCACGGTGCACCGTTGCTCAGCAAGAAGCGTGCTCAATGGGACTAACCCACCGCAATCAACACTTCGAACAGTATGAATATCGCAGTTTATCTCGAAGTGAATACCGAACAGCGTATTATTTAAAACTACCATTAGAAAATTTGAACATTCGCACAACCATTCTCGTCCATTCTCTCCCTTTACTTACGCGCAGCGCAAGTTTGTCTGCTTCTTGCACAGGGATTGCAGTGATATCACAACGCCGAGCTCTGATTGGCTCTGACGAGAAAGAAGGTGGGTAGATTGGACGCGAGGCTCGCTCGAACGCTGACGACGCGGCACTCGTGTACATTCTGCGTCTGTGCCCGATCTCATCGTGATGACATTGATATTCTAGCGCGCAAGTTTTGAAGAATTGCAGTCGAAGCTCTGCCTCCAGTGCGAGCTTCACTCTTTTGATGGCACTTCGGCACCTTATGAGCATGCAAAGCCAAAGCACGACGAAAGGCATGCCAAACGCGGGCTGGGGGGCTTCTCCTGCGAACCTCCATTTGCGGCAGATTAGAGGCCGGCTTCGAACGAAGCAACTTTTTCCCGACATCTCGACGTCGCCACAGCCGCGAGTCTTGCAGGCCGCGTTCGCACACGGCAAAGGCTTTGGTAGCCACATTTGACGTTTTACCATCGGCGGCATTAAAAACTAGCACTATTTTTGGACATGAATTTAAAAGTAATTCACTGCGGTCGGTGCTGGGACGAGAACGGCATGGAGGTCTCGGTCGTCGTTGCTGCAGCACGAGCTTCCATCCTGTGACGGAACTTTGGCGTCTCGTTGGCCGCAGGCGTGCTTGCTCGAAGCCTACGTACGACATAAGGCAGCTAGCGCATGCCAGAGGCGAAGAATCCGAAAGGGATGCCCTGCGCTTGCTCTGTTGGCGATCAATCGAATTGCGAGAAAATGATAGCAAGCCAGTTGAAATAGAGCTATCGATTATTGCCGCCCGAAACATTCTCGAGATGCTGTTCAACCGAGTCGTCGGTTTTGCCCTGCGTCGATCCTGGCGGTTCGACTCGCAGCTGCCGTAAGCTTTCGGCAACCCCAGAATTGCGAGACTGGTGTCTCAGTGTCTGAAAAGGGTGTTAGCAATTCTGAAATGTTTTGGGGGTTCCTTCTTGTGCTTGCTCAGCACAGTAGAATTAAGAATTGGGCCTTAGACACCGTAGATGTGGCGGTAACAGCAACAGCCACATAAATTGCCTGGATTCTTCGAGGCTTGCAGTCGCTCGTCTGTGGCGCCACCAATGCAGTTTTATTGGTTCTGTAAAACCTGGCTGACCCCTAAGGGCGCACTCAAATTTCCGTGAGAGGTACAAATTACCCTAACTTTTTCTGTGAATAAAACAAATTAGAAGTAATTCCAGCCCGCAAAATTTAGAATTTAGTTTGAATTAGCCAAGAGCACAAGGTGTCGGGGTCAGGATTGACGAGGGTAAAGTGCCTTCAGAGTTTTGTTGTTTTTGGTTGGTGGCAGAAAGAGTCTTGCATCTCGATTGTTTCGTCAGAGCCAAGACGTGCTGCAGACGAAGATGGTGCGCCCAATCGGCTTCGTCACCCAACCGGCGGGAAGGAGGAACGTGCGCCCGTGCAAGCCGGCCAGCCACTCTTATGGCCTGTCGCCGTTCATGCAGTCCAGCCGCAATCAACAGCGGTATGTGCTTTAGTGCCAACATCGCCCTGTCTAAGGATAGCCACATGTCTGTCAGTTTCCAATATTTTTTTTAACACTGGTTAGAAACGCGAGATTGGGAAATGGTGTGCACGGTGAAGTTTTGTGCCCCAACCAGTGTTAGTGTTTTTTTGTTTTGATTTTGACTCCATCTATGAACCATTGCTGATTCAGCCTGAATAACTTCCTCTTAGTGGCAGAGTGGTAGAGTCTGTGACAGTTTTGCTTAGTAGATGCTGTGCCTTGAGTGCAAGCTTTCTTCGTTTGATGGCAGTTTGTTGCATGCGCAGCCAAAAGCCCTGCGGGGTTCAACGAGCGCGTGTTGGAAGCAAAGCTAATATTAGGTTCCTGACCTGTCACTGACTCCAATCCGTGCACCCGTGAGATGGATTTACATGTACACCCGAGCTAAAACTTTTAATTCTTTTGTCCTTTGTTCTACAGCAAAGCTTTCTATGGCTAGCCTTCCATGGATTTTTCATGTGCAGTGACTAAAAACTCTTCGCTCGCACCGCCGCACGTGCACGCCTTCCCCGTATAAAAGATTCAAAGTAAATAACCAAAATAAAGTGTTGACGAACGCGCGTGGAAGATGCCATTTGTTTTAGGCTTTTGCGTTAGAACAGTTACTGCTGCAGATGCCGGCCACTGTGGCACGCGGAACACCAGTTCCTGCATTCTCCTTGATACTTGGGTAATTTAGCAATAGGTCTAATCAGTAGGTTAGTGATCAGTAGGCACCATTTTTAAGACCAGAAGACTCTCAGGTAGGCAATAAAGGCTTCTCTAAGATTGGCCTCTGTGCAACCTGCGTTGGCCATGTCTACACTCGTATCGCCCTCTCTTTGTCGTCGTTCCAAGCGCTTGCATGCCTAGTTTTCCTTTCCTTTCGCCCTCCCAAGGTAGCGGTCCCGTCGCGCGTGTCTAGTTTCCTCCGACTCCTCGGGGCCGGTCTGTGTCGTCTGCTGAACAGCTTCGCTGGTCATCCACCTTCATAAAACAAAATGGCCCATGAATTTTTTTTTTTTTTTTTTTATATATATATTTGATTATTTTTTGCAGGGGAACCTCCTAGAAGCATTAGGGTGACAGCTATGGCTGACATTTTGCTACGAGACCTAGTTTTTTTTTTCGGAACCAGCTGAAAAAGCTGCGTTTTATCTTCCCGCTACAGCGTGACCTCGTTAGAACAGATCTAGTTGTGGCAGACATTTGGTTATAAGCTACCGGTTTGTAAAGTTTGGTTGGTCTTCCCATCCATGCCATTCAGTGAACTTCACTTATTACAGATTCTGTTATGACAATCATTCAGATATAACAGACCATAGTAAAGAGTTTGTGAGTACTTCATTATTCTGTTATGGCGAGCTCTTTGACAGCAGTCGTTATTTTGGACGTCACGTGACTTCGGTTCGGTAGCGGTGGCCTCCTCCTTGCAAACTGCTGTCGTTGCGCTTCGCCCCTCGCGCGAGCTTTGCATCGCCCAATACTTGCAGCGACAACAATCGTCGGTATATAACTCAATAAAAAAAAAATTGCTTTCTTCACAGTTCAGGGGCTTCAATAAATTGGCTTTTTTCTAATATCCATTCAGTTTTTTTTAGTCCTACTGGTTAGAATTCAGACTCGTCATAATCCACCTCAAAGTCTGTTGTAAGGGTATCTGCATTCCGCATACGTCTTTCACTGCAGGCCAAAATTTTCATCGCTATATATCAAGGTCCGTTGTAATGAGTTTACGTACTGTGCATGTCGGCTAGCTAGCCGACATAGCGAGACTTCTGAGGCTTTCAAGGGGGCCATTTTCAAGTGCTTCCAACCCGGCTTTGCAATTTTTATGCAATTTATGATTCGTCTCTGCAGCTCCGTTGCCGATGCCACAAGCTCGGAAGCTTCAAAATTGAAAGAGGTGAGCGATTGTTTGTGTCTGCATGCTCGAATATCGTCAACCCCGTTTATGACACGTGACTCGCGACGATGGCAACTTGCAGATGTCGCAGCGAAAGTCATGTTTCACGGAGGGCAGGACTTCGGAAGAGCCGTTGTCCTTTGTGAGCAGGTCAGTGGCTGTGCTCTCCCACAGGTTATGACCCGTTCCCACTAGGCAAACAAACACTACAGTCGGCATTCCTCCCCAACAGAACAAAATTGCAGCTTTTCGATGGCGAGGGCGATTCCTGGCAATGCCCCTTATTCACAAACATTTTGTTTCCCGCCAAAGTCGGTGGCGCTTGTACGTAGGAAAGGTCGCAAACATTGTGACCGGGCATGTTTGTGAGCAGTATATGGTGAATGTTTGTTTAGCGGATCTGGATCATCAGAAGTAATTATTTCTTTGGCGGCCGTATGTTATGTTTGAGGATCGTTTTTATGGCAGCCTAGAAGGTTTCTAGCTGCCCCTGTGTTGTGGCTTCCAGCCATATATACCTATGACATCAATGACAGTAATTGCCGATGTCATAAATATGGCTGGAAATCGCAACAAACTTGTGGGTAGCTCAACAGTATTACGCAAATCTTCTCAAATCTGTTAGTAAACTTGTACAGTGGAGCCCTTAAGGGCTGGGGGACGTACAGGCTGGAGACCGAGTTTGGGCTGTATGGATGACGAAGTTTTAATGGGACATGATTAGATGATGGTAGCGTCCAATGGTAGGTCCCATTCCGTCTCCATTGCGCCTGTCCTTGGGTCCCCCTTATAGCTGCGGTGATGTGACGATGTTGCGTCACCGGCGGGATCTTGATGTGATTGGTGGTGGCTGTTGGCTTCGATAAAGATCAGGTTCAACAGTCACCGGGATTGGCCCGAAGGCTTATGTCACCGCAGCAGCAGCAGCTACTCTTGATGTTGTAGGAAGACAAAGACCCGTTGACGTCCATTACTTTGGCCAATGTTTGAAAGCCTTGATTCCGGTTCTTCGAGAAAGTTTCTGTCGAGCTAGAGTGTTGCGAACCATCCCCGTAAGTGTGCCGTGATTTGAGTACGGCCTGGTCGGGGTAGAAACATAAGAGCTTACATCGCTCGTGCGTTTGAACAGAACGCATTTGTATGCTATTAATTGTTATAGATTGTTGTGGTAGATAATGCCAGTCCTCTACTCTCCCTAATTTTTACTTTTGATGTCTACTTGCCTGGATTGTTGGGCTTTGTCTTCTTTGTCCGACACTGCATTGCAGCTGCATCTCGCGCGCTTCAATAGCTTCAAATATGTTTTTGGCGACGCTGATGCAGGTGTCTGCTATAATTTAATTTTCCAAGTTTCAAAGATATTTTTATGTCGTTTTAAACTCGGAAAAATGTCCTCCTGAAAGCATAGCGGGATATTGAAGGTAAGTGTATGGATGTCTCTTTAGAGGGCTTGTTCCAACTGACCATCTGTTTTATCGCCGAAATCGTGATGCGGGTTTTTCTTGCTGGAGTGCGGTGCTTAAAAAGACTGTGCTATGATTTTCAGACTTTGACCAATTAACTGCAGATATTAATCTGTGTCACCCGTGGAACAAAAAAGAGAAAACTGTATTTTCTTGCGAGCGCTAGTTTTTATGTAAAAAAATGTAACAAATCGAAGGTCAAAGTGCCTTTCAACTCAACGTCGCCTTTTGAGTGACATACTCTGGTGGATCACGTGGTTCCCCCTTGAGTTCTCTCCTCAAAGACCCCAGCCGTTTCCTCCACGATTATCGACATTAAAAGGATTAGCATCGTCGAAGGTGGCGGCAAGCAATCGACACAAAAGACTGTTCGCCACGGGGGTGACGGCGAGTGTAGTAGCAAAGGGGGTCAGGTTTTGTTCACTTCCGCACATTCCCCAGAGTACCACCGCACGCGGCTGCAGATCGGCAAATATTTTTTTCATCTTTGCGATTACGCACCGGAATAGCAGTTTTTCGGGGCTAGGCGACACGTTTTTGGTTACTTGTTGGATAAACAATATAAAAAATACAAACTGACGATTCTTTCAACATTAAAATCGTTGCACTACCCCTTTAAGGCCGAGCCTGTTCAACGGTTGTCTTGCAGACGACTGAACCTGCGTAGGATGGACGCGGCCATCTTGGAGGACCCTGTGGAAGATGACAACCGCCACGTAGGTTGTCTTGTTCGTTGGAACTCTCTCGGTTTCCCCAGAGCCATATATACCATAATGTTCCGAAACATTGCCCACATAGAATGAAGAGATAAATGGTGAAAAACATGGGGTGGGCTATCTTTGTGGATGCCACAGCGGAACTCCATCAAAAATTAACGATACACACCCTGGCACCAGCCACAAACCGCGTGACACGGGAACTGATACCGCAGATCGCGAACGCTGCAGGTTCGCATTTCACAACGCAACATACACGCGGGAACAACTCGTGTGTCACGGGAGCCGATGTCGCACGTGCAGATTGCAGACGGAAACGTGGGAACCCGCTATGAACTCGCTTGTCATATGTGTTGGTACAGCGAATTGAGCAATTGATGCAATTCCCGGTGGGCATCATGTGACAACCGACGGGAGTTGGGAAGTGGGCAATGTTTCAAAATTTTTATGTTGCAGGTACAGTCGAATCTTGTTAGTTCGAACTCGAGAGGGACCGAAAATTTGTTCGAATTAACGGAAGCTCATTAAATGGAGCTCTTACGTGCAGCGCTGCGTTGGGCGGCGCACGTGCACTGAGCTAGCACATGAGTGACGAGTTCCAGGACATTTATTTTCACCGATTACGAATCCATGATGCGTGCCTGTGCACGGTTCCTCAATCGTGAATCAACAAACATCGCTTGGAGCTTGGAGACCAGCTCTAACGCGGCATCTGCATTCTCCTGGCAAGAGAAGTAGCGCGCGGTGATGTCCAGCGCTTCGAGTGCTCTTCGTGATGCCGTGTTTCTTCGCTATTTCCGTCTTGGAAAGTGCGCCACGGTCAACTTCTTGCAGTATCTTTACCTTCGTCTTGAGGTCCTTTGGTGGGTGGTACGTGCCTTGGCTTGCCACGACGCTTGGAATCGAGATAATATCAGTCGCGCGCCCACCGAAAACACGTTGAACCGAAGCAACGCGCGGGTGTAAACGGAACTGTAGTCTGTCGCACTCCCGCCGAAAACGCGCCGAAGAGCGGTGGCGCAGTACGCAGTACCGTTGCCGTGCAAGAGAGCACCGCACCGCTCATCGCAGCATTCAAGGTCACCACGTGATCGGTTGTCATGGTTATTCGGAACTGGAGACGTTGGAGGCGCTGCCGCGTGAGTTAGCCTGCTCCTGAAGGCATGCTCAGCGGCGCGGGATATTTGAATTAACCGGCGCAGGCGTTTAAGCGTTCGAATTACCGGCCGTTTTTGCCCATTGAAATACATATAGTGTAGTCCGGACCACAGCATCAGTTCGAATTAAGTGTGTTCGAATTAATGAGATTCGACTGTATTTAGCAAGAAAAACGGGATGGGCAATTTCTCAAAGGCGGGCATTCTCTCGAAACTTTACTGTAGAGAGAGCATGGTGGGTGTGAGGAGCAGGAATATCCAGGGCGTGCACCAGACGCAGATGGAGTGCTTGACCTGCTCCCATGGCAAACCAGAAGCTGAAAATAATCCCCTAGCGGTGGTAGCAAGAAACAGCTTTTATAAACGCGTAAGAGTTAAATGTAGTAACTCTTCGTGGTTGAAAATAGGGTGCACGTGATGTTTCGATTGTGATGATTAAAGGGATACTACAACGAAATTTCGGCGCTCATTTTTTGGTCTATATGTGTTCAAAAGAGCAGTATCACATGGAACATACCAATATCTTGCTAAAAAAGTTTCGAAAAGAAATTTTAAAACGAATTAACGATTAGCAAAGAGCACCTGGTGGATGTCGCTACCGCCTCGTTTGTAATGCTCGTCTAGGAACCTTGACAGCTAGTGACGGAGGTTGTCTCGTCTCCGGCCACGACGAGAGAAGGGGGGAAGGAGGAACTCCCCTCTTCCCGAGAATCCCTTTTGTGTGTCGCAGAAGTCGCTATTGTCCCCCTAGAAGATTATAGAAGATTAGCCCGTCACTCAAAATTCGTACAAAAGCAGCCGCTTCGGTGGCTGGAACGACTAGGCCATCCTCTCGACGTCAGCCTCGCCGTAGCTTTGCTCGTCTTGAGACGACCTACGTCACGATTGGGTTGGATGTCACGTGCTGTAAGCTGGGCCTTCTCCGAGCGCTTGCCAGAGTGGGCCGTTTATAACGAAAAAGCCACCAGGATCAAAATACAAACGTGCGATTGTCATTTACGGATATTGTGGATCATATTCAACCTATTTTTAAACACGACGGGAATATTTCAAATTTCGTTGAAATATCCCTTTAAAAAAGATGTAGGGAACGAATGTGCCGCTCAAACTCTTCCGCTCAGACGGAGTCTGACCGCTCGGACGGCAGATTCCGGCCCTCGGCACCTGGCGTACGGATTGCGTTGGTGGTTCTGCTTTTTATATCTTCTTTGTCAGTCTTTATATATCTCCCACCATGATTTTGCATGATTGTCATCGAAACATCACGCCCACCACATTTTTAGTCACCGAGAGTTACTCCGACGTGCTTGTTAATTTTGTTCCTTGCAACCACCACCAGGGTATTATTCGCGGCTTCTGGTTGGCCACATTCAAATTTGTGAAGATGCCCTGGAACACGCCCAGCCCATTGTCGGCCAATGGTGCTTCCTCATTTGCCTCCTACACTTTCCAATGAATGGCCAAACTCTCTCTGTACACTGCCCTAGGTTTCCCACCATTATTGGGGGGCAAATCGCGTCAACAGGCTGTTTTGATGGCGGATATTACACTCAGCACAGCCAAATGTTTGTGTTCAAACGGAGGAACAACACGTCTGCTTTGGGATGGGACTTGAGTGGACGTAGCAGTAATTTGGTTCATGTCGTTGCTTTGCCAGGATGCGAGGCCGCTCGAGCGCGACGAGGCGCAAACGTTGGCGAAGCAGCTGGCACACGACACGTTCTCGACCAAGGGCACTGCAGATTTCCGTGAGTCGCCGCGTTAAGGGAGACACATTGTTTGGATGAACGCGCGTGCCTCTGGCGAGCGACAGAAGTTGCGAAGCAATCAGCAATATCATTAATGCTATTACTGTCGGTAAAAATCTTGGCTAGGAGAGTCTTGCGGTGCATCATTTTATTGCTCCGCCATCCTGCCTTTCTTCCTCTGCCTTTGTTTTTCTTTTCTTTCTGAAGCAGCAGCTGCGTGTATTATTCATTTTCTTGTGGCAAAATATTTCTATTGCCCCCCTCCCCTCCCCCCCCCCCCCTCCCCTCTAGATCATCATAGGGCTGAATGACATCGAGTTAATTTAGAAATCCCACACCTGAAAATGTTTGCACGCCTCTAACGTGGAGCATCGTAGTGGAACCTGGGCCATGTACAGTGCTGCCAAGACATGCATTTTGAGGCATGGAACTTGAATGCAATAACATTGGCTTTGTTGCTGCAGTAAGGGGAGATAAATAATATGTGAGGCTGCATCCACATGCTCTTTCTGTCGGATGAGCCATGACTGTCTTTGCTGACTAAAAGCTGGTGAAGCGTAGATGTGATTACTTGGCTTACAACTTTTTTTCCCTCCACCTGAACAGCACTGCCACCGTCTTTTGCGATTGCTGGTGAGGAAGGCGACACGGCAGACAACGAGGTAGGTCTAAATTATGGGTGCTGATCGAGCGAAAACCTTTTTCCTTTTTTTCTGCAACCAAATTTTTTAAATTTTATTTCTAGTTTTTTGCAATAACCTTGAGGTTGGTGCAAAAAACCACGAGTGAAAGTTCTCTTTGTTTTGTGATTCGGTTGTTTGCTTATTGCTATAATCACAGGGAGACGAAGGGTGGCAAATTTCGAGCACCTTTTATTGCTCCACAACCAACGACATTTTGGCGCTAGCCGATAAGGACGCCGAAGAACAAGTCGAAGCTTGAACACCAGCCACACCCCGCTTTTCTTACAGTTGAGATCATGCAAGCGCAAGAACGAAATATTTATAGAACTTGGCTTAGGTGCATTTGGTTGTATGCTTAGGTTGATAGGGATAATGACCCGTACAATAATGTGACCCAATTGTGTGCTAGCATCTAGTATACTCATTTGGAGAGTACTACGGTAATAAAAACGGCATATTTGCAGGTGAAGTCAGTTCAGACGGAACCGAACCACGCCTACAAGGTGGAAGTGGTCACCATGACGTGCCCCGTGGTGCAGCACACGCTGACGGTCACCAGCACCAACCTGATCACCGGCGAAAGCGTGGTCACCGAAGAATCCACGGGAGCCGAGGTCGTCCAGGTGCAGTGGAATCCAGAAGACAACAACATCAACATCAGCACACCGGATGCAAGCTTCAACACTTCTGGGCCGTGACTGAATCGAGCTCGTTATCCGTTCCCACGCTGCAATACCAAAATGAATTATAGTTGAGTTGTTGGTTGAATTTTGTTTCTCTTTTTTTTTTCTACGGAATAAACGGGTAGTTTATTTGTGCGTGCTTGGTGCAATGAGTCTTGAAGCTATAATTTACACACCTGCCGGTTTCGACAGGAACGGGTAAGTATTCTGTATTCTCGAATTTGTTATCGGGCGGTGCACATTGAAAACCTTAGGTTAGTAGCTGCAGCCTGCAGTGGTAAATCATTGAAGTGTGGAATATGACAGCAATCTTTATAATCCAGTATAACTTACCCAGGGTTGCCACTTGAGGGGGATTTAGATTTTGGGGAGGGTTTCTGGTGCGTGTGGGCCACAGGTACCTGTGTCTCGTACAAAATTTTGGAGAGAAAAGAGGGGTGGATAGCATAGCTTAGGGTGTATTTGGAGTGGGCTATAGATAGATGGTTGGTTGGTGGGCGGGTCTCTCCTTGCATAATGTGCTTCGTATCAACATTGGCAAGTGTTGGGTTTTTTTGGTTTTTTTATTGAGAATTACTCTGGTAGCCTACAGTTACAGTTGGCGGCACATTATTAACAACCAAGTAGATGCTCCGCCCTAGCAGCATGTGCACATTGCTTTCTGTCGGGGTTTGGCTGCACGTGCGACTAAAGTGCCGTTCACACACTTGCAACAGAGTATGACAGAGAGACGAGACCAGTTTTTAAGCCTCTTGCGACGGCGTACAACCTGCTCCGCAGCAGCGTATCCGATCCTCCGCCGTGGAAGAGGCTTTAAAACCGGTTTTGTCTCTCTATCGTACTCGGTTGCAAGTGTGTGAACGGGGCTTTAGTGTTACGAAAGGCAGAAATCTTTCGCTAGGGGGAGCTGCACCTGCTGGGATATGTTATCCTGTCAATGACTAGGGTTCTGTATTTGGGTGTAGTTCAAGGTTAACGTTTCTGTGACCAACACACGCATAAACTCAGTGGTCTGGGTTTGCAGGTGTGTCGACTGCAAGTCCTAGCAGTGGTCATACCTTTTCTACGACTTTCGGGAAATCTGGTTCTTTATAGACTAGATCTTGGCCGTTGAGAAAGGGGAGAGGAAACGCCTGCGAAGAACTACCAGACACACAACAACGAACGAGGAAGATGTCTGCTCCTGATCCATCAAAGCAAATAACTGCGGGGGCGGAGCTTCGTAGCACACGTGATCACCCCCTCTTGTGCGCGAAGGACGCGTTTCGTTGGACTTGCGCGCCGTATAACCCCCTGTATGTCTGACGATGGGCAAGATTTGTGATGTCATCAGTTTACGTAACATGAATCACAACCCATCATACTGATAGCAAACTGCGAGTCAAACTTTTAACTGAAACAATCAGCTGCTCCCTTTGTTCGCGCGTTTCTGGTATAATTTCGAAATTTCCGCATCTTGAGATTCATTGTTGCCGGACCTGGTTCTCGATTTTCTTAAAATAGAAAAGGGGGTATAAAATTGGTTTTCAAATACATTTCAAATTCCAGATGCAAGAATCAAACTTTGCTTGCGAATTGTGTCGCAAAAATTGTCTACTACTGGCTGTTTGTTCGTTTGTTCACAAGCTTGCAAGCCTTGCAAGCCAAGGAAATAATGTAGTGCGGACCTGACGCACTATTTTTTATGCACCACCACCAGACCACCATGTGCTGCAGGATCGTGGTAGCCTGTAGTGGACTCGTTCCGAGAGCCTGTCCGGCCTGTCCTCCAGAGGCAGAGTTTTAAATCGAATTGAACCATTCAGATTTGGCACTCTGGTGGTGCACTAGTAACCAGAATGATTGTCACGTTAAAAACGTTACAACAACAAAGTTTCAAAGTTGAAATAGACCCTTCGGACACGGTAAGTCCGGCTTCCTTTGCAAGTCCCTCCGATGACGCGCATGTTTAGGAGACTTGACAGAAACGCGTTAAGCCTAAAAGGAGCTAGCACCGGCCTTTTTATCGGCCAAGTTTGATTGTTCCACGCCGAGTTTTATCTTGTCGCGGGCTCCAAAAGGGCTACCGTGCCGTTGTTAATGTCTCGAAGACAAAGGTGTTTTGGGAGAAAATACCTCGACGCCGGTACGGCCATCGCTAGCTACGGGCAGTCAACAACTATCTATGCATAATGCCTCACGATTCAAATATTACGATGTAATGCTCACATTCGATGGCATTTGGGAACATATGCCGAGCGTTTGAAAGTGCTCGACGTCTGTTTTGCGTCTGATGTCTTCAAACTTGTCGGAACATTCAGTTTTCTGTCTTGTTAGATGAGATTAGCCACTGCTGAGAACTTCGTTGCACGCAGCGTTTTTGAGTTCTCGCAGATTTCGCATGAATTCGGATAACCCGTATTCTTAATTTTCAAAAGCGCATGGTACGAGGTCCGGTTGCTGCGAGAAGAAAAAAAAAAAAAACGATAAAAAAAGAAAAGCTTGAAAATATGAACCTCTCGATCGCAGTCCCCAAAAATAGTCCTAAGCGGCGAAATTCCGACGATATCTCGAATTTCGAAAGGTAGGCACACGCTCTAGCCGTGCCAAGACGTCATGTTTCCATTTCGAAACGAGCTTTTTCTTGCACGGTCGTGTTTTCGGCTGACTCGCGTTTATCCGGACGATGACTCCGCCAGGATGATTTGCTAGATTTCGACCGTGGGAACAATATCATCAATACGGTGCTAGTCGGAGACGATTGTGTGCAAATGTGAAACTGATATTTTTTTTATTTCTTTCTTGTTTCTTTTTAATCTAGGTGAAGGTATTTAAAGAAAAAATCGAAGTTGAAAAAGGAAAAGAGTATCCAGCACAGTACCAGAAGTTAATATATGCAGGTTGGTGTTGACTTTTCTCTGCTTTGGTCTTGCGATTGGCCAGCAGGACTCAACAAGTCCTGCAAAGTCAGCGAGTCATGACGTGTTTTATCAAGACCAAAAGGTCGTTATGACTGTCCTTTCCCCAGCGTTGTTTTAATGTGTCATGTCCGAGTGTTTAGAAGACTGTGTGGACCCGGTGAAGCTTACTTGCTCTCCAGTATACACTGGAACTGAGCCTAAACCTGCTTGTAACACATAAACACCACCTATAGCTATTTTAAAGGGATACTTCACCGAAATTTTAAATAGGCTGACTATGATCCACCAGATGTGTAAATGACAATCAAACATTTGTATTTTGAGCCTGATGGCTGTATTCTTCGTTATAAACGACCCACTCTGGCAAGCGCTCCGAGAGGAGCCAGCGGAGAGCACGTGACATCCGGTGCAATTGTGACATAGATGGTCTCGGGACGAGCAAAGCTGCGGCGAGGCCGACATGGAGAGGATGTCCTAGCCACTAAATCGGCCGAAGCACGCCAGCGATCGGGCCACCATAACTAACCCCAAAGCTGCTTTTCTACGAATTTCGGGTGACGGGTTTTAATCTTCTATAACAGAGGTGCACAACCCGCGGCCCATGAGCACTTTCTGTATGGCCCGTGCGCATGACACTGCGAGATGTGCTCAAAGCGGCAACCAGTGTGATGATGCCAAGTATTGAAAACCTGTCTGCCAGATATTGAAAACCTGCGCAGTTTCCAATAAACATTTTTTGGCCCGCATCATTTTTGAGTTGTGCACCCCTGTTCTATAACCTCTTAGGCAATAGCGACATCTGGGACCCACAAAAGAGAGTCCAGGTGAGAGGGGAGTCACTTCTTCTCCCGTGGTGGCCAGAGAGCTGGCGGGATGACATCAGGTTCAAGGCATGTATAGTTTTAGGTGAGACAGGCATCGTCACTACCTGTCAAGGTTTCTAGACGGGCATTACAAATGAGGCTACAGCGACATCCACCAGGTTCTCTTTGCTAATAATTTAATTTGTTTTAAAATCCCTTTTCGTTTCTTTTTCAACAAGAGATTGGTGTGTCTGATGGGATATTGCTCTCTTGAATAAAAAGACCAAGAAATAAGCGCCGAAATTTCACTGTCGTATCCCTTTAAAGGAGCGAAGCAACAATTTTTACCTCGACACAATTTGCAGTGTTTCATTTTTAATTGTTTATTTTATCTAAAGGGACAGAGACACCGCCTCATTCTTTGGAAACATCGCGATTCTGTGGTGTAACAGCAATGCAAAGAACGGGAATGTTTCACGATTTGCAGCTGCGAGTGCCGGTAATGGGTGCATTGCAATAAGTTTGCAAAATGTGTCATTATTGAGTCATACCGAGCATCCACCCATTCCACAATAAGCTTCCACCCTTCAATTTTGTAAAATTAGAAAAACACTACACAAAAGACATATCCTTACATATTGTTGACGCAGGAAGTGCCCATCCCCCAGTTTTACACGATTATCTCCAAATTTTAAATGGGGCCTTGCTCGGGATTTTACAGTATGTGCTCAATCTAAGGCTATATTTCATAAATATTGTCATGTCAACATGAGCAAATGCATCAAAAGTATCGTGTTGTCAACAAAATTGTAATATACTGTAAACGACTTAATTTTCGCGAATTGCCTACAATTCATGGAAAATAGGTCCCGTGAACAATTCCGGTAAAATGGAAACACATTGGAATCTATATTGAGATCCCACCTCGTCGCGAAAATTGGAACCCGCGGATTATTCCAAAACTTCAGCTTTGACCTAAATCATGAAATATTGAACCCGCAAAGAATAAGTTGTGCAGGATTCAGTTTTAGTGGTGCCATTTGCCCCAGGTGAACACAAGCGTTCCATTCCCTGTCGCTACTACGTCGGTCTGACCTCCTTATAACAAGACAAGGTTCCCCCCCCCCCCCTCCCCCTCTCCCTCTCCACATCACTAAATACCAACCTTCAAGGTCGTATGACCAACGTTTTCTCCTCTCTTCGACGCCATTGCTCTCTCGCCTTGTGAATCATAAGTGAAGGCAGCGTGCACTGGAGGTACATGTCACTGTACGCACATGACTCAGAAAGCGATGTAAGAGTTCGGTGTAGTTGGGAGGCACCGAAAACTTCAATTGTTTGGCGATTCTCTTAAAAAACAACTAACATGTGCAAGCAACATTTGTTTTCAGCTCTTTACTCCAGGCATGACGGGAACAACTTCCACAATTATTTGACCAAAGTCCAAAAATTGTTGCATGGCCCCTTCAACCCCTCAACCATTTTGTAGTTTTGGGGCATTTTTGACCCTCAACTGCATAACTGTTGCCTTAAAATTGTATTGCTAGCAACAAACGGAAGGGGAGCTAAATTTAAAAAAAATTCAATGCTGCCATCTTTTGGCAGAGCCACAGACTAAGCCATGAGCGAGCCTGGATTGTCAACACGGTTGAGTGCGTGAACTGGGGAAAGCAGATTAGCTGTATTTGTCTTGAACGGTTTGGGGACGGCTCCACGTTGATGAGCTAGGCTCGTCCAAAACAGGTAAAGGTTAAGCGTTGCCAAGAGATGTTTATTCTTATGCCGAAATTTAGAGCCTACAAAACAAGGCTAGACTGATGGGTGGAACACTGCACAAAACATCACTTCTGCAGCGATATCTCCTACGGATGACTGTATTTTTGAAAAAGAAGTGCTCAGTTGAACACGGCCGACAAGATATGTGACGTCAAGATTCTCATTCCCTCTCCTTTTTGCTTTGTACCCTCGAGCTGGTGAACCTAAGTGAGGAGGAGAGAAGGGGACGAGGCCACTTCCCCTCATTCTCAGCTGTTCTTGGAGGATCATGACATCACAGTCCTAGCTTGATCGCGACATTTTTTGTCCAAAAATACGACCATCCATTTGTAGCGTCAACACATCTGCGGCCTTATTTTGCGAAATTCAAATTTTGGTTCAGCATCCCTTCAATGAAGGCCGTACATAACATTGGCACCTCATGTCACTGTCAGTGATCGTTGGGTTAGAAACAGCAAAGAGCTTCCTGAAGTGCCGTTGGTCCAGTGGCCAAGGCTTCAGTTGTGGGGAAAGCAGACCGCAATGAACAATGCCTTGGTTACGCCTGCACCAGGTGTTTTGAATCTGTCGTAACCACTGTGTTGTTTCTAGGGAAAATCCTGAACGATGATTCGAAGATGAGCGAGTATGACATCGAGGAGAAGAAATTTGTAGTCATCATGGTCACCAAGGTAAGCTCATCTGGAGAGCGTCTGAATTGAAAGTGTCGCTGCCACTCGTTCTGTCCTGGCCCTGACCACTCCCTCTTTCTCATTCCCGTTGCGTGACACCGGTTTCTCTTGCCCATGTCTTATGCTATACTTAACACTTCCCCATGTCTGTGAACTATGTAATATACATGTACAGACGCAGTCACACTTAAAAAGATTCAATAACATATCTTGTTGCAAAGAGAAAGGCTGGGGCATAATAGCACTTAGGCATATTGATGTAAATCAAAGATATAGCATAGCTGTGATGGAACACGAATAAGACCAATAAATTAGCACCCGTGCACGTACGTACACATTACAAAGGCCAGAATATGTCACACATAAGCTTAGCACATGTCCCATTTAAGAACGATTGTGGCTGTAACTATGACTAACTCTGTTAAACCTAGGTTTCACAGCATTCTCATGGCAGCATTACCGTAGAACACTGCGCATCCGCCCATTCCACACTAAGCGCCCATGCCCAAATTTGTAATATCTGAAAAAATATGTACAGTACATTGATATGTAAAACTTGATGACCAGACAAGCGCCCATCCTCCATTTTTCGCTATTATCTCTTAATTTTGAGTGGGCACTTGCCCGGTATTTTACGCTGTGTTGTTGTTTTCTCATTTGAATAGGCATTCAGGCCACATTTCGAGGAGTCACGTCGAGTTACAACCGCGATGCACCGGGACATCTGTAATTCGTAATAACTATAGACCCTTTTCGAAATTGTAAAATGATGCCTAGATCATTCGCAGCCGCCATTAGTTGGTGTCATCGCTTCCGGTGTCAAGCCCGTGATTGGTTCCAAGTTTGCGCCGAATGCTGCCGAGGCGCTCGTGTCCAATGCGGGCTCACAGTGTGCGACTAAGTAATGGCGATTGCACATAATCTATGCATGCTTTCTAAATTTCGAAAAGGGTCTATTATAACAGTCGGCTTGAGAAGTAGCTTGGCACATGGCATACGACACACGGACGTTATAGTTTTACCCGTGGTCGTATCGCAACATAACGAAACGCCGCTGCACGTAGGAACCTTAAACCCGAATTGACAGACCTTGCAAGCCTCTCGAGTTCCGTGCCGTGTCCCCGGGTGGCGGGTTCGAATCCCGGCCAAGGTGCCCACAATCCGACGGAGGCTCGTTACGCAGAAGATTGAGATTTCGGTTGCACGCCAAGAGACACCTGAGCGAGCGAAACAAATCCTCCGCCAAGGCGTGCTAGACGTCCTTCGTTGGTTCCGCACGTAAAAAAAAGACCATTCGTCGCGCAGCCCAAGTGCGGGACACCGAGCTCCGGGGAGGGCGCTGCCTCGCCAGTGGTCGCTGCGCCCGTCGACGTTCCAGGGACGCCCGCCCCGGCCGGGGCAGCGTCGGGCAACGCGGGTGCCACGAAAGGTCCCGAGGCTGCGGGTGAGACGACGAGGAGCCCCACGACGGCGCAGCCGCCGAGCGTTCCAGCACAGCAGACGACGCCGGCACCCGCCGCGGCGGCGGCAGCCCCCACGGCGACGTGAGTCTATTTCGTAGATGAAGGTGGGACGCTTCTGGAGGCAACGCGACACCCTGAGGGTGACCAAAATAACTGTTTGCGCCGCCAAAACGTCGCCTCCAAAAGCTTCCTACCCTCATGCTTTTGTAGTACTGTGCCCCGTAAACGCCGGTTTACGCCGGTTCATACATACATTATTGCAAAAAACCAACGCTGTGCTCAGTTCGCAACCGGGCCAACGGTGCAGTGGGTACACGCTTGCCAGACCGACTAACCGCTTCCCTTTCGTTGCCTGACCGACCCCCCCCCCTGGTCCATTGAACACGTGGCTTCCACCGCACTGTCCGCTTAGGAGTGAACGGAGTAGGGGAACAGCACCGTCTTGAACAGAACTTAGCACCAACGTGGCACTGGGTTATTAATCTTGCGTGACGTCACCGCTTTTTCTAGCGTCGATTAATGGTGCCGAGGCAGCACTGTGGTGTACGTTTGAAAGGGCCTTAAAAGGTTGGGTGGAATCGTCATCTTGGGGTGCATGCGAGCCATACCAAAACTCCCAAGCTTTTGTAGGGGTGACGGCAGGGCCCGTTAGCTCTGCCCCCGTTTGTTACAGCCTCATGTGGACGCTTATGCAGGCTCTGAACAATGCAGTACAGTAGTGTGGATTAATTTGTTGTACCAGTTTGTGGTGATAATTCGTAAAATGAGCCACCGATGCATTAGTTTCGGGGGGAGGGTCAGTATCTATATCTAGTTTTCATTTTCGAAACAGTATTTACTTGAACGCGGCAGTTCTCAGAAAACTGCCCTTTCTGCCGTCCGCTAATGCTTCTCTAGTGGTGCCGCCTGCTAGTGGCGTATTCATGTTCTTCCTCTTTGTCCTGGCATTGATCCATTCAAAAGAGAAAGCGAGTGCCAGTGGAGCGGCCGACAATGACTGGATACGAGGAAGGGCGTTTGCGGTTGTTTTTCTTGTTTTTTTGTTGAGCCGGAAGATGTTTTTGTTCTTCTAATGTCCCTTCGTGACCCTGTCAACGTCCCAACGTATGTACGCCGTCCCTCCCCAGGACCGAGTCCAGTGGCGGCATAGCGTTGGCGGAGTCTGCGCTGGTGATGGGGGAGGACTACCAGCGCATGGTGTCGCAGATCATGGAGATGGGCTACGACAAGCCGCAGGTGGAACGGGCGCTCAGGGCCAGCTTCAACAACCCGGACAGGGCCGTCGAGTACCTCCTCACGGTCAGTAGTGGAAACTCCCCATGGCGGGAACGACCGCCGAGACTGCGCAAGCATTGGTCTGCGTTACGGTGCTTAGAAGGAGTCTCCGACTGGCGTGTGTAACATTCGCATTGTCGGCATCGTGGGGACCTAAGCCATTGCCGCAGGGCAGTGAGCAGGAGGCGCCTTGGTCGACTGCTAGTCAGCGCGGCCGAAAAAGGGCGACTTTGGGATGGCCGCGTCACTGAGTGATTCGACACAAGCACTGAATCACGATTCAAAACGGCGCCCGGGATTTCGAGCTCGAGATCCGGTCCAGTGATCGCGGCCGCTGGCCATCTCAGGATTGCGAGAGTTCCCCATAGAATGGCGCCACTTGTCAAACCACATGTTGTTGCCCGAGTTTGTCGGCTTGTTAAAAGCACATTGCCGCGGAGCATGTTACAGCAGAATGTGTTGCAGCAGAATAGGCATTCGCTGATTCGCTGTACCTATTTCCGCTGCCTTGCTACTGCCATCTGGTGCTTTTGAAAAAAAATTCGGATCCAGTATGAATGTGACTTAAAATCTCTAAACATGGCATTACGGAAAGGAGTAATGTTATTTGTACACCAGCTGTCAAAACTACAAACACTAGCTGGGTGACGCAAGCCACTGCCCGACTTAAAGTATCTGCCTCGCATTCATTCATCCGTCCGGCCTCCCACGCCTTCTGTACCTTTCGCACTGTGGCTATGATCGTCCCGCCGTGACCTTGTGACATTCACACACTCTTGTGATAAGTGACTGCTATTACTTTGTTTCACCTTTAGTTGGTCCACGGCGGATGCCACAACCATCCCAGCCAATTCAGCGCCGTGAACATATTGTGTAGCTGAGCGCCCCTCGCGTCACCACGCCCCTCCCAAAGGTCACGAGTTTGGCTGGAATGGCTCGCAGCATCTGCTGCACTTCAGATCAAATTGAGGATAGAGCCGCCGAATGTCCCCAGGTCTTGGGGGGCCGTGTTTCAGAACCCCGTGTTTTGGGGTCGAAACTGGACGGGCAGGCCTGGCAAGGCCTGCCTGCGCAGGCGAGCGAGCAGCCTGGATTTTCCTTTCTAAGGCCAGGTTAAAGGCCACTTGAGAAAGGAAGACCCGGCAAAAAAAATCTGCACGTCTTTCGGCTTAAAACGAAGTCGTAACTCGTCCGTTGCTTGGAGCTCGGCCAGTCGGAAAGCTCAATTTGCTCGATTCTTTCGGCGGAGCGAAACTGGCCATACTCTCATAACATTGAGTTGCCGTGACTGCTTGCACCGTAGGCCAGAGCACAGTGAAAGGCTAGAAGGTGTAAATGCAGACAGAGAAACTGAGAACACAAGGTCACCGCAGTCTTTGCACTCAGTTGCCAGTGAGAGAGCACGCACAGAGAGATGACAAACACTGTGACATTGTGCTTTTGGCTCTGCTTGATCAGCCCCATTCACTCGTAGGGTCTGGTGCACTTCGACTTAAGCCGGAGTATGGCCACTGCCATGTGGACCACTATCGCGGCCGAGTGTGCTTCCTATCTGTTGTGGCCTCGGTAAACGAGGCAGAGAGATATAGCATTTTATTCAGACAGCAGTAGCGTGAAAAGAACGCGCATACTGTGTTCCTAACGCCTTTATAACGATAACAATTGGGTGTACGCGAATTGTGGCTCAAATCGCATAGCGCTCTATCGTTCGTGGCCCTTGCAATGCTAGTGAAACCCGCAAATACAGACTTCCTTTGCAGTGCTGAAGCTAAGGATGACGCTGCACTATCTCAATGGTAATGGTATTCGCACAGGCCGGATGGCAATGTGTTGTCAGCATTTTGGAAGAAAAGCGCCGCATGAACGAGGACCAAGAAGTGGACAGGAGACGGAACGCTTGGTCTTTGTTTACTTCTTGTGCATCTATTTGCTCGGCGCTTTTCTTCAAAGCGACGTACGATCTAGCCCATCTATCTATCGTAAAGCAACTTGTTGTCCACGTCTTAAACCATTCCTTTCGGAGGCGACCTTGAAAGCCCTCGTCGTCTTTCCTCGCAGGGCATCCCGCCGTCCCAGCAGGACTCCTCGGAAGAGAGCCAGGGGGGCAACGAGGGCGGCAACACGGAGGGCGGTGGGGCGCCCCCCGCGGCGGCGCAGTCTCCTGGGCGAGAGGCGGCAGCCCCCCCTGGGGCCCTGCCGCTCTCGACGGAGGGCCTGGGGTCCGGGGGTGCGGAGGACCCCCTGGCCTTCCTGCGCTTCCAGCCCCAGTTCCAGCAGATGCGGCAGGTCATCCAGCAGAACCCCCAGCTGCTCAACGCCGTGCTCCAGCAGATTGGACAGTCGAACCCCCAGCTGCTGCAGCTCATCTCCCAGGTGGAATGCACTCCCCGCGTAGCACTCGAGTCTCCCGCCCTCCGCGCACTCGCGATTCAGTTTCCCCGCTAAATGTAGCAGGAATATTGACGTCCCGTGACCCGTGCGCCTATTCAGGTTCCCCCTCTACATTTGGTGGGAAATTTGATGTTACGGGACCTAGAGACAAATTCAAGTTCCCCGCTACATTTAGCAGAAATATTGACGTCGGGTGACCTATGCACCAATTGAGTTTCCCCGCTAAATTTGGCGGGAAAAGTGATGTTATATGACCCGACGTCACGAGATCACCAGACAAATTCATCGGAAAAATTGACGTCAAGTGAACTATGCACCAATTCAATTTCCGCAAACGAAGGCACGGGCACGTGAGCCTAGCTCAGCTGAATTCTTTTTCGCGAGAAATTGCCCGTAAAAGGCACTAGCACGTCGGCCAAGCGACGCGCTAGTGCCCTGTCACGTGACTAGGAGACTGAAGTGATTACTGCTGTAGTCGCTGGCAGAATGATAATGGCAGGGTGTCTTTTTCTGATGCCCGACTTCCACACGCACACAATTTGGCTGTGCGTGCTCCGGCACATGCTTCAGTACATGTGCCGGACAGGACAAGTGCCTGCGCTGCACGCGCTTCGGTTGTGCGTGCTATCTCGAGGCTCGCTAGATGCCCAGGCATTGTCAAAGGTAGGAAGCTCAACTGGAGGCGGGACAATGGAATGACCTTTCGTCCATTCTCAACATCCCGTCTAAGACTATTGCAGTGTCAGTATTAAAATGGCTGTTGTTAAAAATGCTGGCTAGAGGGGGCAAACCTTCATCCGATTCGACGGGTTCCATCCATACTTTCTATGTTTCCAGGCACGTCCAGTAGGGGACGGGTGGGGTTGAATGGGACACGGAGGTGCACGCGTTTCTAACCGCGCCTCGCTTGGCCATCGCTTCCTCTGCAGAATCAAGAGGCGTTCGTGCGGATGTTGAACGAGCCGAGTCCGCCGCCAGGCGGGAGCGGCGGCAGGACGCCACCCGCCGCAGGCGTGCTCGGCAGCGGAGCGCCGCTGGAGGTGAACTACGGTCAAGTGACACCACAGGACAAGGAGGCCATAGAGAGGGTGAGCGTGGCGTCCCCTCTCAGTGCTTGTTTGCAATCGTTCGGAGGGGGAGACGTTTTTCTTGGAACCTCTCTTTGTTGTCGGCAAGTCGACGAGTGTTTTGAGCGGCTTCGAGGAAAAGTGCCAGAAGAGCGACGGGTACTTTATGAGTCTAAGGATACGACTAAAATAAGTTGCGTCCATCTACCAAAAAAGATGCCAAGTGGATCCGTCGTGCACGTTGGTATGGACACCCCTTGACTATGATTTTGGTACCCCATTATTTAATCAAATCCAGGTGGCCTTCCAAGTTAGCTCTGGGACCTTTGCGAGGGTATGTCAGACACTCCTTGGCTGGTTTGGCACGTCAAATAGCAAAAGTTAAACATTTTTTTTTGCGAGCACATTACATCGTTTGGTTCTCCACTGGATACCGGACGGCTGCTTCAAAGCCGGCATTGAAGACAGTTTTTGAATATTTAAATGAGGATGGTGTTTTTTGCTCTTACGTAATAATGAGAGAGAAAGCGCTACCTTGAATCCCCTTGTCGATATCTAGCTAGTTCTCAGCTTTGTTTCACGTGTAGAGGCACATGTGTGTGACAAGTGCGTTGGCAGCTGTTTTCTTGTTTGACGCAGTTCCCATTTGAAGTTGGGAGAGAAAGGTCATTGTCCTTTGTGCATGTGTCGGTTCTTTTATGTTTCTGTTAAAGCATAGCATGGGTTCTTTTTTCTTTTTTTTTTTTGTTTAGCCCCTGCGTAGTTGACATCTTTGTTGTTGTTGTTGTTTTTTGTTTTTTACGAAGATGTCAGTAATACTAGTCCATGCTTTTGGCCTGTTTCATTTTTCCTTATTTTTTATATATATTTCATCAAGTAATTTCGCCTCAATCATGCGTCTTTCCTTTTTTTATGTCTAAAAGTCGTAAAAATATTGGAAGTATGAATTTTTTTAACACTTACAATAGAGCCTCCCTACACCAAAATCTAACATAGTGAAGATGTGGCTGTAATTAAACTAAGTTGAAGCACGCTTGTGATACTTGAGCACACACATTTGCTGTACTAATATAACAGTTTAAAAAAAAATATATCGGAGAGGTTTGACTTTGTAGAATTCTGAAGTCGGCCCGAAAGCTACACTTGGAATGTCTGAACCCTTTTTCCCCCCACTGTCCGGTGCAGTCACTACACTCATTCGTCCACTGGCGTCGCATGACATTTGTTTACGTGCCGGCGACTCTCAACTGCACGAACATGGATTGAAAGAGTGATGGTTCTCAAATACAACATTTTTAGCTGCAGGCACGGCATTAGGGTATCGTTGCAGCATTGTTTTGCTCTTTCTTGTGAACTTTTTTAGCGAATAAGACAACGGAAGGCACTTCTTGCGCCTTACTTACGTTTAGTGGCTCTAGCGCGCAGCGACGTGAAGTGTATTCACTGGTGGCTGTTTCTGCCGGGCGCAGGCTGACGGCGAGTTTCCGCAATACTCTTGCAATGTTCACTCCAGTCTGTCAAGGCGGCATGTTTTAGCACACTAAAAGCGTGCCCTTGTTCCGAACATGCGCCATGAACGGTGCACTAAAAAATGGCTACCGGGGAGTGCCCCCCTACAAGCCTATTATTGGAAGCGCCAGAAGGAGCTGTTGTTGGCAATTTACGTTGTGCTAGCTTCCGGTCAAACAAGGGGACAGCGACCTTCGCTGACGTAGCACCGCTTTCTGAGACATTCACAAAATAATTTACGACCGGTTCTTCAGGTTTTAGCTGAAGGACCGGTTAGCGAGAGACTTGGTGGAGTTTTTTTTTTAATACCCCCGTAAGACAACCGATTCCTTATCTGTTTTATAGCACAGCAGAAGGTCCTCCTCGCTAGATCCCCAACTTTGTGGTATATCAAAGAACTTGATCATCCCGAAAGTTTTTACATCGAGAGGTTAGGAAGACCTGGTGAAACGAAGCAACCGGAAGCCTCTTGGGGGGGCAAGAGACGGCTTGTGTTTGTAAATGGTAAAAGGGTCTATAGTTTGTGGTTTCTAAATGGCCAGTAATCGAACCTTAGAGTCTATTGCTTTGGCTGCAAGTCCTTGTAGGGCAAGGCAAAGTAGGGTCGTTATTGTTTTGGGGTGTGTTTACATCTACAGCGTCTTCTCGAGCGCTATTGGGGTGCAAAAAAAATTTGTATAAACGAGCCAGTGAAAAAGAGTACTGCAGAATTTTTCAAAAACCTGTTTTTAGGTCAGCCCGACAGTTTGCTTCTGTTTTCCTCCCATATAAAAAATGAGTTTTTACTTTTCTTGCATTTTTTTCTCCTGAAACCCACTCGCGAAATTTGGGTGTGACCAATGCACCACCTAAAAACAGCTTTGGGAAAAGTTCCATGGGTCACTGGCTTATTTACAGAAAAATGTTTACACCCAAATAGCGCTGTGACCATTGTGTAATGCATTAAAGTGGCAATTTGGGCCAGTTGGTTCATTCATTGATCATGTAGGCAAGGGCCAGAAAACACAGGAAAAAAGTAGACAGCAGGTTTCTGGCTAGGTAACCACATGAGGTTTCTAGAGGGCTACATGACCCTTTCAAAATCAAATGGAAAGGCGACGAGCATACAAGTGACTCTTTTTCGGCAAATGAGTATTATTTTTTGTTACAGGGGTTATATTGGAATTATCTGTGACTGTTTTGCCACGGCTATGTGTACGAGTAGTTTTGTTGTTGTTTTTTGGTTTTTTTTCAAGTAAAAGTTAGTTGCGCGTGTGCCCCTGTTTGTCTACTTCGTTCTCAGCATGTTTTCTGGTGCTTACCTACGTCACCGTGTAATAGCCAGTGATTGGACTTTGCGGCCTATTGCGTCTGCCGTAATTTTCGTAGAACCAGTTGAAGCACGGTTGTTTTTGTTTCCGGGCGTGTTTACGTCTCTAGTTCGCGAGGGGATGCGGCGCAAACCTGTGTCTTCCCCCCGTGCGCAGCTCAAGGCCCTCGGCTTTCCGGAGTACCTGGTGATCCAGGCGTACTTTGCGTGCGACAAGAACGAGAACCTGGCCGCCAACTTCCTGCTGTCGCAAAACTACGACGACTGACGACGCCGTGCCTTACCCCTCTCCCCCCTCCCCCTTCCAGTTTTGCCACAGACGGTGCAGCCGCCCTCTCCTCTTTCCGACCTGCTCGGCGCTCCACCGTGCGAGGAAGGCCGGCGCTCCAGTGATTTCATTTCTTTTTTTTTTTTTTTTTTAATACTAGAGGTTACTATTTAATGAATGCACACGCAGCAAAGGGGAAATAATAAAAAGCTCGGAAACTCAAGCGGCACGAATTCAGGCGTCGGCCGCAGGCGACGGAAACTAAGGGAGACGTCGGGAGTTTCGGCGAGTGCAACATCCCTGCGACTGTCATTTTTATGCTCCGTTTCACGGCACGACGGACCGGGGTGAAATCTACGAGCCATAAAAGCAGATTAAATGCTGTGAACGTCCCGAACGTCACGGGACGCTCTCACGACACTGGGTTGGCTTCCATGGCTCGGAGCGTCCGCCGTGGTTCCTTGTAAGGTGAAACAGAGTGGCATGTTTGTTTCGTTCCAGCAGAAAATGCGGCTTGACGAGGCCTCGGGGGTCTTGTAGATTCTGAAGCGGACTTCTAGCAGAGGGAAAACGAAGACATCAAAAAACCGTTTCGAATGTTTGTGCAACAAAGGTTCGAGACACTGTAATGACTAGATCCCCAAGCGAAGCAGCTGAAAACCGAAAATTAATATAATTAGGCTTTGAGGTGCTCGTTGAGAATTTGTAATTTGGTTTCGGGAGTGTCTCGCAGGGACTGCTTGCTTTCTAAGTCAAAGCGGAGCGAAAGTTTGTCTGCTTCTTTTGGCAGGAGTTGTGGCGACGTCGGAACGCCGAAATGCGGTTGGCGCTGAAGAATAGTGGGGGTAGACAAGGCAAGCCTTGGGATCTACCCACTATCCTTCAATCGGAGCTCGGCATTCTGATGTCGCGACAACCCCTGCAAAAGAAGCACACAGACTTGCGCTCAGCATTGAAATATTTTCTGGTATTATGTTTGCGCCCCATCTAACAATTATATGGGCATCATCTCAAAATAAAACTGACCTACTGATATATAGGAAACAACAAAATTTGACTGCTACAGTGACCATGTAATGAGACGCGACACAAATTCCTGTGCCCCAAGAAGTTGTACTGGGGGCATGTGAGCTTGAGGCATCTACAAAGTCAAAAGGAGGCAAGGGAAGTCCCCGTTTTTGGTGGGCTTCTGTTGGCAAATATTTTTGAGTGCGCAAGTATTTTGTTTTTTCCCCCCCTTCCATTTGTGGCTCTGTATAGGATGATTTTCTATTAAAGTCATTTCACGGAACTGCTTCCCGTCGCGTCCTATCTGTCCTTGGAAAAAAGAAACCCACACGACTTCAGAAGGCCGATCTAAAGACCTTCGTAAAGCAATGCCAACAAGGTAAAACCACTTTTTTTTTTTTTTTTTTTTTTTTTTTTGCAGCGCAGCAAGTTGGTAGAAAACGTTGGTTGACCGTTGCTTTTCAAATAAATTTTTTTTTTTTTTAATGTTGACGTTAGAAGCTGTGCTCTAGTGCACCCATCGGGATACCTAGAAGCAGGATTAATTACGTCGCTCGATCTATCTGCTCGCCGCGAACGGCCAAAAATGAAAGTTTGGAGACTTCACTTGTTGTCACGGGCAGATTGGCGTCTTCCGGACAGATACTTGTGAGCGGTGTTGCCGCCGCCGCCGGGCATGTTGAGGCTGGTCGGACTGCGTCCCTCCGCCTCGAAGGGTTCTGGCACGTTGCTTTGCATGTGCGCGTACAAGTTGACGTTGCTGGCACACCCGTACGCGTCGACGTTCTCGCTGACCTGGCCCGCGGGCGTCACGTCGTCGGATGGACTGTTCTTGTAGTTGTGCGTAATGTCTTCCAGGCGCGTCGGGCTGAACGCGACTTCGCTGGCTTCGTGCTTCTGCATGCGATCGTCGCCCGCGTCGGCGCTCCGTGACGACGTCATGCGGATCTTGGGACCGCATATCGAAGCCGTGGTGGACGCGCGAACGGCCGCGATTCTGGGCACCGAAAACATATTTCTTTTCTTGAGATCTGACGGGCGTAGCCTGGTTTCGTTATTGATCCTGGGGATCCTGGGTCATAGCAGACGACCTCGGGTGGATGCACTGCGGAAACGCTGTTGCGATGCGTTACGTAGAGGTACTACTGACGCTCTGCTGACGCTGGCTCCGCGTAGACTGCCGACGATGCTTCGCAGGTCGCCAAACTGGCTGCCGCTGCGGCCGTAGCGGTAGGCTGTAGCGGTAGGCTATAGCGACTTTTACTCGCCCATGCAAATATGACAGTGCTTTTCGCAACAACGAAACGGAAAACTACCTCAGCTGTTGGCCTTGGAGAGTTCCCGGGTGATACGGAAGCGGCAGCGTCATCAGCGTTATCACAAAAAAGAGGTCGCGTGCGCAACTGGGCTAAGTAAAATAAAAGTTGGTCTTCCGAACTGAGGAACCACAACGCAAATGAGATCTCGAACAAGATTGTGCATTCTGAAAATGGGACAAAAAAAAATAAAAAAGTTTTTACAAATGGGGGCTAGATAGCGCAAGCTACCGCCTCACTCGATTAGTCGAACTCGCTCTCCGAGTGAGTTTGCGTTTAATCCACGTATCTCGCATAATATATCGCCATCGCGGATCGTGCTAGTGGCGGGAGCAGCGGGAGCATAAACAGTAGCGGTGATCGCCGTGATACCAGTGATTCCTGCTCGGAGCCCTTTGTCAGGTGAGTTCTGCGATAATATAAGTCCTTCTACCATGCATATTTAGCTGTATCCGCTCGTTGGGCATCGAAGAAGTTTTGGTTTAGGAGCTGACTGGCAGGAGGACATCTAGCGTGGTCACGTGGCGCGTCTGTTTGAGTCTCGTCGCTTGCCACATTCGTTAGAGAACACTTCGTTTCATTTCAAATAACGCACGGGCTGACATGACCACGGCGTCGTGGGTTTTACAATACACTGCTCTTGTAGTTATGTACGTTTAGCCACATTCTTGGCGCGTAAATCGGTGTTCGTGGTGGAATGAGTAAAGCTATACGCACTAGCTGGAATCGCCCTGCAGGACAGTGCACAACGCTCCTCGGTCGTGCAGCGCGAAGTCGGTGGAACATCGAGGACAAACTACGCCGCGCCGGTGCACCTCGGCGAGCTCCACCATGCGTCACCTCGCGTTTTGTTCGTTTTTTTCTTGCGTAGGTCCGCGCGCGGTGCCCGTCTGCGGTCAATTTCTTCTGTTTTTGTTTCTTACTCGCGGATATGACGGTCCCACACAAATGAACATCGTGGACGTGAAGTTCCGATGGGGTCACGAAGCGGGTGACAATTCTACAGGTATATGTTGCCCATCATTCTTGGTTCAAGAAAGAGAAACCCCAGGTAATAACAGTACCTCGGTGTCATCGAAACACCTCGCGACGCGTTCCACGAAGTTCATACCTTTAGGGCGCTCCTTGCCACAGCAGCAATTGCCGGTAATCGCGGTGATGGTAAGAAGCTCGTTGTCTCGCTCTTAGAAGAGCTGAAAAATGCATCGAGTGCAGGTGCGAGGCGTGTTTGTTTTCGCAAGATCGCCATCTCGATAGACTGCGCGTCTGCTATTCCCCCCCATCTCCTCAATTCCCGCTCCTGGCCACAATGCCTGATGGGACTGCAGCCCGGCGCACCGTCGATTTTCTCGGTGTGCGTTGGGGCAACGAAAAGCCGCACCGGGAAGGTGGGCTCCGTTGGTTGAGGACGTGCAGTGCACACTGGTGCTTCGATAGAAGATGATGGGGCGAGCCTCGCTGCCTCGGTGCGCACTGGTGCGGATGAAAGAGGATGCTATAAGTTGTGCGCCTCGACCAGAGATGGCTATACGCACGACGAGAAACTACTGGTTCTCGTATAAAACCAACTGTCAAGACGAGATTTTCGAAGCTGTAGTGTAGCGTAGCATTCCAAGTTCAAACGCGGTAGCATGCGCACGTGGAATGGGATGCTTTGAACCGCGGTGATGCCGTATGCGGTGATGCCGTACGCGGCGATGTTCCTAATGACTATGCAGTGATACTGCCTGCGATGCCAACAGGAGAAGCCATGAATTGCAGCCTTGTGCTGCATGCTGATACCAGAGGGTGGCTTTACCGTGCTGAAGACTCTGTAGGGCATCTGAACCAGGTGGGAGTTCGGGAAGACGTAGCAGGACTTGGTGCGTTCCGAATGGGGCACGTCTGGCTGCTGAAGCTGCGCACCACTTCCGCCAAAGAGAAACTTCTGCGAGAGGGTACCATGCTGGTGAAGGGGCGACCATGCCTGTTCATTTATCCCGAAAAACGAGTGCTGAAGGTAAAAATCCACAGCGTGGAGTTCGACGTTTCTGCAGACCCCCTTTGACGGGCCTTCGAGCCATTCGGGGAGGTTAATGGCGTCACCCGCATTTTGGAGAATCGAGGGCCTGGCAGGTGTGGATTTCACTACCGTCATCGTACACATGGTGCTCCGTGAAAATTTAACACCGGAGTCCCTGCCGCATTAGCTCCGCTTTTACGGAAGCAGACTGCTGGTTGTTGTCCCCAGACGTGCACTGCTGTGCCTCTGCTGTCAATGCACGGGGCACATACGGTGCTACTGTAGAGTGCCAAGGTTCGAGGAGTGTTGATCCTTCGGGCATGAGGCCTCGGATTTCATACAGTCGTACGCTCGAGCTGCTGCCAGCAAGACCACCGACACCCAGGACAAAAACCTCGTAATGGATGAGGAAGAAGCTGAAGCGGCAATGACTCCAGCCGCGAGGATTTCTTCGGAAGACCCTCAGGCGTCCGGTGAGCAGCAACGCATGCCGTTAGCGATGCCTGAAGGCCAAGTCTCGGTTGTAGCATTGACGGCAAAAATCACTGTTGGTGAAAATGGGCCTAAAGCAAAGACTGCCAGTGAAATGACACCGGTTGCAAAGGACACGACAGACACACTGTATGCCAGAGATAGTACAGCAATGGACTTCGCGACTGAGGTGGTCAAGCGGCGGCTCAGCGACACGGAGCAGGGAACCGACCAGTCGCTTCAGCAGACTAAGAGTCCCTGGTTGGTAGTGACGAGCAAGAGAGGACGACGCGCTGACCGCAGTCTTTCTTCGTCTCTTCCCTGGTAGAGCGAGAGTGGAACACTTGGGTTAAATTGATTATAATGCATTTAAATGCAAAGGTGCAAGCGAGCTGGACAAGAATGATGAAAATAATTCCTGGAGAAGGGGAACAAGGCAAGGTTGGACAAAAAGGGCATATTTGTTCCCTGCCCTGGACCGTGAATTGTATCTTGTGGAAAAGGCCCGGATCAACGGAATATGTGTTTTTAGGTTTTTTGGACGCAGTGTTCTACTGGGATATACTGAAGTGAGCACTGAAAAAGGAACTTCCTTTAAAGGGCAACTCTGCTCAATTCCAAAAAATTTAGGCTTACATGCAATTCAAATTCCACAAAGCACTACTAAACAACTCTACGTTTTCGGATTTGCGAAATGTGGAATATTACTTGTGTAATCCTAATTTAAACATCAACTGATACCGAAACCGAAACTTTGGTTGCGTCAGGCAACATTGGTCTCAGGTCGTCAGAGTCATGGCCACGTCACGTCAAACCACGTGGTCTTGTGACGTTCGGGAGGGAGCGAGGGACAGGACACGCGACGCGGGCAGGTCGCTTCGCGTGGCGTGGACGGTGATGGCCCGGGGAAAGGGGAGAAGGGGAGCGGAGAAACAGACCGATAAGCGCGCTGGGCAGCGCAAACTAGTGCACCCGCGTTACGGTGATCACGTGAGCGCCCGGTCAGCCAACACCAGGAGGAGAAACTCATGACGTCGTCGTTCAATTTCGCTCTGAGAAGTAAAAACAAACAAAACGTGAGAATGACGTAGTGGCTCATCGTTGCCGCTCAAACGCTGTTGCATTGACTGCGCTGATGATTGCGCCTCACGTCGCACGCTAGAGTTGGCAGATTTCGGCGACTTGGCTTACTTGAAGGTTTGCTGGCCAGTTTATTAAATATATATAGGGCTCCGTGTTTTCGGAGTTTATTTTTCGTGAAATTCGGAGGGTGCTTTTTGGAGTTTATTGTTTAGCGAAAATTCTGTGTTTATCGGAGTTTATTTTTTGTAAATACCCAATCCTCCGAAATTCGAAGATTAATTTCGCAGTGTTTTTTATTAAAAAAATAATCAATATTAACCGGATGCAAACGTATGCCAGATAACAAATAAAACGCGCTCGTATCAATTAAGCTGCATTTGGGGTTGATGTCATTGGGAATACTAATTTGTCCCACGACAAAAGTCACACACAAGTGTGGCTTCGATAAACGTCGATACCTTAAAATAAATAAACTGCCGGAAATAGCCGCAAGGAAGCCCGTAGTCATCCCATCAAGCTATCTCGTGGCCGAGCGAGGTGGAGTGGTTAAGGATGTAGTAGAGAAGTTTCAACTGCCCCTTTTCCCTATTTCATACAATCACTATGGTCCATAGCTTTCACTGTTACCCCCAGAAACATACCCTCTCCTTTCTCTAAATCACAAATCCTACGGCCTAAACTGGAAACCAAAAGAGTGGCTTTTGTCGTCACACGAATGGTAAGATGACCTGCTTCCCTGAACCAACCTTGACGAGACAAGCTGTAAGACCCCCTTTTGACAATGGTCTGAGGCTTGAAAGATAATTATGATGTCATTTTCCCAGGACCATTGATCCTGTGCTGCTCAAATTGAAAACAAAAATAAAACTTTTTTTTTTGTTGCGGGGGGGGGGGGGGGGGGGGGGGTGGCATGGACACATAACAATTCGGAGTTTATCGGATAAATCGGAATTGACAAAAATTTTACCGGCGGGCGTTTTTCGGAGTTTTTCGGATTTATCTGAAAACACGGAGCCCTGAATGTATAAACGGAATTAGATTGCAATATTTGACGTGGGGTCTTCCTATATGATACTGAAGAGGGCTACATAGTTTTCTGAATATCAAAAATGAAGCCGAGTTGCCCTTTAGGCGTACACGGCATAAGTTTTCTGCCTGTTGCCCTAACCGACTGTACCGTATGATTTACTAATGGTTAATGGCTTACACAGTATCTGGAAGAGCCGGATGGCAGTGCGGCATGCTGATGTAGATGCTTTACCAGTGTGTAGTTATTTCACTCGGAGCATTAGTGAGATTAGAGAAGTGTATAAGGTTTTGGGAGATGGACCTGTTTGGTTGCCAATCCTAGACGGACTGGTCACATTAAGATCATGTTGATCAGTCTGCGTCAGTCGTAATTCAGCTTGCTCTTTACTATAAGTGTTTTTGAGAGTGAATTTTTTGTGAATGAATAATGTCTGGCAATAAAGAAGAAAAAAAGCTGTAGCATAGCATAGTGGTAACGTGTCTGCCTTATACGCAGTGGGCCCAGATTCAAACCCCAATGTAGTCTTACTTTTTTTTTTCTTGAGCATTTAGTTTTGTTAAAGGGATACTACAACGAAATTTCGGCGCTCATTTTTTGGTCTATATGTGTTCAAAAGAGCAGTATCACATGGAACATACCAATATCTTGTTAAAAAAGTCTCGAAAAGGAATTTTAAAACGAATTGAACGATTAGCAAAGAGCACCTGGTGGATGTCGCTAATGCCTCGTTTGTAATGCTCGTCTAGGAACCTTGACAGCTAGTGACGGAGGTTGTCTCGTCTCCGGCCACGACGAGAGAAGGGGGGAAGGAGGAACTCCCCTCTTTCCGAGAATGCCTTTTGTGTGTCGCTGAAGTCGCTATTGTCCCCCTAGAAGATTATAGAAGATTAACCCGTCACTCAAAATTCGTACAAAAGCAGCCGCTTCGGTGGCTGGAACGACTAGGCCACCCTCTCGGCGTCAGCCTCGCCGTAGCTTTGCTCGTCTTGACACGACCTACGTCACGGTTGCGTTGGATGTCACGTGCTCTAAGCTGGGCCTTCTCCGAGCGCTTGCCAGAGTGGGCCGTTTATAACGAAAAATACAGCCACCAGGATCAAAATACAAACGTGCGATTGTCATTTCCGGATATCGTGGATCATATTCAACCTATTTTTGAACACGACGGGAATATTTCAAATTTCGTTGAAGTATCCCTTTAAAGGCATTTTGGCAATTTTTACAATTTAACACAAAAAAAAAATGTTGACAAAATTTTGTTTGAGTAAATAGTATGGGACTTCCTTTCTGGAGGTGCTTGGGTGACAGCGGGGCTTGGGTTGCCGGCTGGACACCGCAAAGCGGCGTGTACAGGGGGGGGGGCGGCAAGTGGATTAATAGTTTTGTAATTAGCTGCCCCATACTGTCGCCGCGAAGCAGCGCAAACGCAGGCGGGGTGTGGGTTAATACGCTTCCGACTGATACACACGCCGTCTGAAAAGGGTGACCCAAATGGCACAAGCTCTCTGCGTCGTGCGTACAGCCGCTCTGGTCGAATAGTGAATTAACCTTGTGCGACATTTCATTATTGGTCATCTCGTTCACAGTGCGCATGTTTATGTGATGCAGCGAGCGGTCCGTACCACCGAAACGTCTTCGGCGTAAACAGCGATACGCACCCGAGTCCGTTGTGCTCCTGCATGTGTATGGGAAGAAACCCTCATTCATGCAAGTGACAGGCAGAAATGCCAACACCGATCAACCTCACTTAGCGACAGCGGTTGTCAGAAGACATGCTGTTTTTCGGTTTGTTCAACCTGGTCAGTGGCGTAGCCAGGAGTTTCTTGGGGGGTAAGGGGGGCTGCGATGTTCATGACTTGGAGGGGGAGAGGGTCGGGTCAAAATGCATGGGCTTGATTTTAGGGGGGTAGTGATAGTTGTGGGGGGGGGAAGCCCCATAAGCTTCCCTTGTGGCTGCGCCACTGCACATGGTTGACATGATGCAGGTGTGCAGACACAAAAACTATTCTTGTAGTGGAGGGATCTTGGCATTCAAGTACACACAAACCACTGAAGTTGGAATGTCTCCAAACACTTGGTTTGTATCACAATACAGACTCCAGAAAGACGAAAAGAAAATACAGCGAAGGATGTGTGTGGTTTCTGTGATGAAACAACTAGCTATTTTGTTTCGTAGCGGGACGTTTCTTGTGCACTGACTGCAATTAAATGAATATTGTTATTATTATGTTTGTCATCAATTCGCAGGACCCTCGATATTGATGTGAGCAAGCACACATAATTAAAGTTTCATTCGTGTTTGTTTCTTGAAAGTTTTCTTCAGATCTGGAGGAGCTGCGGATCCAGATTGTTTAGGAGTGTCATGTAGAAGTGAATTATCAAAAGAAAAGTTTTTCAAGAGAATCAAGTTTGCCTTAGGCTTCTAATCTTAAAAACCACTGAAAAGGAAAGAAAAATTTTTTTTAACGGTTTAGTTGGAACACGCGTGTCAAAAAATAAATGCGCGAAAAAAAAAAAATTTTTAGAGCAATATTGAGGGCACGAGATTTATTTCAAACTCTGCGTGGCAAAGTCCATGTTGTCAGGGAATGGTCTACACTCTTTCCACTTCAACGAGATGGTCATACACTTTCCACCTCAATGTGATGGCCAAGCCAATCCACCTCTCCTCCACGTGCCCAAAATGACAAGATAGAAAACAAGTACAAAGGAGGCAACTACCAACTACATAGCGTCTCGCGCCGTCAATACAGCTCTTAAAAAAAAAAAAAAGAAAAAGATGGCTTTAAATTTATTTTCTGACAATCATGTCCCAACCAAACTTAAAAAAAAAAAAAAAAATTTTTTTTTTTTTTTTTAGTGGTTTTTTAAAGCACACAATGACGGAGTCAAAATATCTCAAGTTTGGATGTTAATGCCAGCGACCTATAGAGCGCTGAAAGTTTAGCCCAAATTTGCAGGTAGAAATAAAAAAAAAATAATACTACATAAACAAACGCAGCAGAACGTACCACTTGCTTTAAAGACATTTGCGTGTGGGACGTCTTGGCTGCTGCCTTGATTAGGCTCGTGGAGGAAGCACATGTGGTTAAGGTTGCTGAAGATGCTTTTGCGTGCATACTGCGCACGCATGCACATGCTTCCATGCGTGACACTCCAACCAGGATACCATGGTTGCGTGCCTATTGTAGAATACCGTGCATCCGCCCATTCCACATTAAGTGCCCATAGCCAAATTTCTAAGATACGAAGCAATATGCACAGTACATTTCTGTGTGAAATTGATGACCGGACAAGCGTCCATCCCCCATGTTTTCGCGATTATCTCTGAATTTTGAGTTGCCACTTGCCCGGTATTTTACGATACCTATACTATAGTCGCTGACAAGGTGAGAAAGGCAGGGAGGAGCTTCAGTTTTTCCTCCTCCAGAGAATAGCTCTCTGCCTTTGACAATGCTTTGGCGTCTTGTGCTTCTCGAGCGTGCACGGTCAGTCAAAGAATGGTGGAAGGCACAGAGCACATGCTGGAGGCCAGACGTTTGAAAGAAATGCCCTACCGTTTTCCTTTTGTCAGTGACTGTAGCGTAGGACAGGGTTCTGTGCAAATTTTAAAAAAAAATTGGGTTGTGTGTGTGTTTATACAGCCTAGAACTTGGTCTGCCTCACAGGGGCGACGAGTCTCCCAGCTGTAGATGAGAAATTTAGCCAGTGCGGTACAGCCGCTAACCTGGGGTCTTTAACGTGCATCACGCAGTAGTGATACACGACCGCACGCCGGTACGATGCTCATCCAGATCGAAACGGGCAGGGGTGGGGCTCGAACCCAGGATCCCTGGGTTCTGCAGCGCGAGCTTTCGCTCCACGTGCTCCGAGCTGGTGTGCGCTAGACCACTCGGCCACCGATCCCCCCATGTGCAAATTTAAAAGAAGTGAAAAGTGAGCTCAAGGAGTCTAATCGTTTCTTGTCAACATTTGCAGCAGCAATGGATGTCAAAATGCCACTGGAGGACGACGATCTTGAAAGCCCCTTGAGGCCCCTGGTGCTGAAAAACGAACTGAAACTGGGGTGAGTTGTTTGGATCGCCTTTTCCCTCGTTAGCCCCATTGGTCGCGGAATGTTTCTAGAGTATGGCATTCAGACGAGCTTGACGTTTCGTGGCAATCAAGGGTCGGGTGACCCGATGTCTCAGTTTTTACTAATATATTTGTTCGTGAACATTCCGCTAACCACAGGGGCCAAAACGGGGGGGTCAGTCATTGGCTGGCACAATCCAGTGATATGCATGATCATCGAAAAATGCGAACTTGTCTTAGAATTGACGGTGGCATCTGTCAACCTTTATACATTTTTCAACATTGATGACATTTGTCGTTGACTCTTGCAGAGCACCGAGCTTGCCCCAATACACCGCAAATCTTGGTCTTCCTCAAAACTAAGTTACCTCGCTGCTACTGACGACATAATGAGACTTGTTCCCGACAGCGGTTCTGTTGCCAGCACGGGATCTCGTGAAATCGAACTTGCAGTGTTGAGCTATCTCGCAATAGCTCAAGTTGCAAAGAGAAAAAAAAAAAAAAGAACAGGCGGTGAGAGGAGAAATTACAGCCCTAAATCAACACTAAATTCAACTATAATTAGAGCGTTGATTCAGTGTTGCACCGCATGTGTGAACCGGACTTAAAGGGGTACTCCGCCGATTTCTTCATGGTCCCCGATTTGCTTGAAATTTTGCTAAACTCGCCAAACAACATCGCCAAAATAGTATCCCAAATATTAGGTCAAAATATTTTTTTTTCACGAAGTTATTGAATTTACAATTTTGGTCCTCACCGTGTTTTTCAAACTGAAAGTCTCTACTGGCAACAATGAAAAAGTGACGTCATTGGAAGTGCAGGGGTTCACTCTTTGGACTGTAGAATTTGTTCCCAACTGATTTGAAGCAGTTTCATGGTGTCAAATGAATGCCTTGGAAGCTCGCTCCAGTCCCCGCGCTCCAGCACGGAACAAATAATTGGCATATTCTATTTTTTAGACTGCTCGCCCGACTGGCAAGCTGAACTTCCACTGACGTCACGGCCCTGAAAAGGGCGGGTATATTTGAATGTCTGTTTTTGCATCATTTTCATTTGCCGATTTCGCAATAACTATTATGAATTTCACGATATTAAATAGCATTCCAGAACGGGTAAAGGCCTGGGAGTCAGAAAATATAGTTAGTTGAGGTAGCTCAAAAATCGGCGGAGTACCCCTTTAAAGGGGTGGTAAATACTGCTTAGAATTATTCCTCCACTTTCATACCCTACGAAACAAGTGTTAGTTTTTCTAATAATAATAACTGAGTGTGTGGATATTTAGACAGCGTGTAGTTGGTTAGCCATTTCAAAGTTGCGACGAGTCACTCGCTGTAGATGAGAAATTTAGCCAGTGCAGTACAACTGCTAGCCTGCGGTCTTTAGCATGCACCATGCAGTATGTTAGTTTTTCTCTCCGCACAATGGCAGTCACAGAAAAAAAAAGTAGTAGAGAAAAGCGAGCGGTGTTCACCCCTGAACTCGCAGCTAGAGCAAGGTGCCGTGGGGTCTGGTGCCGCTTGTGTGCCGCCGACGTTCATTATAGCCACGCACTGGGGTTGGCCAAGCACAGTGCATACGACAAGTTCCACACGTTGTTCGGGTTCGGCCATTCCCGTCATCGCGGCGATCGGACACGAGCCACTACCCGGGTGCTCGTTGGGGCATCGATTCGTCACGAACCCGACTCGAATGCTTGCGCAGCCCTGCTTCCATTCTCCGAGAAACGTTTGGATACCGTCGCCGTGGGGCAGTCGCCACAACAACCTCATCGCTGCGATCCCTACGACCACATCGTGGAGTCTTGCGAAGAAGAGACCAAAATGAAGAAGTTTTTTTACCGCTGCAGCAGTTCGTGGCTCGTCCCTTAGTTTCGCTACGGCATGAGCGTAAATGAAAAAGTTTCCCTGCTAAATATGGTGGAAAAATTAATGTCATGGGACCTATTCAGGTTCTTCGTTAAATTTACCAGAAAAATGCATTGCGACCTTATATTCATTTATTCATCACTAACGTCATAGTCACATCATCGACTCAGCAGCGCAGCTGCCGCCATTTGAATGCATCAGATGCTGATAGTCGCGCAATTTTTACAGCGGAGCTGTTAAAGGGACACTGACAGGGTATCTATGCTCGCCGAGGTTTTTAGTTGTACGTGACATATGAGAGCTCAACTACCCAGAACAGAATTTCCGGCTCGAAATTCGGTTTCTTTCCACCCGAAAACCGCCGATCAAGAATTGGCCGGTTCGAGTCTCGTTCACTCTCTTTTTCGCGGTCACGGGCCGTTTTCTAAGGTATCGATGCGACCACCAAATTTAATCAAAGTTGTGGGTCACTGAAGGCACACACTCAATATTAAAAATAGAAAAAAATATGAAACCCATTTTTTGTGGCTTCTAAAAAGCTGTAAATACGTTGATTGAAAAAAAAAAGTTCCTCAGACAACCGGAAGCATTCTGTGCGTTCGTCGTTTCGCGTATCGTGGGACTCGCGGGGACGGCGATGGCAGCGGACGACGGGCGTGGGACCTCTATTTCAGAACTGTCGTTCGCGGTACCGGCGAATTCTGTCTACCGTTAAAAGAGAAATTTGGGACTGATCAAAAGAATTGGTATTCATCCCGTACGACACGCCCGGCCACCAAGCCGATTTGCACGAAGACGTCGCCGAGCCGTCGCTCCCTTCTCGTGGCTGATGAAGACAACGCTCGCGCAAACGTCAAGCACGACGTGTCTACTTCGAGTTGAATATGCACGCGTACGATTTCTTTACTAGGTGCGAATGTCCCCAAAGCGTGGTGCTTCCCGACTTCGACCCGGGAGTGCTTTTGCTAGAGAAAAATCGACAGCAAACTTTCCAACTTACAGTTTACCGGCTAAATTATTGCTAAGGAAAGAGATCCACCAGAAACGGGATGCCCCAGTAGCTCAGTGGGAAAGACGTCCGCTTTACACGCGGTAGGATCGGGTTCGATCCCCCGTGATTTTTTTTTTTTTTCAAACATTTTTTGATGTTTACACATCTTTTTCTTTTTTTTTACAATCATCACTGAAGAAACCAAAAAAAAAAAATAACAAACAAATGTTGCGGACGATACTTCGCTGAATTAAACGGTATGGGATTTCCGTTTTGACACCTGCGAACTCAATGTAATCACTTTCCACAAAATGCAAGGAGCATATAAATCAGGTAGCGTCCGCTTTCCGAGGTGCCCGTAAATGTTCTACAGGAATTGCGGCCAGCCATTGGTCCCGATCCCGTTGATCTTTCGGAAACTCTGTCGCACAATGCCACTTTTTTTCGGATGCAGGGCATGCGAGCCAGCTCTTCACGCAACATCTTGGGTTTATTCTTTTCGGAGCCGATCATGGAAATTCACCACGGGCACTCACTACTCATCTCCAACTCCTCAATGTACAAAACAACTCATCTTGGAGTACAGAACAACGAGCGGAACAAACATAACTGCAAAAGAATCGCACGGCAAGCAGTTCCCGCACGCCGCATCGCACGCCGCATGTCGTGTCGTCTGCTACCGGAGAGGCGAAAAAAAAACAAAAACGCACGGTCGGGTGTAGCCACGTGACTTCCACCAGTCACTCTCTTCTCTCCACTTCTCCGACCTCCGTCGGGTTTCGGTTCCGGTTTCGAGCAGTTGCATCTTTTTGCTTTATTAAAGAAATACGCTACTCTGTTGCAAAATATTAATTGGGTAGTCCTCCGACACCATAATAAAGCGCCTGGCAAAAAATAAAAAAAATTTTTGGGGGGGTGTCAGTGTCCCTTTAAGGGCTAGTTTCCCTAGTATCGTGTCCGTAAACAAACAAATGTCAACTCAAACTCCAGACAGCTACCACCATCTATGAGCGATGGTTGCCGCCGTTGCTCGTAGATGGCGGCAGGGATGGGCAAAATACATGCAAAAAGGTATCGAAATACAAATACAAAATACTTCGTCAAAAATGTATTTAATTACAAATCTAATTACATTTCCAAAAAAGCATTTAAGTACAAGATACAAATACAACACAATGTATTTGGTCTCCTCCAAATACTTTTCCAAATACATTCCTTGAAATTTGCGTCAGCGACTTCAGGGCACCTGCAACGGGTTTCTGGGTATCTCATTTTAATTTTGCATCGCACACTCGGGAGTTAGTGTGCGAGGCTCTAGTAACGTAATAGAAATATAATTTTAAAGAAAATGTAATCAGCTTGAACGTAATAGGTGAAAAAAGTACAGAGCTTCAAGCAGCTTTTTTTGTCAATTACATTTTGGTATAGACCAGCAAACCGAGACGACCAAGACGCGCAGCACTAGCTAAAGAATGTTTTATTGTTGCAACTCTCACCAGTTACGAAAATCTGGACGACTCGCTGATTTAGAATGTTCCAGGCAAAAATATAGATGGAAATCAGGCTGGAAAGCATCACAAGTTGTCACAGGCACTTATTTAGCCAGTCTGCCTGTGAACGTCGGTTTCGTCACTATTCTTGCCCTGGACTAGCACCGTAATCACAAAGTCACTAAACGCTTGTGCTTGATTGAGAGACACTGCATTCGGCGCAGAACGTAGTTTTCTTCCTGCTCTGGACAGTGACAATAATTTTGAGGGATATATTTTCGCCCACAAAATTGTATTTAATTACAATTGTATTTTAAATACCCATGTTTTAGTATTTAAATACACACATCAAACATGTTGCCCAATTTGTAATTAAATACAAATGCAAAATACACAAATTATTTGAAATACGTATTTCAAATACTTGTATTTGAAATACTGCCTATCGCTGGATGGCGGCAACCTTTCCAGCCTTTCCACTCTGGTTTTCACCAGAGTGGAAAGGCTGAATTTCTCTAGGTGTCGTCCTTGAAATGGTTCTAGAAGTCGTCCTCGAGGTCGTCCTAGATGTCGTCATAGAAGTCGTCATTGAGGTCGTCCTAGACATCTTCGAGGTCATCGTAAAAGGTGTCCTTAAAGTTGTCCTAAAAGTTATTCTTGAGGTTGTCCAAGAAGTCTCCCTTGAGGTCGTCCTAGATGTCGTCCTCTAGGCATAGTCCTAAACGTCGTAAAGATAACAGCTTTGCTGGTCTTCCATCTTCATGTGAAGTGGGAGGGCTCTACAGTTTTATTTGTCCGCGAAATTAAACCGTGACAAAGAGGCTCTTTGGTCAGCATCACTGCATGCAAGTATCGTTGGGTTACGCCGTAATCACCGACAAGTGACAACAGCAGGGCGTCTCTTTAAGCCGCCGTACCTCAGCCGCATGTGCACTTTAGACGCTCTCAAGACGCAGAAGCATCACCTCGGGAAGCTTGCGCCGGAGCCAGGACGACCGAAACTCCTCCCCGTCGGTCTTAATCTGTCAGCGACTATAGTGCCACTAACCTTGTATGAAGTGAGAGACATTCCGACCCAACGTCGCGGCACAGCTGGGCTTCCTTTCTGTTTCCCCCCTCCCCCCACCGCAGGAGCGTCACCGATGGCGCCGTCTTCGAGTTTGAGCCCCTGGAAAATGATGTGATGGCGCAGGAAGAGGAGGCCGCTAGCCGGGCGGACAAGGACTACTTTGACAGTGCCCGCTTCATGAACGACCTGCGCCTGCAGTTCCTTGGAGGGGAGCAGAAGGAGGGCGACCCGGTGGACGACGTCAGCATGCCCTTCGAGCGCATGGCCAAGACCATGGAGGCCCTGACCGAGGACCGGGGCGTGCTCAAAAAGGCAAGTCGAGCTCTCTCCTTCCGTCGGTCTTGACTCAAATGCGAAGGGCGTACTCGTTCATTCGTTTGTTTGCACACTTTCCAGCACATGAGTACCGTAATATCCCGAGTCATCGCCCATCCCCGAGCCATCGCCCACCCCGTTTTTTGGGCCAATATCGATTTCCGAAAAAACACCGAGTCATCGCCCACCCCTTCAAATACCCCAGCGCGGACTCTGCGATCCGCGAACACTCATCCTACCCGAATGACGCGGCCGCGGACCTTACAGTTGGAGGACGTCCGTGACAAAGTAAAACGAAGGAGGGAAAGACACTTCTTTTTGTTTACGCATTACCTCCGTGAGCGACCCCAAAGTGGTCGTGTATCCGTGCGAAAAGAAGCCGATGGAGATAACAAAATAAGAGTTTGTTAACGTAACCGCGGAGTGTTAGGTCAAAGTCTGTCTCCTCCGAAGTAAGGTCACCGCGAACCCGCTCCTTCTTCCCGCCCGTCGCGACCGCTGTTGTGCAATATTTTAGGCAAAGCCAAAGCGTAAATAAAGCTTTGCTGGAACGTCCTACACAGACGTTTGCAGAGAGTCCCAACCGTGCATTGATAGCCCGCCTTGCACGGACGCACGTATGTACGCACCAAACAAGAAAGTTGCACAAGAGCTTGCAATTGACAAGGCGCCCGACTTGGCCCGACGCCAAAGTATTTGCCAACGCGACCGCCGGCTTTCCCGCTTTCCCAGCATTGCTCTTGGTCGCTTCTTTGGTCCGCTCGCTCGCTCGCTCGTTGCGCCTGGTCGGTTTCTCTATTTTCTTGTAGACTTTTCTTTCTTCTTTTTTTTTTTTTTACTAACTAGGAGAACATAATGGTGACATTCTTTCACGGAACAAACGTTCGTGCTATATGCAGATCGGCGGTGTTTCTAGCGCGTATGCAAGCAACGGACTTCGCTATAGTAAAACATTCTTTCGTGAGCATTTTTTTCTATAAAACAATGAAACTAAATCGAGTTTTGAGTTTGATGTATCTCTTGTGCATCAGCGCTAGATACGCAGAGAAAAATAGGCGGTTTTTTCCGCTTTTTTTTTCAAGTGTTTGTGCTCACCCACCGAGAAATGGCCCACCCCACTTTTTTAACGAATTTCAGGCGGTTGGGGGGTGGGCGATGACTCGGGATATTACGGTAGAAGTTTCTTTGTTGTTTTTGTTGTTTTCTGGATTTCTGTCGGTGCATCTTGTACAGTGGTGTAACTTGTGTGCATTTTCTTTTTAATGAATACGAACCGTGAGGCCTGGTTTGCAGAGTTCCGTTTGAGTGCTACCGACAACGTTGTGCTTCCTTAGAATTGTTTTAGGCCGTGTATAATTTTTTTCTTTTGCAACATTTAGATGTAATGAAATATTAATGCAACGATTGAGTTTTTAATAGTACTAGTCTACTCCGTTATTCCTGGGTTTTGGTGTATATTTTTATCGGCGGGGGTGGGGGGGGGAAGGTTAAGGCAGGGTTCATTCTGAAATTCCTTGTGTAGCAAGTTGCAGACTTTCTCTAAGGCTCACTTCAGATGGCAATTTTCCCAGCAATTTCGGTGTTGCTGGCGGGTTGTTCCCTAGCTTTCCCTAGTGCAATACGAATTGCTCGGACTGCATCCGGCTCGAAACGGACGAGCAACTCGGACAACCCGGAGGCATTTGAAACGGCAGAAGCCAATCGGGGGTGCAATATTTTTCACGTTGCACCCTGTGTCGGTGATGATGGCAACTAAAAACCTGCTTCTGACTTGAAATTGGTCATTTTTGGAGAATTAATCATTTAAGAAAGACAAGTTGGTATTCTTTATGACACTTAAAAGTAGAAAAACATGTCTATAGTGCTTGACTATGCGTCTAAATAGTGCAGAAAAAATCAAATATAATGACAACGATGGCAAATCGCATCAATTGGTTGCTGCATGTGAGCGCAGGCATTGTGACGTCAAGTTGCTGGGAGAAATTGCCCCGTCTGGAGCTAAATCGACACCACTTAGAATAATCAAGGCCTGCGAACATTCTCCTCTTCCTCCCTGGAACGTCATCACAGTCAGACGGTGCCAATTCAGCGGCTGGACCCGATAACGAGAATTTCTTGAAGTGTTGATTGGACGCGGGGCTCGGCCGAACGCCGACACAGCACTCGTGTCCAATCTGTGTCTTTGCTCTCTCTTGCCGTGATGACATCAAAAGTTTTATTGCACAAGCTTTGATTATTCTAGGTGGCGGTGAGTGAACGGTATGTCATGCACGCGGTTGCGAAGCCGCCGGTCGTGCGCGTTCCGACACTCTCTCCAATTGTTCCGAGAATTGGTGCAAAGAATGTCCAGGGTGCTGACTTTTTTTTTATTTTACGATTTATATCTGATAGCTGTCGAGGTTCCAGTTGATCAGGTTTGCACTTCTCGCATTCACACGTTTCATTCTTGTGATCCAATGCTAAAGCTGTTGACATTACAGACCACTTAAAAGCACGGCACACGGCAAGACATTGAACGTTTGCGTCAGAGAAGCGCGGCAGACGCCCGGCTTTCCGGGCGAGCGTCAAACATCCGGTGGCTTCATGCGCGGCGTGGCTCGAATCGCGGCTAAGCACCATCCGGCCCCCTATGGTGGGGACCGGTGTAGCAAGGTGCAAGAACTATCTCTGACGCCGACAACGTTCTGCAGGTGCTGCATCCGGGTGTGGGCGCAGTGGTGCCGAGCGACAGCTGCGTCACCTTCCACTACAGCGCCTACCTCGAGATGAGCGATGAACCGTTTGATTCCACGCGGATGCGCAACCGACCACACCGTAGCCTGTAAGTGCACGGCTGTAGCTTTTGAAAGCAGCAGCTTTACATGGGTCTCCTGCAATGGCCTTTCTTGCTCGTGTTGGTGTCGATCACACCTTAGCAAGGCCATGGGAGACAGTGTCAGCAGTGAAGAGCAACTGTTGATTTGAAGTCGTAGCGGGGTCATGTATGCACCGTGACATTTAAGAGAAAGTGATGCAGTGCCCCAAGAGAAGTGCATAGATGAAGAAAAAGAGAAGTCCCTTGTGGATTCACAATTCATTCGTTCTGGAGAAAGGGCAGCTCATTGAAAACCCTATAAAATTGTCGCATGTCGCACCTTTGAGGCATTTGACGGTGCAATCATACTGGCGTGCAGCCAGCACGATTGGTTCATGGACTGTTCAGTTGCTTCAGTTAGTATTGTCTGGTACAGCTCTGTGCTGTCCAAGATGCCACTTCCCATGGTTGCTGTTTTAGGAGCATTGGTTTCTTAACATTGTCTGGGATAGCTCTCTACGATCCACAATGACTGCTTTCCAGGGTTGCCACTCCAGGAGCATTGGTTTGTCATCATTGTCTGGGATATCTCTCGATCATTCGCAGTGACTGTTTTAGGGGCGAAGCTCCTTAGGAGCTAGCCATGTCCATATGGGTTGGGTGCACGTGCTCCTGCTCGTGAGCTCACATGCTCACGAGCACGTGAGCACGTGCTCTTGTGTTCGTGTAGGGCAAAAAAAAACAACCGCATCTCCACATGGTGAATGATGTTGATTTGGGGGGAAACTCTGGTTGTGCTTGTCTGCGTAGACGAGCCGCAGCATGCCGAGCCTTTCGTTCATTTTCATCCATGTCAGAAAGAGAATGTGTGATATGGATTGTGGTTATATACGCATTTGAGCATTTGACCGCAGCGTGACATGGATGAAAACGAATGAAAGGCTCGGCATGCTGCGGCTCACCGTCTACGCAGACAAGCACCACCAGAGCTTTGCCCCAATCAACATCATTCACCACGTGGAGTTGCATTTTTTTTTTTTTTTTCTCAGTGTTGGCACACCAGGAGCATTGGTTTGCCAGCGTTGTCTGGTGGGATACTTCTAGGCCATCCATGGCTGGATGGATGGATGCTAACGACAGTGCTCTTTATAACGGGCAATAGCTTGCGCCACCTAGCCAAGAAAAAAAAAAAGGTTTGCTTGAACATATTTATTTAATGAGGCCGCTGGTTGTAGGCAGCAAGCAACGGGCACCTTGCTGGGCCTTCCGACCCACATTGCTTGGCCTTCCCACCGACTTGAGTTGCTGCTGAAGTCGGAATTGTCGTGGCTTCCAGAACCTGTGAATCGAGTGCTTCCTGTCGTTTCCTGCTTGAAGCTGGGAAGCGCGTGAAGAACACGTTGAAGTATGGCTTGCGGGTCTCCACGGTGAAGTATCTGGGCGGTGTCGGAGGCCATGAGGGTATCGTGGGATTCCATCGTAACTTATACACAACTTCCAATCATTTCACTTGGCATATTCTAATTCGTTTTTATGTTTCATCCTACATACGTTTTGCGTGATGGCTAGAACAAAATGCTCTTAGCGAACAGTTTCTGCTGCTACGCACTAAAGCACACAACCAAAACGAAGCGGAGAAAATGCCTGGCCTCGTCACGAATTGTCACTACGTCGTCATCGAGCGATCGCAGCGCACCAATTGGTCTCGCTCGGAGCTAATAGCTCTGTGCCATCCCATGGATGGATGGATGGATGAGTAATAATGGCTATACCCTTTGTAACGCGCAGCAGCTTGTGCCACTTAGCCTAGCAACTCTGGGGAGCAGCCCAAGGTGGCTGCTCCTCGCGGTGCTGCTCCAGGAGCATTGGTTGCCTTCCAGGCTTTGCGACGTGATGGTTCTGGGCCTGGCCAAGGCCCTGATGACGATGCGGAAAGGGGAGCGTGCCCGGGTCCTGGTGCAGCCCGAGTACGCCTTCGGGAAGATGGGCTGCGCCCCCCGCATCCCCGGCAACGCCACCATCCTGTACGAGGTGGAGCTGCTCCACTTTGTGGACGCCGAGGATGCCCTGGAGTTGGAGGGCATCAGCGTGGACGGCGGGCCCATGCCCTTTCCCAAGCTGCTCGAGGTGAGGCCGCGTTGTATATGATTGGCAGTTTTTCACTAAGTTCAATGACCGTCGAATAAAGCTTTTTTCTGTCCTTTTTTGCGCAGCTGTGCACCGCCAAACACAAGACGGGCAATAGCTTCTGCGAGCGCAAGGAGTTCCAAAACGCCCTCAAGTGCTACTCGTCTGCCCTGCACCGCCTCGAGAACGCCCGGACCAAAGACACGGGGGAGGAAAAGCAGCAGCAGCAGCTGTTGCTCAAGCTCTTCTGCAACGCCTCGTTGTGCTGCGTGCACACGGGCAGGGGCAGCATGGCAGTGGCGTATGCCAAGAAAGCACTGCTCATCGACTCAAACAACGTGAAGGCGCTGTACCGCTGCGGAGTCGGCCTCAAGATGCAGGGTTGCTTCGACGAGGCTGAGGGCAAGCTGCGGCGGGCACACAAGCTAGACCCAAACTCGCAGGCCATCGTCCGCGAGCTGAAGGAGCTCGACAGCATCAAGCGGCAGCTGCGGGAGACGGAGACCAACATGTGCAGGCAAGTGTGTTGTCGGGGAAAGAACTGAAAATGACATGGGCCTTTGAAGAGACGGCATAAATTGGTTTCTTGATACTGTAAACGACATATTTTTTGCGAGGACCTAATTTTCGCGAATTTTGCAATTAGCCGACAATTCGCGAAAAATGGGTCCCGCGAACAAATCCGGTAAAATGTAAATACATTGGAATCTCTATTGAGATCGAACTGCGCCGCAAAAATTAGAACCCGCGAATTATTCCAAAAACTTCAGCCCTGATCTAAATCGAGAAATATTGTGCCCGCGAAAATTAAGTCGTTCACAGTATACCTTACTCTGATTTGCTGCGGACAAACGAATGCAGGCGAGGTCGTTGTTGGAAAAAAGATGTAAATACAGGGTGGATCTGATGGCGCATTGGTCCTTTGAAGTTTCTTAGCGTGTCGCACTCCGATTTGCTACAAATGTGTAGGACACATGCAAAGGAAAGGAACATTTCTTGTAACAGCCTCTACAGGAAAAGGATGCCATAAAATAAATTTACATCGAAGAAAAAGAAAAATTTAGAGCTAAATTTAAGGCACAGAACAATCTTGTAGTGCGCCCGCGGGAGCCGCCACAGGTCACATGGTACACCCGTGTGTTGTTTCGCCGCACCGCCACCGCCGCCGGAGCCGTTCAGTGCCGCCACTGAAGTCCCCAGAACCCCCACGTCGCCACCACACGCTGGACGTGGCCCACCGCCGGTTGAACACGTTTCTCCACGCCGCCGTCGTCAATTTCTGACCGGCGCACAGGTCTATCACGTGGTGCTTGCACTCTTTCAGGAGCTTCCTTTGAGCTCTAAAAGTTACTTATTAAGCTTTGTTCTTTTGTTGTACTCCAAGTGAAGATTAAAAAGTAAATATTAGAGACTATAGGAAGATCCCGAAAGAGTGCAAGCACCACGTGACTATAGCGGCCACTTTTCCGCAAGTTCCTGCGGGCGCCCTACTACAAATTCGTTTCGCTCCGTAAATATAGCCTTGAAAACTCTTTTTCCGTTGTAAATTCGTTTTATGGCATCCTTTTTCTGTCCAGGCTGTTTAGAAAAAACATTTTTTTTCCTTTGCATGTGTCTTTTAAAGACACTTTGTAGCAAATCGGAGTGTGACACGTCAAGAAACTGATTTACGCCGTCCCTTCAAGGGATTAATGCGCCATCAGAACCACCCTGTATTTACATTTCTTTTTTTCCTTTGCATGTGTCCTTTAACTCTTTCCTGATCACGGGAAAAGTAGCGATTTTCAAAGGATCCGTGCAAATGCTTTTATTTTCCTAGCTAATTTTCACATGGAGCTTTATGACACATCAAAATGTGGCCAATTAGTTGTTCTTTCAAACAGAGGTTGGTATAATCTGGGAAAAAGATTTAAAAATTTTATTTCTTGAAAATGCAACGTATCTGCGGAAGCTATAAGTGCCGAAACTTCTACACCTACGGTATGTCAAATTAAACGACAAAAAAAAGAAAAATTCTGAATAAACCAAATGTTCCCCACACCCACGGCTATTACTTCTGAAAGTTAATGTACTCTAACTGACGTTGCATATTTTTGGTTTGTCGGAGAGTTTTCTTCCGTAACACAAGTGCTTTTCAACAAAGGGATGCCTATATATTGGTGAAGCACAGATAGTACTCCTAGCATTGCCAACAGAATGCTTTCTTAGTGTTCCACCTTGGTTTTGTCATAGCCTTGATTGCAGTTCCTTCACAGTTAGCATTTTTCTCCGCCTTGTTGGGAACGTAAAACATGCACGTTGGCTCATGACAGCATTGGAAATTACAGTGCATCATTTAAAGTGTCCCCGTAGCTCTTAAGGTCTAAAAAATATGCCACAAAACAGTTGAATTATGTACATAATGGCATCTTTGTTACAAAGACTGATGCAAGCAGTTAGCCATGTTAGAGAAGTGCAACCACTATTACGAGTACTATTTCTGACAGACCCTGAGCTTGTGATAAAGCCCTAACCTACATTGAAACCGAAACTACAGTTCTTCAGCTATCCACCAGATTATGGATCCTAATTCTCCACCCTAAGCATAATTTCTCGACGGCGCTTGGAAACCATCGATCACCATCGACAGGAATGGGTTAAATTTGGAATTTATTATCTGAAAGTTTCGATATGTGAACTCGCCTGAGATAAAAAAAAAAAAAAAAAAGTACTTTTTTTTTTTTTTTTTTTATTAAAAAACATCCTGCAAAGCCTTTTTTCAAAAATTTTTTTAGATATCATTGAGTGTCGTTGTGGCGTTTATTGACACAAAGATGGTTGGAAGGATGATGAAATAAAATTGGTTTGCATTTTGGCCCCTTTATTTTGTGGGAATAAATGTCACACTCCACCACCACCTCATTTGATGGTTTCACACAAATCGGGTATAACAAAAAGGTTTGTCTTCCTTTGTCATTATTTACTGGGGTAAACTCGTACTTGTATATTTTTACCGAAAACATGCACCAGAGAAGCGCACCTGTGTACTTCATTACATCACAACCCGTGTGAAACCGATTTGTGAGGTCCCTGCAAAGGGCCAATGTTCCATTGGGTCTGCCCTGTACGTACGTAGGGCACTGCATTTTCGATTTAAATAAAGACAAATCTATCCGACAGTGAACTGTCCTCTTGCACAAGATGTTAGTGTGAGAGCTCGACTTGATTTAACATTGTAAGCGAAGTACAGAGTAGGTCTACAGTCGAACCCGGATATATTGAATTCAGAGGGGATCATAAAATAGTTTGATATGTCAATAATTTGATATACAAAAATATGCTAACTTAATAAGCTCCAGTTGAAATTTCCGCACGCCTGCTAATACTGAAAGCCGCAACAAACGCGACCTTACCAAAAAGGGCCTCTAAGAGCCGCTAAATACATTAGAGCTTAGTTGGTGAAGATCACAAACACCGCCGCGTTTACGCGATGGTATTTGGGATCGTTTACGCCTGGGGGGGGGGGGGGGGTCGACTATTACACAGTGCCCCACACAGTGCCGGCAACAAAACACAAAAATAATTTTACAAAATGAAAGACCGGAAGGAGCCGCATAAAAAAATAAACTCTTGATCCATAGAATAAAGTTAAGCACGCAGCAAAAAAGACACCTCACTAAATTCAGGCAGCAAAATAAGAAAGGCAGAAAAAAAACTGACAAAGCAATAACGGCGAAAGAAAAAGGTAAACAAAGATAAGGCGTTCAAAGTGTGATTGCTCCACGGTTGTTGTCAACACACTCAACTTGACGAAGACCTTTTTTTTTTTTTTTTTCTCGCCTTTTTTTATTTTGGGGCTAAGGAGTCGTGCAGCAACAGCAGTGTTCAGGGAAAGAGCACACGCTACCATCTTAATAGCGGGCACTCCCTGCCCTCGCTACATGTGCGCGTGCCCTTCCCCCTGACTTTGCCATCCTCCACTTTTTCTTTTTTACGGTTGCTTTTTTTCTTTTTTACAACTTCTTTTTCGCTGCGCTGCGTATCTGCGTATTCCCGTGCGCGTATGCTGGCTTGATATAACCAGGCTTGACTGTATAATTTTGCATTTTGTAAAGGTCTGTTGCGCGAGTTTCGCCAAAGAAGGGATTTTCCCGAGTAATTTCGACTCGATGCTGCAGAATAATAAGTGAACATTCCCCAAAACGGAACTCGAGGCTTCTTAGTTGTGCGACAGGTCGTCTCATTAAGAATGGCAGTGACGTGTGTCGGCATGCGTACCGTTGCAGACGAATGTTCAACTATGCAAACAACGACAAGGCGGCAGAGGCGATGAAGGCCCTGAGCTTGAACAGCGGCGTCTCCAAGGAAATGCAAACCACCATCAATGAAAGTCTTCGGAAACTGAAGAGTGGCACCGCAGGAAGCTCCCTACCATTCACCACCGGCTTCACGGATTCTCACTACGACTATGTGCGCTCAGTGTGCCAGGACTTGGGGCTGGGGTGCGAGGACTTGCTTACGGGGGGTGTGAGAGCTTTCATCAGGGACACAGAGTAGGCGCCTTCAACGGGCAACCTTTTTTGTTTTGTTTTTCTGTTTCAACAAACTAAGAGATAGAATGCGAGCCCAGTTTGTTTGAATATACTGTCTTCATCGTTAGTTAGGGATACCCATTTGTTGCGAGTGTGCTTCTGCGTTTCTAACGTGACATTGTTTGTAATCGTCGATCGATTGGCACTGTGTTCACTGCTGAGCAGGGTCCGTTGACATGAGAAAAAACTTGTTACTGCGTCGTCTTGTTCGTTCAGCCAACTTTCTTAAAGTAAAGAGAAATGTGATACAACTCTTCTTTTTTTTTTTTCTTTTTGAGGCTACCACAAAGTTTGGTTCTAGCCATGACTGGCGGAAGGTACCGGTAGTTGTGTGTGCGTGTGTCTGCACACTTTGTTCTGGCAAGTTGTCTGTTTGAGTTGCTTCATTCATCTTTTCGCAAGAACAGTTGTGCAACCTTTTCTCTTTTTTTTTTTTTTTGTAGCTGTTGCAGTCTGCTGGTGGTTAGGCTAGCTACTAGTTTCATAACGTTTCGAGATGTTTCTTACTCGCATTACCTTTGATCTTGCTTCATCTTCTGCCAAATGGGTGTAGGTTCTGAGCAAGTCGTTCAATGCCTGGGTCAAATTAGTTTTTAGTTCGAAACAGGTTTTGTGTTTGGTTTCACTAGTTTCATTTCAGCAACCGAGGTTTCTGCAAATAGTCTGAATTTTGTTTTTGTGAGTTTTTTTTATTATATTTTAACATTTTTTTGCTCTATCTGTTGTGTCCTACAAACATCAGTGCAAATCAGGCCATGGCTCAGCTTGAGTTGTATACCTGGCTATCCATTCATTGCACTATGTATGGTAGTTGATTATTCCCCAATACAAATGTGACTCTTCTGAGCTGCCAAGTGTTTTTGTGTGATTGTGTGTCAACTGGACTTTGATGCACAAAAGTATGTATTTGTAAGTTAATACCTTTAATTTTCAGTATGGTTATGAATGAGATTTCAGTTTTAAAACATGTTTCTAAAATAAATTTGTTCGCAACAATTATACTTCGCAATAAATAAGCTTGCAAGTAAAATGTACCTCCATAAAAAAAAAACATAATTGCCCTTGGATATAAGTGCAGAGATCCAAATTCTCAAAATTGATTTTCTTATTTTTTTTTTTTTTTTTTTTACGCTTTTACAAAATATTGGAAGTTGGCAATTCAAGCTGGGACACCACTCTTTTGGAGTTGCCATCGCACACTCTTTGGATGTAACGGATTATGAGCCCTCCATTGAGAACATCGGCAGGCAACAAGGGCACAGTGAAACAGCTGATGTGGCTTGCCTAAGTCAGTTTGGAACAAGATATCTCACAAGCTCTCCACCTAAAGATTTGGCCATCTAAACGGACAGGACATCAATAGCATGGTAGTGAACCAACCATGGTCAGGGAAGCTGAACTCAGCGGTACTACTTGCACTGGAGCATGTGGCCCCCACGCGAGGCCCGGAACAAGTCGAGATGTCCGACTCTAAGGAGAACACTAAAGCTTGCGGGTCAATCACGTTCAAGAGCCGCATAATCAAGAAAATCAAGCAGCTGGACAAGTCCTTTACAAGGCAGGCCAGACTGACGCTGCCGACACCACCAAGTAGATCCCTAAAAATTGGGGCATCTGAGGGAGCGCGAGTTAGCAGATGCAACTTCCAGGGAGCTTTTCTCTTCCCCGTATAGCCAGCAGCCTGGGACTACAACTGCCGACAGCCTAGAAGGGTAAGCATGCAGTCCAGCATCAATCCCCTGGAGACCGACATTGAGGAGGCAGCAATACTGGCAATTTTCCAATATTGCTCTGCCATGTCATGTTGGAGGAAGAGGACCTGGCTTTGGAAGATGGCCCCCAATGTCTGCCTTGGGAGAATTGTTTACCCCCTCACCCCTACACGCAAAGTAAAGCTTAAGCAAGCCAAGGCTTGCAGCACCGCTCTTCCCAGGAGCAATTGATCTCTGCAAACATCTGCGTGCAGCGACATAGCCAGGGGTTAGGCTTATGGGGCCGACCCTATAATATATACCTGCATTTTGAACCCTCTCTACCCACCCCAAGTCGTGGATATCCAAACCACCTCAGCTGCCCTGCCGCTTAAAAAGCACCAAAGTGTATAGATAACCCCTAGTTTCGCCCAAAAAGACACTTTAAAGTTGTAAAATGCTGCTTAAACCATGGTGAAAGGTTCGGCTGGACTACACCCGACAGCTGCATGGGCTAGACACTTCGAAGATGGCGAACATGGTGCCCATTGCCAGCGTACCTAGCGAGAACTTGTAAGTGTGAATATTTTTTCAAGTGACAACCCTAGATCCTGTTGGCTTCATTAAGCTGCGGTGACATTGATTGAGCTTTTAGAGCATCATTTTTGTGCCCAATCTGGCTCACTTTTTACCCACCATTCCATAAAGCGTGTGCCATCCCCTTCCTGTCCGCTTTTCTTTCCTCGAGTGTCCCTCAAACGGCACTGGTTCTTCGGAAGGAGGCGGACTGGTTCAATGTCGAACCCTAGTTGCAATAATATTTTGCGACGTCCCTAGTTTTTTCTTTATCGTATTGAGTAATCGAGCGGGAGCATGATCTTTATAAATTCAATATTTTGGCCACGGCCTGGGCTTCGGAGGCAGACAGCAACGCAGCAACAGCCGCAGCCACCTTGATCACAAGTGTGCCACTGACTCCTCGTATTCTGCCGGAGCCTCTTTTTTTACGATATTCGTTCACTTGAACTCGGTAAGAAAAGCAACATGCAACGCTTTACCGAGCCGCAGGTCAAGGGTCAGTGTGTCGCACGACGCACGACATGACGAGGATAAACTAAGCTGTAGAATTGTCTTGCTGCAATACTTGCCGATATGTGGAAAAATATTTTTTTTTAAAATGTGTAAACAGATAAAACCCCATGACAAAGCTAACTTGGCTTGCACACGGATCTTGACGGCGTCCAAGGGCTACAATTGGCACATTTTATACCTCCGAGGCTTTCTTCCTTTCCCTCACTCCAATGCGCGGTAGCATCTTTTTGATTGCTAAAGCTAGTTGCACAATCCTGATGCACCGTGGCACCACTTCCAGATATGACAATGTGAACTTCAAACGAGTAGTGCAGTTTGTGCAAAGTGGCTACATGCATGACAAATTGCAATATACAAGATTCTACAGCCACCACTAGTCAAACCAAAGCACTTTCCAGGGCTAAAAATAGCTGTCATCAACCTTCACAATGACCACTCACTCCTCTAACATTGTTTTGTTTCAGACATGTGGCAGCTGACATCAGTTAGCTTTACAGACGCACAACACCTAAGAGCTCCCCTAGTCAAGGAGAGGACTAAAGATAGAAATCCCGGAAGACTGATTTTTTTTCAGCTGCTCACCACTGTCTGGAGGACACAAGTGCAAGTTGCCCTCCAATTCAGGTAAAAGTATGATTCATTTTGTAACAAACCTTCCTCACCTTGGTGACTTCCCCCAAGATCATTGTCATATAACTTAGAACATGACAACAGCAAAGACAATCAATTTAAAAGCTTTATAACAAACTTTTTAGGGGGGTTCCCCTTGCACCACAAAAACAAGACATGTTGCCCCAAAACTTTAGTTCAAAGCAGTCAGCAGTGCTTAGAAGAGCTCGGGCCTTCTGGGAGTCCTTCAGGCTTCAAGATGATGTCGGTGACTTTGAGGAACTGCCAGTTGTAAAGGCCAATCCGATCTAGTTGGGCTCTGCTGCTTTCACCGCACACCACAGTGTCTCTGACGACACCTGCTACTGCCAGGAAGTGTTCGTCAAGGTAGCACATGCTAGTTGCTACTTTTCTTTTGACCTCCTCATCTGATTCACCGGTAGCCTTCTTTTAATGCCTCAACAAGGGTCAAGCCCTTTGACACTTGCTCAAAAGCCTCAGCGAAGCGTCTGCCACGTGCCCCCATAACAAACTACACGGCACAATGCAGAGTGGACAGATTCCGTCGCGTAAGTTCCTGGACCCCAAACTGAAAAGTCTGCGTACTTACAAAGATGAGCTTCTTTCGAACCTCCCTACGAGTACTACCAAAATATGTATTTGGAGAGTGCTCTGGGTTCTGTTGAATAGCTGCCTGCAGCAGGTAGTGGTTATTTAGCAGACCATCTGGCACTTGGTCAAGCACTTGGCTATGCTCAAACTCTAAGAGCTCGAGAGTTAGGGTCTTCAACGTCTTACTGCTCTCCAACATGTGCCAAAGCAGGTCAGCCTCTGGAGCTTCGAAGGTCCAGAAACTGATACTCAAGCTCGTAAGACAACTATTGCCTGCAATGCCCTCCACAAGAACCCTTGACAATGCTGCGGTGGCACGGAACTCGAGAGCGACATGCCTCAGGCTGCTGGTGGTCGACAGAAACAGTGCCAGAGAAGTTGCAGACTCCGTTTCGATTGGATGATCCAGTCTAATGCTAAGTTCTTGGAGGTGATGGTGTTGAAGCAGATGATGAAATGCGTCGGGCAGCAGTGGACGAGAGTCGTAGGACGCAGAGTAACGCGTCTTGGTCAAGCTTGTGGAGTTCTTCAGGCTGCTCTCAAACATCTGAGGGTCATTAATGCTAGCACTGATCTCCAATCTTCCTTCAGTCCCTGTCTCCCGCATGAGAAGGATGATGCCATGGAAATAAGCATTAAAGTATACTTGAAAGGGTGACTAGTTTAAGCGACTTGTTGCATGCCAGTGCTTCCAGAAACACACGGTAGTTGGGGACATCCATGCCACGTAGACCGAGGGTCAGCTTCTCCATCGTAGTGTTTTTGCGAACAGCCTCTGCAAAGGCAAGGAGGCACTCAACAGTGCTGCCTATGAACACCAACTCGCGAAGGCCCGTGTTACATCCTACCAGCCCAGCGAGGGCTGCTCCTTCAATTTGCCACTCCTTGTGGTCACTGTAGATCCCAACTTCTAAATACGGGAGACCTTTATGCTGTGCAACCACCTTTGCGAGCAACTACTCTGAATCCTCGTACAGTATAAACCCCTCCAGATGCAGTTCCTCCAAAGAATTGTTCTGCCTTACCGCTGTGAAGAGTGCATCTACCTCATCGTAACAATGCGACTGGCACAAGGACAGCTTTTTCAGAATATTGCTCTCTGAAACAAACTCTGTAAAGTCAACATTAGATTCATACTCGAGAACAATATCATGGGACGAAAGAACCGTAATCTTCAGTAAACGTTTTAAGGCTTGGACTAATAGCACGACATAATCTTCATGATCGGATCTTCCGAAATTCATTCCAATGGAATGTAGTGCAAGGGTATGCAGTGTTGAAATCTCCGGGAGGGCATCTCCCAGGGCACCCAATGCACTTGGGGACAGGCAGACATGACCCATATCTAGCTCCTCCAGATGTGCAAGTGTTCCAATGGCAGAGATGTTGGAGAATCCTTCTTTTTCCTGCCAGTTCCTCAGCGTCAACTTGTTCAGCCCAGAGTTGAGCCGGAGCACATCAGACAAGACGTCCTGATATTTGGGGTCTATGGTTCTGGAGAGCATCAACGTTTTGATGCAACGGTGCTCCTGAAGTAGCCAGTGTAGCAGAATCCACCCACGAATGGACGGGTACGTCTTCCACACCTACAACTGGCTGACGAAAAAGATACATTACCAAAGGAAAGAAGCCGAATTCTCCGGGCTCAACTTCTTTCAGTTCCATACTGATCAACCGCAGGAAGTCGTTGCAGACACTGAGGTACTCCACCATGCGACAGAGCTGGGCGCCATTTGCAGAGCAGGGTGCAACAAACTCGGCATTTGTTTTGTCGCTGACGGAGTTGAGGAAAAAAAAGAATCTCCTCAGCAGTCGAGACACCAGGACACTGCTGACTGACGTGAGCAGCATATCGACGTAGTATTTCGTTGTTCTTGGTGGCCGTTCTACAGGGCGATAAAGAAATTGCTTACATCAAAACTGAACGCCGGTTTGCATGGATGGGATCGGACACTGATTTCTGACCCGACATCAAGAGCACGAGGGCCAGCAAGTACGATAGGCACTTTCTAATACCCTGCACGGGCAACAAATGAAAAGTTACTTACGTTGTTTGCTCCGAAGGGCGCTTTCTCAGCTGAGGAGGCATTCTTAAAGTATTGGAAGGACTCGTAAAGTAAACCAACAGCACGTCTCGGTACAAGCGTTCAACAGATGCGTCAACTGAACCACGGATGCACGCGCGAAATCGAGGAATGAGGCAAAAAGAATGGATGAGTGAAAATCAAAAGACTCTGGTAGAATCTGGCGGTTTTGTGCGCCACTTAACGCACAGCAAAGGCGGAGTACGAAGGGGTTCGGTTTCGGCAGGATTAGCAGTGCCTCGATTATTTCGGTTATTTCCGAACATTTTGCGCAGCAAATTAAGGTTTCATAAACCAGTTGTAGTTAGGACCAGTCAGAAATTTTCGCCTGGGGTGGTCTGGCTCATTACTTGTGGCTCATTATCGCTCATTATTAGGGTGTGCATTTTCCGGTTTTAACCGAAAAGCACCGATAAACATCCGTCGGTGACGAAAATATAAAATCGGTTAAAACCGAAAAACACCGGTGGTTGGATATTTTCGCCCTGGTTAAAACCGAAAAACACCGGTCGTTGCTAGTTTCCGACCTAGCGAAACCCTTTCCCCGTAGAGGTTCGTCAAACGTGTTATCTCGTGGATCCTGCATTCTTCCAGTGTTTATACATGGCTTGCAGGTGGCGTCAGTCCGCCCTCCTTTCTGGGGGTCAAAAGCGTCTAGTGAACGCAGTGGACGCTAAGCTCTCATATACGCCTTTCCCCTATTGTGTCTCCCATGGCCCCCTTTTGTGGAAAAATTAACACAGTGGAGGGTAGGCTCTCACGTGCCTTAATTTTCCTCATTGTGTCTGCCAAGTGATGTCGGTGCAAGCCATGTATTCAGAGGTTGCTGTGGTTCCTGGAAGACACTGCCAACGTCCGTGTCGTACAAGAGCGTGCGTTTTCATAATTGCGGGTTGCGAACCGCAAGGAACATGGTGCCATGAAGGCAGCACGTTCCTTGCGTGTAGATGCAAGCATAAAAGTATGCTTGCATCTACTATAATAACCAAGTGTTAGAAATAGTTGCTTCCTAGAGAAGAAGTGTATGAACTATGTGAATAAAATTGTAACTCTGTTTCTGTGATCAATCGCTTTTTTTTCACCGATATTCACCGATTTTAGCCTCGTCGTGAGACGTTCCACCGAAATACACCGGTGTTTTGAAAATAAATAAACACCGAAAAACATCCGCCGATTTTTCTCACAAATAAACACCGGAAAGTACACACCGATCATTATCAAGAATCGCACGTGACTAAGGTTCAGCGCGCCTCGCCTAATTGTGATTGGTCAACCCATTGCACACGACCATATGGGCCGCGCCTCAAAGACTTTCAATCTCGCCGTCTTGTATTTGGCCTTCGAAAGCCATCCTTGCTCCACAGCGTTGCTCTGTATTTGTGCTGCCATGTGATCAATTAGTGCAGATTTGGAACACATGGTATAGTGCATAAGAGCAACCATACAGATTGTTTTCCCCCCTTTATTTATGACGAATCGCCGGAACAGCTGACCATTCCATTTAGCCCATTTTGCGCTCTCTGGGCGGCACCCTTTTGTTAGACCACAGCGCCCTCTCCACACATCCGGGAAGTTAAGCGGGTTAGGCGGTGTAAAACGAGAGAGAGGGCACGCGCCCGACTCCGCTAGCAGACGACAAACCGGGAGGTTGCCATTCTCCAACTTTGGGCTGTATTGGCGGGCAGTACGGAACATTGAACTCTCGCTTGTGGCTGCTGTTGTGAAGTGGTTGGCGTTCTTAGAATAGTTGTGGCTACTACAAAATCAGCCTATAGCTCTCTGTTGTTCTATTTCGCTAAATGATCAACATATCGTTTTTCTGTTACTTAAATAGCAGTTGAGTCAGCCGGCAGTACTACCCTCAACTACTGCGTGTATTGCGGCAGGAGAGCATGTTTTATTTATTATTTCAGACTTCCACACATGGTCGCTAAAGGCCTACGTACACCAGTACGAACTTTGTATAGTAAAATGGTACAGCAACCGGATTTACTTTTCGCCAAAGAAACCGGCCAATCTGACACAGTTTTCCCCATTTTTTTTATTTGCACGCAGGTAACGGCGCAATTGGACCCCATGAGTCGTTTTGTCTAGCATAGTATTACACGACAACTGGCATACCAAAAGCTGCGCATCTGCGCTTGAAAGTTCCAAAATGACGCGATTTGAAACAGAGTTTGCACGCCAGCCGGACGCTAGCTACAGCCCACTCGGCGGAGCAGACGACGTGCGGGGTGAGTGCATTTTGTTTCTGTTTTACCCTCTCTGCTATGACCCTAATGAAACACTCTATATGATGCGAAGACGCGCGACACACCTTCAAAACTTTGCCGCGGCGCCGATTCTTGATCGGTATCTAAGCGTGTGAAGGCACAGAGACACAGCATTTCGGCGCGCTAATGAAGCTTTGATCATGCCGCGAGACTGGCGAAATTTGCTTTCTACGAGTTTTGCCTTTTTCCTGCGGCACTGCGCTTTCGTAAAAGTTTCCACTTGTTTTCAACTGCAAGTCTCAACGCTTACACAGGGTCCTAAAATGTTTTTTGACGAATGACGACGAATGAGTAGAAAACGTGTCTGCAGCACGCTCTCGCCAGTTTCTGCAACGCTAGCAAAGCCACACTTCGCCTACGAGCAAGGTGGCCGTCCGGTGGTAGGTGGTTCTAGAGTAACTGTATAGGCTAGAGTAACATATACCACCTAGAGTAACATATACAGTTACTCTAGGTGGTTCGACCGGTTTGACTCCTCTAGCGGGAGTGGTCGCCTCTTTGAAGCCTCCATCTTAGATTTAGAAATGTTTAGCAAAAATATAATAAAAAAAAAAAAGGATTGGTCAAAGAAAAAAGAAAATGGCTTAATTTTTGTTAATATTACTTGAGCACGATTAGAGGCGTTGATTAGAGGTAATCTGTATTTGGTTGAATATGATGTCAGATTTAGCCAATCCAAGCTCATTTGAAAAAGATGGCGGACAGCGGTAATGCCGAGCGCGCTGAGGACCCTTTCAAAAGTCTTCTCGGCGAAATTACCGAAGACCAGTGGGAGACATATAAAGCGCTAAAAAAACACGTAAGTACACATTCGAGACTTACATCCCCGCAGGCGTCGGATTATTGCCGGTGTTGATTTGCCACGAACCGAGCGTAAAAGTCCTCGCCGTACCGTCGGCCCCTTCCGCAGCAAGGCAACTTGGTGATTGACAGCTCGTCGGAGGACTCGAGCGACGAAGGCGATGACACGGAAGACAAGCGTCTCCACGTGGGCTCTGTTGCATCCACAGAAACTCCGGTAAGGTTTTCGGCACGAGGTTGTCATTAATTCTCGTCAACTGGCATAACTCGGACCTCTCATCTCGTTCATAAATAACACACACACACACACACACACACACAAAAAAAAAAAAGACGGTACGAAAGTTGTTTTGCCTCGAGCTTTCTACCTTCTATGGTACAACGTCTCCCCCAAAAACTGTAGTGTTCTTTTCATTGCAAAAATAAACACTCCTTCTCCGCCCAAATATAGCGCTAGCAGTTCGAACCGGATGCCCAAGTTTCAAAGCTAACAGTCATCTCTTTGACGAAAATAATCCCTGGAGAAGGGGAACAAGAGGGACAAAGGACAAACATAAATCTCCAAACACAGCTAGGTGACTGGTGAGCGACTAAAAAAATCCGCCTGGTCCGGGTATCGAACCCGGGACCTCTCCGTTACAGGTGGAGCGCTCTACCAACTGAGCTAACCAGGGGTTAGACGTCAGTAGAGCAAACGGGTTTTATCAGCTGCCACCAGTCTAACACCAACAAGGGTGAAGCTTGCAAATTTAAGGTTATAATTATAACGCAATCAAATGCAAAGGTGCAAGCGAGCTGGACAAGAATGACGAAAATAATCCCTGGAGAAGGGGAACAAAGGACAAACATAAATCTCCAAACAAAGCTAGGTGACTGGTGAGCGACTGAAAAAATCCGCCTAACCCCTGGTTAGCTCAGTTGGTAGAGCGCTCCACCTGTAATGGAGAGGTCCCGGGTTCGATACCCGGACCAGGCGGATTTTTTCAGTCGCTCACCAGTCACCAAGCTGTGTTTGGAGATTTATGTTTGTCCTTTGTCCCTCTTGTTCCCCTTCTCCAGGGATTATTTTCGTCATTCTTGTCCAGCTCGCTTGCACCTTTGCATTTGATTGCATTATAATTATAACCTTAAATTTGTAAGCTTCACTCTTGTTGGTGTTAAGCTGGTGGCAGCTGATAAAACCCGTTTGCTCTACTGACGTCTAACCCCTGGTTAGCTCAGTTGGTAGAGCGCTCCACCTGTAATGGAGAGGTCCCGGGTTCGATACCCGAACCAGGCGGATTTTTTCAGTCGCTCACCAGTCACCTAGCTGTGTTTGGAGATTTATGTTTGTCCTTTGTCCCTCTTGTTCCCCTTCTCCAGGGATTATTTTCGTCATTCTTGTCCAGCTCGCTTGCACCTTTGCATTTGATTGCATTATAGTCATCTCTTTCAAAAGTAATAAGTGATTTTCTGAAAATTTCAATGGGAAAACGGGGTTCATTCTCTGTAACTTACGCCTTTCAGCTTCATGTATTCGAGGACCCCGTCAGCCGCCATTTTCCCAGTGAAAAGTAAAAAAGAATCACATAAATTTTTAACAAAGTAATCGGTTAGTTTCGAAACTTGGGCGTCTGGTCCAGACCGCTGGTGCTACATTTGGGTCGAGAACGAGCGTTCGGCGATTCATAGCTTATTTTTCCAGTGAAAAAATCCCGTGAACCTTTTTCGGGAGGGCCTTATGAGCTTCGAGCGTGCCTGTGCAGTCAATGCACAAAGGAAGGCAACGAGCATGCGCTGAATGCTGGTGAATCGAAAGAGACGTCCTGCTCTTGTCACGTCATTCACGAAAGTGGTAAACGAAACCTTGTGCATGCGTGTGTCATGTCACATCTCTTTCTATCCAGCCTTTACCACCTTCTTGGCACCCTTCGAACCTATTCATAGGGGCTGTTTGTGGCTGTGGGTGTTTCCAATGTTTCTTGCGTCTTGGTCGTCGCAGACTGCAGACAACAGCAGCGACGGATCCGAGGATGCGGACGCTTTGCAGTCGCAGTCTACACTTACCGACAAGTACCTCAACGGTGAGCGCGCCTAGACTACTTATTGTAGTCTTCAATGTTTCTGGGATATAAAATAACATATAAAACTTTTTTTTTTTTTTATTTGTAGGAGAGATCAGCTTTGCAGAGTTTACAGATCGCCTGGATGACCTCAAAGTTCCGAAAACGGTACCCGGGTCAGAGATTAGCACGCCGAAAGAGCAGACGGCGTCGGGTAAGTTACTCGTGCGTGCTACTTACTTAAAAGGGATACTTCAAAAATATTTGAAATATTCCCGTCGTGTTCAAAAATAGGTTGAATATTATCCACAATATCTGTAAATGACAATCGCACATTGATTTTTTGAGCCTGGTGGCTGTATTTTTCGTTATGAACGGCCCACTCTGGCAAGTGCTCGGAGAAAGCCCAGCGGAGACCACGTGACATCCAACGCAATCTTGACGTAGGTCGTCTCAAGACGAGTAAAGTTACGACAAGGATGACGTCGAGAGGATGGCTTAGTCGTTCCCGCCACCGAAGCGGCTGCTTTTGTATGAATTTTGAGTGACGGGTTAATCTTCTATAATCTTGTAGGGGGACAATAGGGACTTCTGCGACACACAAAAGGGATTCTCGGGAAGAGGGGAGTTCCACCTTCCCCTCTTTTTTCGTCATGGCCGGAGGCGAGACAACCTCCGTCACTAGCTGTCAAGGTTCCTAGACGAGCATTAGAAATGAGGCTTTAGCGACATCCACCAGGTGCTCTTTGCTAATCGTTTAATTTGTTTTAAAATTCCATTTCGAGACTTTTTTAACAAGATATTGGTATGTTCGATGTGATACTGCTCCTTTGAACACATATAGACCAAAAAATGAGCGGCGACATTTCGTTGTAGTATCCCTTTAATTGCTTTTTTGATTTGGAATGTGAGTCATGTAGGGTGATGGTCCCTCAGGTTGGAATATACAGGACCGTTTAACCCTTTGAGTGCCGAGTTTTTTTTTTCACTCGTGTCGAACACAAATTTCTTTCCAGTACAAAAAAAGTACCATGTTTTACAGAGCACTATATTTATTTACCAAAGACGTACTGATCTATGGGCTCAAAGTGATTAATATCTGCATGCCTCCAACCTCGAATATTTTCTCGAAGTATACTTTTCAAGACACAGTACTATGCAATGGGGTACCCCCCCCTGTCTTGCTCCCTGGGGTCACTCTTTCTAAGTGACCTCAACTGACATTTTTTTAAATTTTGAACTGGGACTTTCTTATTTAGTTTATTACTAATTTCTAGATCTCAATGTGTTTGCCATAAAGTGTGAGGTTTAGTGCCAAGGATTTACCTTTCTGGAGAAACGAAGGAGCCAACTGAGTCTGAGTTCCCTTAAACATAACTGTTCACATGCCGTCAACGGGAGTTATTATGAGACAAAACATGACTCTACATGTAAAAATAAAACCGACCACCCAGTTGGCAGAAGTGGGGAGCGAGTCGAAACTGAAACCTGCACAGCAGTGTGCCTGAGTATACTTGGGCATGGCATTTCAAAGGGTTAAAAAGAAGGAGCAGATTTGAAACTTTTTATTTCAAACTTTATTTCAAGGAACAAAAACACATTTCATACATCACTGTATAGAGGAAGATTCAAAGAAAGGGTGTTTGTCCCACCTGCACCTGGGGGCTACTCAAGATCTGAAACATTGAATTGTTGAAGCTGTGTATTCAGTAGTGATGGGCCAAACTTTTGCTGAATCGAAAATTCAACACCGAATCTCGGCAAAGCCGAAGTTTTGCCAAACTTTTTATAAGATTCGGCAAAAATACATTGTTGGCCATGCCTAAAAGCTAATATTTCAATTTTCCGAGCAAAAAAAAAAAGTTTTTTTTAATGCATATTGACAGTTATACTAAATAAGATGATATTCTACAAGATAATTGTATCATTGTTTTTTTTCGTGTGTTTACTGGCAATTTTACAGTGACCTTTTTCAGACGTGGTGTGACAGTGAGGTTGGGTAGTAGCGGGCACAGTCACGATACGCGAGTTTCGGTTTTGAGGCCTCATCAGCGCAAGCCTGCAAGTGCGTACACTGTTAAAATAAAGATGATAACACTGTGTCCTTACATTCTCTGCTAGTCACTGTTTCATGCAGCAAAAATAAATGAAACGGCTGCTGAGCCTTCACCAGAAGAGATAAATATATTTTTGTAAATATGCATGTTTTTCGATTTGAGTCATTTGACACCAGCTTTGCATGAAAGTGCGCATTTAATTTTTGCAACGTCTCCCTTTTAACTCTTAAAATGCCGGTTTCTGATGTTAGGACACACCCAGACGTTTAGGAAGATGGGAAGAGTTGGGAATGTCAGATGTGCAACGTCGAGCATGATATTTCCTAAAGGCCTAGATAGAGAAAGAATGTTATAAAATGAATTTACAACGAAGAAAAAAATTTTTAGAGCTATATTTTTCTCGCACAATGAATTTATAGTTGGCGCCCGCGGGAGCCGCTGCGGGTCACGTGGTAGACCTGTGCGCCGTTGTGCGGTGCCGTTCAAAGTCATGCCGCCGCCGCCGCACGCTGAGTGTGGTGAGCCACCGTTTCAACGCGTTTCTCCATGCCGCCGCTGTTGCTCAAGTTTGTCTTTTCCGCGGCGCTGCCGCCCATTTGACCGGTGCACAGGTCTATCACGTCAGCTTGCACTTTTTCAGGAGCTTCCTTTGGCCTCTAAAAGTTACTTATTAATAAAACATATAAAATAGCGCAAAAAGACAAGGACAAGAAGTATAGAAGACAGGCGCTTCTTGTCCTTGTCGTTGTCTTTTTTGCGCTATTTTATATGTTTTACTAAGATGAATTAACTAACCCAACAACATACCCTAGCAAGTTACTTATTAATCTTTGTTTTTTGTTGCACTTGAAACAAAGATGAACAAGTAACTTTTAGAGACCATAGGAAGCTTCCGAAAGAGCGCAAGTACCACGTGACAAGTAGTGGCCAGTTTTCCGCGGCACCCTGCAGGCGCCAACTACAGATTCGTATAGCGCCATAAATATAGCTCTAAAAATTTTACTTTGTTGTAAATTCGTTTTATGACTTCCTTTTCGCAACCAGGCTTTTTTAAAAAAAATGTATTTTTCCTTTGCATGTGTCCTTTAAGAAATTGGGAACAGCGCGCGAAAAGACGAAGACAACGAGAGTAGAGCACAGGACGAACGCCGACTATCAACTGAAGTTTTATTAAAAACGGCTCAAACAAGAAAACACCACAAAGCCAACCAACGCCGTAACAACCAATGGCGTGTTGGTCACCAGGCATCTATAAATCTACATCTTATTTGTGTAGATCAATCGAAGGCTGGCTGACACAGTGCCTCCAGCACCTCTCTTTGTACTTTTGTACAACCCCTGCCGATGATTATGGTATCTGTGAAGACGGGGTGACACAGACAGTCTCTGCAGTGTACATACAAGTGACCCTCCGGTCATTGACCGTAAAGAAAAGGCATGTTCATGGATTCTCTCATTGACACAGTGTCCCGATTGCTCTATATAAACCCGGCCGCTTGACGCACAAAGGCTGACAAACACGTGATTACCATGTCGCCTACTCTGCACCTCGCCATAACCACTGCTAGTACTACACTATACAATGATAACCGCATGACCGCCCGGCATCCATTTGCAATCCATGACCCCGTCGCGTTCTTGCGCGTGCGCATACTTTTGCCGATTCTTTGTCGAACTTTCCTTCAAAAGTTCGGCATGTGCCAAACTTTGCCGAATCTGAAGTTCGACAGATTTGGTCGATCACTAGTATTCAGTAGCTATGGGTCCGTTGAGTCATGTGTGGCAAAAGTTGGACTACCGTTTTGATGTTTGCCGCACAACTCGAGATGCTCATGTCGAAGGCAAAGAACCTCAAGGACCATAAAACTAACTTTGAACCTTTCTCTGCCCAGTGATGATCTGAAAAATTGTTTCTGTCATTTACTGATTGCTTGAAACTAAAAATTTAAAATTTGTTCCTTTTTTTAATGACCCTGTAAAAATAGATTATTGATGCATTGCATAGAAGTCTAGTTGCAGTGCCATTAGGCACATACTTTAGACACATAAAGAATAGCAAATTATTGTCCTATTTCGAAAAATCCAGTGTCTGCGACATACGTTTACGAAGCAAAAGGAGAGGAACTAATTCGAAGCAAAGCTGCTCATGAATTATAGTCTGCTTACACGTTTCGACTTTAGTTTAGATGCAGCCGAAGCTACGAGCTGATGTAATCAATCGGACAGCGTCAAAAGTGCAGCATCATGGTGTTTGTCATGTTTCTGTACATACTCTACCAACGTTGAACCTATCATAAACAAAAAAGACCTATAGTCGCTTATAAGTCAAGAAGGTAGAAGAAGCTCCTCCCACAAGCGTGATGCGCCCGTTTCAAATCTCTCCGCAGTCGAAAGAAGCGTTCATTGGAAACGCTCCTTTTTCCGCTTCAATGAATTCCAACTTGTCTCCGATCCCACTTTTTAACTCTTTTGTTACCGCGGAAAAATGACCGATTTTCAGTGCTTTCAGAAAATATTTTTTTTCTCTGGAACTACTGGACACATTAGACATTGCTATTTATCAAACTGTAGGTTATTAGCTGGGCATTTTAATTAAATAAACGGCAGTGTTATGTATGCAAACAGTTAAGAGAATTTATTTGTCAAATGAACAAAAAGTTGACAAGAAAAGCACAAGCAAAGGACAAATGAGTGGCTATACTGAGCCAGAAAATTATTTTCACAATTTTGAAATATACAAACTGTTGCAAGTGGCCCTAGCCATCATTTCACTATCTTTCAGTCCTGTACGGCACGTTTTGTATTTTTCATGGCCAGCCAAGTTAGTGGTCCCGATGGCTGTGCCACTCACAAAAACAATCGCGCGAAGGCAGGAAGCAAGGATAAACTTCGCATGTGGAGTAGAAGGCGTTTGTTTTTGATTGTGATTTCGTCTTTTGATAGCAGAGCTTGCAGTTTCTTCTCTCCATTATTTTTGGTTGGCGGTGAGCAGGGATCTGGGGTGAGAATGGAATATGGCCTTGGTGCTCGTTCATCATACCCAAAGATCTGCTGAATTACCTCTTCGCTAAGTGCCAGCTGGTCAGAGTAGGCACTTCTAGAAAGTTCAGGGACGTTTAGGTTCTCTTTTCGGTGTTCTTGGAAGATATGAAGCTATTTACGCATGCAATGTCCACACAACGAAAAAACAGTGTCTTCCACCAACGCACGCATTGCAGAGAAACGCTTTCTTGGCATAATTTTTGGTGCGAGATGGCCTCTGAATATTCCTGCTGTTTTTCAGTATAAGTGCAGTCGCAGAACTTCAGCCATCCCGATGTAGATGATAATCCCAATAAATTTCAGCATCTCCAGCGGAGTGACATTCCTCCAGGAGCTGTCATGTCGAGCGTATGTCTGCCGGTTCAAAATATGCATCCAGTCATATTTGTTTGTGTTCTCAGAGAAAGTCCTTACCACCTAGGCAGTGAAAAATAAAAGAAAAAAAATCCAGTGCTCTTGAGAACCGCCGCGAGTCGCTCCGCAGTACTGCGCCGACATGGACACCGGGCTGTCTCTTGGGGTGAAAGCTGGATACAGCGCGATGCATTCGGAAAAATATCCTTGCCACACGCTGTCGATACTCTAAACATGCAAAAAATAACACTGTTGTCAATTATAAAGCCCGTGTTTGTATAACTGCCACGTGCAAGCTAAAACGAAATGCACCTGCGAGCTCCTATTGACATTCCAGGACATTGGGCTGGAGAGTCGCTATCAGAACAAAAATCTGACGGCCCCACATTGTTACTCGAGTCATCACTGCTGCTTGAGTCGTAAAAATCAGCAGCAGAAGCGGCCGAACTGCTTGCTACAGCCTTCCGCTTATGCGGTGCGAGCGGCAACCGCGATGCCTTGGCTCCCGACTACGCTGTTACTTTCGGTTACAGTTTCGTTTTTTACAGCGCCGCCTCACGTCAGAAGATGGAAAACCAAACCGAAACTGATAGAGTAGATGTCTATAAGCAAACTAGGTGGCGCTGCCTGTCTCTCATGCGCCAATTTGTATTTTTCCCGACGCTTTGAAAGTCATCGTAACTCCGTGTCCGATTTCCTATGGCGCGGTACTAAAAGAGTTAAGAAAGCGACCTTTGTAATTATTCGAGAGGGAACCGAGCCCCTGAAAGCAGCCTTTGTATCCATCGGAGGGGGAACTAATCCCCGAAAGTCGTATTTGTTTCCATCGGGGGGGGGGGGGGGGGGGGGGGGGCGGGGGCGGGGGCGGCGGGCGGCGGCGGGCGGGCGGGGGGGCGGGCGGCGGCGGGCGGGCGGACTCTAGTCTCCCTCTCGTGGCTTCCACAATGCTAAGTCAAAGTCGAAAGATAAAGCAAATATGTACAAAAGGCAAGACTCTTCTCGCGCGTTGGCCGCAACGTCACCGAAACGATGGGACGCTATTGGATACGGAGGTGGCGGAGGGATATATGATTCCCTTTGAGGGGCATTTGCCGCTACCTTCTTAACCTGTAACCGACTATAGCGACTTGCACTTTTGACACTGTTTGATTGGTCCCTTTAGCTCGTAGCGTCGGCCGTGCCTGCACATAAGCTGAAACTAAGTAGAGTGTTCTATTATCACTGAACCAGTCATAAACCCGGTCGTTTTGGGCGAGAAAAAAAGGTTTTCTCCCGAAAGACTGAAGTCACTAATCACTTCACCTAACCACTAATTTGTGAAGTTACTAATTACTTTGTGAGCTAATTGAATCAAAATCGCAGAGGAGAGCGACGATCCCTTCAAGGAGCTCGCTCCCACCACTAGCAGACGGGGTCGCAGGAAAGGCAAGGTGAGTTGCTTTATTTGCTTTATTCAATGATTTATTGAATTGCAACGAAACCCTCGATTGAATTTCAAGCTAGGTTTAGTACACTATTTCTAATTTGTCCAAATAGAACTGAATGTGAGTTTAGCCAGCAGAATGTGATAATACTTTGTCTGCACTCCTTTTACATCTGTAAAAGAGTACTGGCTAGCTGACACGAAATTTGCATCTCATGTGCATATCCAAGTGGGCAACAAACTGGGAATGAACGTGGGAATGCTCACACATGAATGAGAGAAATACATAGAAGGGCGAAACAAACAGCACAGCTCTCAACTTCCTGCAAAGACATATTTGTAGCTGATGAAGGCTGCATCATCTGTTCAGTTGTTTTTTTTTATTTTCTCTTTTGTCCATGTTTAGTTGTTTACCAACACAAAACTTTTTGTATTGAGAGGTGCCGCAATCTTGAATTCAAGTTGTGAAGGCGGTGTTGTGCATTTTTCGGGTCGGTCCGTTGTCCCACAAACCTAACCGGTCAATGTTTTCGTCTTCTAGCGGCCGATGCAGCGCCCGAGCCGCCTGCCAAAAGACCTGCAGGGGCTGATGGGTGAAGCAAACCTGTGCTTTGCACGCGGAGACCATGAGGATGCCATCAAGATGTGCATGGAAGTCATTCGCCTTGGTGAGTGGTGCTGGCTCTTGGACGTTGAGATGGTGGAAGAGCTAGATATCGCCACGCATCTTTTCATTTAGAGATGATTATTTGTAAACAGGGTCTGGCTTTTTCAGTTGGTCATCAATTCTGATCACTCAATCAACTGACGTGACCAGAAGCCATAACCAAGAATATTAGGATAATAATTTCTTGAGTGCTATATAGAGGAAGGGAGGAGATTTGTAAAATAATAAACTAGCTTGTGCTTTTAGAAAAGTTGTTTTTCACGTCCTTTTTTTTTTTTTTATTCAAAACTTGACATTATGAAACTCACATGTTCAGAGTGGAAGGTTGTCTTTTTCTTGTCTTCTATCCTATGCACATTGCAATGTTGCAGGGACAGATGTAATTTTGTTTTCTGTGGTCTTCACTATTTTGTCTTTAGGGCCCCCATTCACTAGAGTCATGGCCACCTCTGAGCTGATGCCATCAGCCAAATAATCAATCAGTCGGGTATCCTACTAACCAGTTATATAATTGGTTAGTATGACGGAGTTAGTACAAACAAACGTTAATTCCTTTATACTCTACCTCAAAAAGACTGGGAGAGATAGGAAAAAGGGGGAAATTTTGTGTCATCAGCCATACAAAGACCCCTCCTTGACACTTGCGAATGTCGAGTAGACCAAGCCAAACATTAGCCGATGCCAACCAAGCCAAGTGTATGTCGGCCTGACCATAATTTTTTTGACAAGATAGACTCGACCGTTAACCGTGCATTTGTTGGCATTGACCCGACCAGGCCATGTATCTGCCGACACGCCAGCCCCATCGAGCCGATTGTTTCCCGGCCTCAGCCCTACAGAGCCTAACGTGTGCCAGCATCAGTTTGACCAAGTCGGGCCAACATCGGTCCAACGAAGCTGAACATTTACCGACTGAGTCGAGTAATTTTATTGTTTTCCAGCCTCGTCGCCACCAAGCCGGACTGTTTTCTGATGTCGTCCCGACCCCCAACCCCTCACCCCTTTCCCACATCCCAGTGCCCCGTGCCCCGGAGCCCTTCCAGACGCTGGGCATGCTATACGAGGAGATGGGCGACCCGGCCAAAGCCCTGCAATTCTCCCTGATCGGGGCCCACCTGAGCCCGGACGACGCGGACGAATGGGCGCGCCTCGGAGAGCTAAGCCTGGAGCAGGGTGACGTGCGCCAGGCGACGACCTGCTACGCCCGGGCGGTGCGGGCGGACCCCTCGAACCTGGACCTGCGCCTCGAGCTGTGCACCCTCTACGAGCAGGCTGGGGAGCAGAGAAAGGCCCTCGACTGCTGCTCCTCTCTCGTGCAGCAGATGGGGCCCTCTCAGGGGGCACAGTGCCTGCAGCTGTCCAGAGAGCTTGCCAAGGTGGGTGCAGTAATGTAACATATGTGGGGGCAACGGTCTTTAGAACGGCCGAGCGCTCAAGTCATGGCTGATGTTAAAGGTGGCTCAGCGCCCGAGAGAGCGGCACGGCTCCTGTAGCTAACCGCACAACGCCGACCCAGACGGGAACCGGCAAGAGCTGCGAAAGGCCGAGCCGGGACGAAACAAAGAGGCGATTGATTTGGACAAGTTCCGAGGCGAACAACCGAGCGATGTGCTGCTCCTTTTATTCTCGGATAACGTCGCATACGAGCTTCGTGGACACGTTTTATGTGTACATTCAAATAGTGGTGCCATTTCGTCAAGTTTGATATATAGATTACTATAGTGGAGGCCCCTGTTCGCACGTGACGGACTAGTTGCGCTTTGCCTACTGCGCGTCGGAGTCGCCGAAGGTTCCTGGGTAGCGTAACTACGATGCCCGTGTCTCCGACTGGTGTGTTTAGCATTCCATCCCACCCATACATAAAATGCGGTCCCGAGGTAGCAGCAAACGACGTCGCAAATGCCGGAGTGTCGTGCCGTCCATCATTGTGATCCCGGCAATTTGGCACAGAGGTTTTGGAAAGAAGCGCGAGAGAATGCGAGCGTTGCTGTCGCCGCAAGGTTCCTGCTCCCAGCCGCTGAAGTTTTTGTGGACCGTCGAGCCGGAGAATGACCCGTGGTGGAACGGGCGTCTGCTATGTCCACTACTGCTGCCGTGACCTCGCCAAGATTGTGACCAGCGATGACGCGACGCTTGCACGGCGTCGTTTCGGGTCACGGTAAACATACCCGTCGGAGCTGCAGTTCGGACAATGTAGTGGAACTCTCGAGCTTCGTTTTGAAACCGCAGTGCAGCGCCAAAAGCCGAAGAATACAAAATGGTTGCCCCGCATAGTCGACTCCAGGTGGGCAAATATGGGCATGGCGTCTTACCGGCGGACGAAGAGGCCAATATTCTTATAGTGTGGACTGTGTTGGGAGCCGCCTGATGTGGAAAGTCCTGGCAAACACCGACACGCCTAACTTCCCTAGTTTTCGGAGCTCCTACACAAACAATACACGCATGTTTCGCAGTTCATGTTCCCAGCTTCGTGATGGCTGATATCATGCAACATTTTGGGAACATTCAGAGGCTCTGTTGCACATGCTCCAATATGTATTCTACTGAACCAGAGCATCCCGTGTAAACATTGATAGCTATGGCACGGGTGACGACCACTTACCCCTGTTATGTCTTCTTGCCGGTGCTTCGACTGCCGTACCTTTTATGTGAGATTGGGTTGTGTTACGTAGGCCAACACAGTCTGTTTCAACACGTTTATTGCCAGACAGCATCTGCTGTTCCTACAGTTCGCGTAGCTCTTATATAAATAAAAACGAGTAAAAGATTACCCGGCGGCGCTGCTTATCACGGCAGGCGATAACGTGCGCTCCGCACTGCTGATACATGACAAGGCCAGCGTAGAATACAAAATTGCTGATACAACAGGTTGTGGGGCCTTCATCTTATCAATGCCATAGTGCAGCGTGTAGAGTGCTGCAGAGTCACGATGGTATACCACAGCAAACTTGGTGAAGTGTGCAAATCGAAGCACTGCCTGAGGCTCAATTCAAAACTTGAACCTGTCCTATCGTGCCGCCAGACAAAAGATAAAACCTACTTCCGTAGTTTTCCGCCGAAAGTGTCACTTGGGACTGAGACCATTGCACATTGTTTTGTTTGATGAACGTCTATCTTCTGTTTGGAAGGGTTTTTAATTGAGCGAAAAGGCAAATCACTTTGTGATACCGGTGGTGGCTTATTCTTTCTTTTCCCATCTCTCTGTCTCTCTAGGTTCATCATCAGAGGGGCAACGTGGCGGCAGCCATCAACGTGCTCCAGAGCGCACTCACCAAGTGTCCCTCCGACATTGCTTCCGAAGGTGAGCCATCTTGGATATTTTTGGAACAGAACTCATCATCAAGGAGATGCTTGGAACAGAACTCATCACTTACCAATCTCTTGATGTTGAAGTTTACTGTGCTGGCACTTGGTCCTTGCTCAAATCGTGCACATGCTCGTTGTGGAGGATGATGGACCTCTAGAGTGCGCTTCAATAAGGCTTCTCAACGCTTCAATGCATCGTAGGCAAACTCAATTTTAGCCTTTTGAAAACGGACAGTACAACTCTCGCTCCCGTGGCAAATTTCGGCATGCAGTGCCGTGACACTGAAAGTGTATAGACCGACACGCTGTTTACAAACTAGCCCGCGTTTGCCCACACAAGGTGTGGGCACTGCGCATGCCGAGAAACCGAATTCGAGTGAACTGAGGCGTCTGCGCATGCGCAGTGCCGTCGACAGCGCCACTGCAGCTGCGTGACGTCAGGGACGCATGTTGGTCTATAGGTTTGCTGTGCAGGTTATGTTATAATGATGTTTCTTATAATTAGTATTACGCTTAGGCTGTAACTCCAACGAAAGCAAGCATCAGTCCAGACTGCCAGCTCTTTTGTTTCAAGAATTTGAAATTCTCACGGGTGTTGCGGGTCTGTTGGCATCGAGCTCGATACTTGATACTGTAGAATGGTTTGGAAGTGACGGGTGACTACTTTAGTAGTCTGTGTGCCTCACAGTGGAAAAGCTTTTAGCAAGTGTCCAGTGCGCTGGGGTCCACTTAAAAAAAGGTTGAGCCCTGCTCTCGGAGCACAGACGGCGACGAAACAGCGGAACCTCGCAACGGTCTCACGCGTGCCTCGCAAGGAATGCTCTTCTACCTTCAATGCTCTCTGAAGTAGGATGGCCTAGATTTGTCAGCCCAAGTATTTAAGTCAGAAATGTTTCGTTGTACTGGCGGAAGCCAGCATCAGTCCTAGCGTGCATGCATTTGGTGTAGGAGCTCAGGTCTCTGTGTACTTGCAGACGTGAACATGTTGTTGGAGCTCCAACTCGGCGAGAAGCTTTACGTCGACGCCTTGATGGTGAGTCCTATCCCCAGCAGTTCTGGGCGGGGCAGAGGCGAGCGATGGGTTCGAGGAACGTCCTTCCGAGAAGCTTTGATCAAATGACAGCCAATGTGTAGCATCAGGGTTTTGTTTGCGTAAAAAAAGGTTGCGATTTCTTGGTAATTTAATCATTATTTTCTAAGTGCGGCATTGTGTCCGATAATTTCTCCCAATTGCCAGAATCAATAGTGGAAGTGCAGGTTTTTGTTTGTTCATGGTCCCCCAACCTCTCATACTCATGCAGTGAATGAAGTTCAAGCATCCACACTAGCGATATCGACCACTGGCAAGGCTAGCAGCACAAGCTCTTGGCTTTGAAAGCTGTCCAGTGTACAAGCTTCTGTAGACCCTCATTAATTCAAACTCTGGGAAGCTTCAGGTTTGGTTTCAATTATCGAAAGTTAAAATTATTATAAAATCATCTAAATACGATGCAAGATGAAATATCATTTGTTATATGGACGGCTCTAGATACAAAGCAGGTATTTGATGATTTCCTCTACATAGACAGGAAGCATTGGTGAAACATATGAGATAACTTTATTCATCCCTCAAAAATGTTGCTTATCGTGGACTGTTTAGACAGCAAAACAGCAAAGTTTAGACAGCAGAACAAAACAAAGTTTGTTAATCTAGCAGAGGAGTTGTCTGTCATGGACTATTAGCCCTGATGAGCGTGCTTCTTACCGAGCACTGGTGCACTGGAGGAGCAACACTCGCGGAAGCGAGCTCTGTTGTTGCTTCTCCGCAGTGCACCGGTGCTCGGTAAAATGTGCGTTCAAAGGGGCTGCAAGAACAAAAGGTGTGAATTACATGAAAACACCGTTAGAATTAAGCGGCTCATGTGTACGTTGAAAACATAGCTGGATAACTAAAATTTTGACCTTCGTTTGAATTAACTAGAAGTATGCAATATCAGAGTTTGAATTATTGCGAGCCTACTGCACGCTTCATCACCACCTTCCATGGCTTTGGTCTGGTGCCCGTAGCATCCCGCTTGCTGGAAGTGAGCATTGAAGGGAGCACGGTTCCACCCTTTGCCGCGGCACACGGGATGGCCGAATCTGGCGGTCAATGGCATCTTTGAACGAGCTAGTACCGTATTTACTTGCATAATAAACGCAGTCGCATAATGAACACACTTTTAATTTTCGGCTCTGCGAGCCTTGAAGTGCGTCCAACTTAGCTAGTTGGCTAGCCACCAAGCCCACCAATTTTCTTTTGCCGCCAAGCAGCCAGGCCAAGTCAAGCCAAGCCACGCCGCTCTCGTAATGGCTGCAGGTGCGTGGTTGCGGAAGTGATCAACAGTGAAACTGAGCAGCGCGCATGCCTAGCGAAGCTGGGGTCGAGGAATAGCTCAGCCCCGGACATGCTTCGTCCATCGGATACATTGATGTCAACAAACACGCTGTCGTCTGCGATCCGCTTTCGAACAGTAATATCATAAAAAGGTGGTTAGGCCTAAGAACGGTCGCGTCACTCTCCCTGCTGAGTGAGCTTCGTAAAGTGCTTTTTCTTCGGCAAAAGGCACGCCAAAAGCGCCCTAAGAAAAGGTTTGCAATTTATAAAGCATGAGTACTGTGGCGCGCCCACGACCAGCCATGGGCACGCCTTCGTCGGTGTGGACATGTCACAGTACCCTGTCATGTTATATTGGCACCTAAGGTGACATTTGCGCAAAGTGAGTAAATGCAAAAATTTTACCCCCACGTAATGAATGCACCCCACAAATATGTGTAAATTTTTCGGGGAAAACAAAGTGTGTTCATTGTGCAAGTAAATACGTTACTACCGACATTTATTTCCCTAGTAACTAGAAGCAACGTATCAATTTGTTTTAGAATTTGCCGTGTTCTGCCTAGCCTGCTTTTCGTGTGGTCTTGCGACTGAGTCCTGTATTTAGCCTCTTACTGTCCTGTGGTCTGCTAGCCTTATCCCCTTAATGTATTCTTATATACTATTTGTATTCCGATTACCGTCTCGTTCCCAGGTGCTGCACACCCACTGTGGCGTCCGCCTGCTTCCTTTGGAAGCGGACAAAGAGTTTTCCTCCGCCATTTCTTTGGAGACGGGAGGTGTGAAACGCTTTGAAAGGTACATCCATCTTTGTTGTTCCGGGTGAAAATCGCCCCTCATTTCACACTGTTTGCAACTGTATAGTTTTTCCTTCCTACAAATTTCTGCAAACTATGTCAAAATCCTTTTGAAACCTGCAACTTTTCTCTTTTTTTCTTATATATAATAAGAAATGGGCTTTAGGCAAGAACTCTGTGATCGATTCAAGGAGAAGCAGATCTTTTGAAAGGAAACAAACATCTCTCATCATCACGGACAATGTACAGATTGGCTCTAACTCCATACGCTCGTTGATTAGTGCCGGCACCTAGTATAAGCTCTGCAAATTGAGAAATCTCTTATGCAACAACGCATACTGGGTTTTCAAACTCGGCAAACAGAGGTCTTTCGTCTTATTATGTTGCTCACAGAACGACAACAAGACACACCTCTGGGGTTTTTCACACTTTGATCTCGAGGAGTGCCTGCCTTCCTAGACTTGCAGCCGTGGAACTCCCTCTGGTTTCGGCACGGTGGCAAAATGAGCGGTTCAAAAGCCCAGTGGTCTCGTGAACACCGATGCACTCGCCAGGGAGCGTGGGCGTCAAGGACGATCTGCAAGCATAGTCACCGGCGCGTTTTTTCCTCGTGTGACGGCCGTGCCACATTGGTTACGCTAAAATTGGCCGCAAACGCGCTCCAAACGCACGCATGTATGAAACAAACATGCTCGAGGAGGGTCCGCAGGTACTTTTGCCATTCTGTCTGCTGCAAATATTCTATCTTACGACGCACGAACGGTGCGACTGCGGCTTTATGGATCCTGCTCGTGACGGCACGACTAAAGTTGTTGAATGCTGACGACGAGCTCAGTGGTGTATGTGGCAAGTTGGCGAGAGCTCGAAGCCATCGTTTTCATAGAACCGACACCGTCAAAGTTGACAGTCTGACGTTATTCCTATCTCTGTCGGCGAGGCTTGGTGTATGTTTTAGTAGGACTTCGATCCTACTGAAAAGTTTTGGTGCCCGTTTGGCCAATTGTGGCGTGGCACAGCGATGCTTTTGCCCTTTAGTTCTGGGGCTGCTTCCGTCTGAAAAAAAAAAATTGTAACCGCCCCCCACCCTCCCTTTCCAGAAAAATGGGGATTGAGGTTCTGTGGAGCCCATGCTAAGGAGTGTTTGGTACATTTCTGTATCAATAAACGGCTGCATCAAATAATAGCTTCGATCTTCTAAATGAGTTTTTAAAATTAGAATATAGAGGTTGTCTGAAATGCCGAGGCTGACAGCGACGCAGACGACAGAGTCGAGTGGCGGGGCACGTTTGGTGCACATATTGATAGATGGCGTCAGGAGCAGCGTTGTAAAATGTAGCCGACCAGCAAAAGAGAGCAGATGATGCGCAGAAGTCCGTCGGCAGCAGGAGCGTCGTCATTATACAACCACGCTTTCTTTTATTTTTGTTACTTTCAGTTCTGCTATCATTGTCCGCATTTATTTTTAAACCAAAGGTATGTTACAAAAATATTATGTTCATTTTAACAGACCACAGTCGTTGCGAAGCAGTCCAGATATTTTTTTTAAAGGAAGCCGAACCAAGGAGGTAGCGTCATCTATCATTACGTGCACCCTGCCACTCGACTCGGTCGTCTGCTTCGCCGTCCGCCATTGATCCTGGCAATTCTTTTTACCCTACTTTTTTTTTTTACAGAAAAGGAGCTACACCTTGTAATTTTACAAGGTAAAACCCACCTCTGAACTACGCCTTTGACAAAAAGTTTAGATTGCTCAGTGCAGACACCAATTTTCACGGCCCATTTTAGATCAAACCTTGGCATTTCAGACACCCTATGTACTTTACTCGGGAGTGATGGCGACCGAGAAAATTGGGAGCTCTGGCAACCCCTGAGGCTGCTCTGTTGAACCCCTGAGGGTGCTCTATAGATCCCCAATCTTTTAGGAACCCATCTCGAGAACCCATGCATTAACCCTACCTTTGGTAATGCTAACAGCTTCTGCCAGCCTGGCACGAACCTCGCTGGACAGAGCAAGTAGGGACATACTTTGTTGCGTGGTTCCGACGGTGTCTCCTTCCTGCCTTCCCCTTAGCTGCGAGGTGCCCAACGTGCTTCCGGTCGACCTGCGAGTCAAGCTCGTGCTCAGCCTCATTCACCTCGACGGTCAGCATCTGGTGCTGGTGAGTGCAGTGTGTCGGCACATTCCTTTTTTTTTTCTTGGTACGTTAGTTTTCAGCTCGCAGGAAAACGACACAAATGTCGGCACTGGGGTCAATAAATAAATGAAAATGATAGCCAACTGTAAACTTGCGTTTAACACAGTCAGCACCAACAACTGAAGGCGGGTTCACCGAGTCTGACTTGAAATCAGACGCACAGTGCGTGTGCACTAGAGCACTACAAGGGCCCATCTTTCGAGGCCTGATCCGGCCCGCCGACTCTCAACCTTACCCCGACGGCATGCCCACCCGATCCGGCTCAAGTCCGGCCCGAGAACAGTGTGTGCTACCGAACCCTGGTTGAGTGCACGGACCCGGGTCCGTGCAGAGCTCTATACTCCATTCCAGCTTCAGTCCGAGCGCAGTGGACGCCACGAGCTATCCCAGCCGATCCAGCGCCGGGAGAAAATCGCGTGACCTGTTGGTTGGGCAGAGCGACGCAGGGAGCTCAAGGTCACATGACACTCTCTTCACGCTGGATTGGCTGGGATGGCTCCTAGCGTCCGCTGCGCTCGGACTGAAGGTGAAACGGAGCATAGTGTGCATGCCTGATTCTACCTCTTGCACCCTTCCCCGCCCCGTTGCCAGGCGCCTTTGCCTTTAAATTTCTACACACAGAAATTCAAATGTTGAAATGTGTCGTCCAGCTGGCAACTTTTGGGAAACATTTTGAAAGGACATTACGGCGCTTGTTTCTCCCCCTGTCAGCACCCTTCGCATGTACTAACTCGGTTATGGGTTCGTATGAGTAGAGGGTGCCGACGGGCTTCTCGAAAGTTAATTTTAGTGCTCATATTTGTCCCAGTTAGCACCCCTCGCTTGTGGTGACTCGGTTGTGTGTAGCCACTCAATTTGTGATTCCGATGCAGGGCCTTGTGGAGCAGCTGAGTACCGAAGATCCTGAAGAGGTGGGGGACCTGATGCTGGACGTGGCCGAAGCGTTCCTGGAGAAAGCATCTCCTGGTCGAGCCCTGCCCCTGCTCGCTCAGCTCGTGGAGAGCAAGAACTACAGCCTGGTGAGCGGCGACCGGAGTCAGACCGAAATAAATTACCGACGTCGGTTTACGGAGACTAAATACGAGCCCTGCCAAGGTACATACACTGATGGGAAACTGCGATTCACTTTTAAACCGATATTAAGAATGCCACCACCAGCTTCTCGGCGGGCATTCGGCGGGTTGGCTGTTTGTTGAGCGACCGTGTGCCCTGGTGTCATCTTTGTTTTCGAGGAGGTTTCTCGTTCGTACTGCCACTTGTTTTGCCGTAAATTTCTGCTGGGTTTTCGGCCTTTTCATTGGACGTTTGCTGCTTGTTGTGTTATGATTTAGTGGCAGTAGTTTGTAAGTTCTCCTCGGCGACGCGTTCCGAACGCCATACCAGAACCGAAGCCTTGTTGCGCAGCCGCCGCGTCTCCAGAGACGGTGACGGCGGGTGTGCATTGCAGGCCGCCGTGTGGCTGCGCTACGCCGAGTGCCTCCAGCAGCTGGGACGCTTCGAGGAGGCGACGTCGGTGTACCGGCGCGTCTGCCGCATGGCCCCGGGGCACGCCCAGGCACGCCTCGCCCTCTGCTCGCTCCTCCTGAGGCAGGGACGCACCGACGAAGCCATCGCCTGCCTCGAGCCAGGTGCGCATCTCTCTTTGTCTTTCTCCGCTTTACGTCGACGGCCATTACTGACTTCGTTCCCCCTCAAGATGATGACGCACAATGTGTCTCCGCCAAAAAATATTTTTGGGGTTTCTTTCATTGCAAAAGTGAATGACGCATCATCGACCGCTCGGCCTCTGCCCAAACGTAGCACTAGCTGTTCGAACCAGACGCCAACATTGTGGAACTAACCATTATCTTGTTCAAAAGTTGTAAGTGATTTTCTAAACGTTTCAACAGGAGAATGGTGCCCATTCTGAGTTACTGGTGTCATTCTGCTTTATGTATTCGAAAGCTTCGTCGGCTGTCGTTTTCCCATTGAAGACTTTAGAAAATCACATAACTTTTGAATGAGATAGTGGTTAGCTCTTTTACATTGGCTCTTGGTTCGGATTGCTAACACTACGGCTAGGTGGAGAACGAGCGTTCGGCAATGCTTAGTTTATTTTTGCGGTAAAAAAAATACCCCCTCAAATTATGTTGGGGGGACATCGTCGATATTGCCAAATGCTCGAAAAAGAAAGCCTACCGCAATTTTTTCAGGATCAATAACAGGTCCGCTGAGCGAGAAGCTAGTGTACCAACACAGAGCCACGACAACTGCTTCAATGCATTGCCTAATAAGCCGCACGTGTCAGTGGGACCTGCGCACATGAGTCTTGCACAGCTCCCGCTAGATGGGATCAGTCTAAGCGACGTCGCATCACCCCGCCCAAGTCTCGTGCGGCATCCGTCAAAGGGCTTCCGCACGTATAAAATGAATCAGCCCGTTGCTTTCCGAGCAGACGTTGGCGACGGCTCCTTCACCTAAGGTGCCGACCACGGCAGAAGTGGAGTGCATCATCACATCATCGTAAGGTCACCGCAGGTCTACTGCACGATGCACTAGGGTCCGAAAAGTTGCTGCAGCTATCGTTGTGTCTGTACTATAGATTCAGACATTACTGATCATTTCTACAATGATGGCCGTTGTTGGTAAGGTTTTGCGGTGTGTCCCAGGGTATGTTTTGTCTTTTTTATTTCGTATACCGTAAAATCCTTCATTTTCGCAACCCTTATTTTTCGCGAATCGGTCACAGAGGACATAAACGCGGCCACTAAATTTTGCGAATTCCATACGCCTGCATTGAAACTCTTAAAGACCGAAATTTTTGTGTGCCCTTAAATTTTTTGAAAATTGAGGGCTCACAAATATTAAGGGCTTTACGGTATGCTGAGTGTATGGCTCTGGCTTACTCAACTTGGCAGAGAAATTCTGGCGTCGCCTGACAGCTTAGTGTCACCTGAAGTGCTTCCCTGCTAGCGGGGGAATGCTTCACGTGACATCAGCTTTTAGAAGGAGATAAATTGTTATCAAACGTGCAACACGACTTTTGGTGCGGAGTATCGGCTGTTACTCAGCTACATGAGACGTGTGGCGGCTTCTCACTTGCAATCAGTAACAGTGGATAGATAGATGCAGTATTCTTAGACTCAAAACAAGCTAACTATCATTAGCTGATTTATATCATTTAACAGTAGCATCGCTCATTTAGTGGACATCTCGTTTTTTGGTTTTTTTTTCCAGGCTACAACAATGAAGATTCTGCCACCGCTAACAGTGATGTCACCGCAGTGGGCAACACTCCAGTGAGTCTCCCTCAGCATCTCGACTAAGACTTCGAAAGAGTACCTAATGCGGATGAAATGTGTGTTATGTATCGACTGGTGTCACCATCTGGAGGCGGGAGGCGAACCAGGAGAAGTTGCGCCTCGCCCCATAGAGTGTCTGCACTTTTAACAGCCTTCCCAAGCAGGATGGGTTTGTTGATCCAGGACATAACATATCTGTGGAGGTCCTCAGAAGTGCCGACTCACCGACTTGCTTGGGGGAGGAGGAAGGCTGGGTCATGGATTTTCCTGGTTTGCCTGCCTTCTGCCCCCAGATGCCGACACCAGTCAATGCATAACTACATGTCCAAGTCGTTTGTGTTGTCACCCGATTCTGAGGACTGGATATGTTGGTTGAAGGGCAACCGATATGTTTGTTGCAGCAAGAGGCGGCTGGGGTGCTTCTGCGTCGTGCACAGCTACTGCTAGAGGCCAAGCGTAATGATGCCTTTGTGGATGCTGCCATGTTGCTGCTTTGCAGTCACTGTCCTCAAGTGGAGACCGACAATGAGTATGCCGGTGGGTTTCCCTTCTGTTAGCCTTATTACACAAACAGAGTGAATGGCCCGCATTTGGGACAATAGGGGGCCACTCTAGGGGAAATGGGGGCAGTAGGGATTCAACTATAAAGATAACGGTGTGTCATTTAGGGAACAAGGGGGTGCTATATGAGGTCACCGTAGGGACACTAGGGGGTTGCTTTAGGGACAATGTGACATAACTTAGGGATAGCATGGAGTTGATGTAGGAATGATAGGAGGTCACTTGTGAAACAATAAAGGAAAGTATAGAGTCACTTTAGAGACATTACGAAGTCACTTTAGGGGCAATAAAGTCATTTTAGGAGCAATGGGGAACAATAGGGCTTAACTCTAGGGTCAATGTGGATTTACTTAGGGATAATAGGGAGCCACAGGAATTAAATTAATCTCCTCGCCTGCTTGGGAACAGGCATCTGGCACAAAAAAGTTGACCACAAAGGACAATTGTTCCGCTCACTTCCTACCCGTGGTCACCGTCGTCTTAGGAAGAGTGTGATGAGCAGGGCACCAAAACAGTGTCCAGGAGTCCAAATATCGTAGGTGGTCTAAGGAGACAGTGCTGGAGGGCGAGGATAAATGCATGCATGAAACAGTAAAAAGCTTTACTTGCTCAATAAATCACTGGTCCTGCTTGGAGTGTTTTGCTTTTGAGCATTATTATGAGACCGATGGCCCAGGAAGGCTGAGCGCACACAAATCTCTTGAAAAGAGAAGAGGAGGACTTTGAGCCATCTTCGTTGCACGCTTCTGGTGGGGTGACTCTGCGACTCTTGTCGGCAGCGTGGCTATAGACCTTTTCTGTGTACTCTCGTCCCCAGCCACCTAAAAGGCACATCCGGTATGGACGACTTAAAAATAATCCAACGTTTCAACCTGCAAATAGTAATAAAATAAAGGGGAGGCAAAACGAGAAAGTGTGACAGTTACGCTTATATGTTAAATGCCTTCTATTGGCGTGGCAAAGGCAAAACAACGTTTTCGCCCATACTGGAAGTGACGTCAATTCAAGATGGCGGCGCACTTGCAGAAAAGGTCTATATTGACTTTCAAGCGAGCTTTTTGGGCGGTTGTCTTTGGGCAACCCGAAAGGAAGGAAAGCAAGTTACTGCTTCTCTTCCTCCTCGTTTTGTTGCAGCGGTGTACTCCAACTTTTCGTATCGAGGCCGCATGGAGGTGTTGCGTGACCTGCTCCAGAAGAGAGGTGTCGTACCTAACAGTGAGTGCCCTTTCAGAGCCTGTTCTCTAATGTGCTGATGAGCACGAGTTATAGTGGCATGCTTTTGCTGGAACTGCAGGTATTTAGATTTTTTTTTTTTATTAAGAAAAGCCTTCAGAAAAACTGAAGCTTCCCCACACTTAGTATATTTAGGAATTTTCTCGAGATCTGTTATCTTTTCTTATTTACTAATGTTGCTCGGTTTGACATTTGAAAGATTAGATGTTGATGGGCAGCGGTTTTCTAAATTGCAGGATTGCAGTTTGACAAATTCGCACAGTTTGTCACGCAGTGTAACATTATACTATTGATAACGAATCTCAGTTTCTTATCAGTTGTCAGTTTTTAACCAATATTTAAAAATTGTTATTCGTGAAATGCACTAAAATGTCTTATCTGGATCAAAATTGTTTGAAACCATCCGAGTCCGTCAGACTTGAAATGGTAGTAACAAACTCGAGATTTCACCAGACTTCACTTGTGGTTATAAGTGTTGCAACTTGGTATAGGGAAAATAAATTGGATGGTTGAGCATCTTGGTGACTAGAATACGGAAACAAAAGACAATCTGTATTGTCTTCTATATCCGTCTTCCGTTTCTCTATTCGAGGAATCGCTAGGCGAGGAATTTCGCTTACTTTGGCTTGACGTTAGTTTTCATCGATATAGATTAGGTATTGCCTCGGTAATTCTTCTGGAGCCGCAGTTACCAGTGCTTTGTGCGCATAGGAGCAGACAGTGGACATTGATTGCCACTTTGAGATGTTTTCCTTCAGGTCTGAGCCGGGTCAGGGCTTCGCGGAGTGCATTCTTGCTCATTTGGGAGTGTAGGTGCGAAAAGCCAGTTTGTGAGTTGCTTGATTGACTATACCCCCTCGAGATGAGAGTTGAGTGGGAGCTACAAACTCGCTTAACCAATCGACCGTCCGCCTTTCATCACCCGACCTTGCTCCCTGTGAATGGGTGTGGGCGGGAGTGCGATCATATGCCAGAAGGTGGGTGAATGGTTGGGCTAGGGAGCTTGTACCTTACACTGCACTGTCGGCTTGGAGGGGAACGCAGTATAGAGGACGTCTTAAAAGACAGCTCCGGCGGTTTCCCGAGCAACCCGAGCTATGTACACGTTTCTGGAATAGGCAGGTTTGTAATTTTTCCGGCACGCTATTCATTTTCTCTAAATTCAAAATAGCTATCGAGAAAGCAGCAATTAAGGTGATGCCATAACCGACATTCAAATTTTTCTGCGTTCTCCAGTGGTGCGATATATCACGTTGTATCGCTTGCGAGTCAAGTGGGCAGCTCTAAGAAACACAATTTTTTTCGCATGTTTTTTGTTTTGTTCTTTCGTTTTGCATGTGTGAGTTTGACTAGCGTTTGTTTCATGCCGCCAGACTTCTTGTAAGTTGTCAGAAACATGCTGTACTGCTCTCATAGTGCCCTACGTTACGACGTCTGACGTCACGTTTTCAGTGCTGTCAGCAGACTTGCGATTTCGGTTCCTAGTTCAGATGTGTCTATTAATGTGTCGAACCAATTTCGAGGCAAATCAGTGACTGCCGAAATTTCGTCCCAGATTGGCTGACATCGGATAGCGGCATATGCATCGACGACCTTTGGACCTGTTTTCTCGACGTGAGCTTGTCCGACTTTCTCTCTGCATTCGCGCCATTACTGCATGTGCACAATATAAAGTGTCATTTTACTTCTGGACTTTCACGAAAGGCCTTTACGAAAGGGCAGCCTCAACTGTTCCTTCCTGCGAATGGGATAACTCCCTGGAGGGAAATGTGTTGCAGTTGTCTGCTTGCTTTTGTTTGAACGATTTACGTCGGTGTTTGTTGTCTTGGCAGCTTTTCCGTGTGCTGCGCGAATTGGGCCGCACGAAAGAGCTGCAGCAGGCCGTCACTCAAGCGCTGGTGTCGCCGCTGTTGAACAAGGAATTATCCAGAACGAAGGTCTGATACTTCAATGTTTATTTATCATTTATTTACTCACATACATCTCTATCGCCCAAGGTATGTTAAAGCAGAGCAGGTTACAAAACTAGATGAATCACTAAGCACTAACAGACAACAGCACGACGGAGGTGGAAATGGTTTTTTTAGAGCGCAGCTCTTAGGGGCCCGTTTCCAGCTTGAGCGGCGTCGGCGTCGCCGTCGCCGTCGCCGTCGGCGTAATTGCGCGGTGCATCATGGGAAATGTCCCATAATGCACCGCGCAAGCCCCCCACCAGGGTCACGTGACCTCGTAAGGGGCACGTGACCCCCCGAGGTCACGTGACCCCGGTGCATCATGGGAAATGTCCCATAATGCACCGCGCGAGCCCCCCACCGGGGTCACGTGACCCCCCGAAGTCACGTGACCCCCGCCGATGTCGCGTGACCCCCAATGACGTCATCGTCACTGATGACGTCACCGGCATCCACATCGTCATCGTCATCATCACTGATGATGTCATCATCACTGATGACGTCACCGGCATCCACATCGTATAGCGTTGCACATTCGAGTTGACTTGCAGTGCAGTTTACTTTGGAAACTATCCGAAATTTTTTAGTAGTACCGTCAGAAACCTCTGGGGAAGCGCAAGATTAATAGCAGCTGCATTGTTTTAATTACAGTTGAACCTCAATTTAACAAAACCCGATTTTACGAGTTTCTTGATTTAACGAACAAATTCGGATTCCCGGCGCAGCCTATCCCGAAGAATGTCTTTCTCGACTTAACGAAGTTCCCGATTTAACGAAATAATTAGGGGGTCCCGGTGACTTCGCTAAATCGAGGTTCAACTGTATGTACAGCATTTTTTTTTTTTTTTTGAGCTGATAAAAGCCACACTGTTTTTTTTTTTTGTCAGAAGATCTTTGAGGTGTTGCTCATGACCTCAGCTGCTCTGCAAGGTAATGCCTGAAATCCCATTCTTTTACTACTAATATTTGTACAGTTGTGGTTTCCCTTATTGCCAGTATATAGAAAAATAATGGACATCATTTCTAGGCACATGGTTGTTGCTCTCTGAGTGTGAAATTACTTTTTGCGGGGCTTCACAAAGGCATTTTTCTTCCAGGAGATGGAGTTCTTAAGCCTTGTGGCTCACTACAACGACCCCGACGTGGAAGAGCACACATACTCCCTGTCAAGGGCGCTGGTGCTTAAAGTGAGCCTGCCGTTTGGCCGTTTGTTTCTTTAGTCGAATTGTTTCTATGCCGAAGTGCGACTGTACGAATGCTCGTGTTGCTGCTCTCGATTTGTCCGGTTGTTTTAGGGGTGACAGGAACGACTTGTTACTTCTCCGATTCAGAATCCAAAGAACATCCGTGCCTGGAACTTGTTTGGGCTGGCGGTCAATGTGAGCCCCGTGATGCGGCACAACCGGTTCTGCCTCCGGCTACTTTACAAAGTAAGCCCTTTCCTTTTTTTCTTTTTTTTTCTTCTTTTGATTCATGAAACAGGTTTTATATAGATGGCTTTGGGGCCTGTCTTGTATAGGTGGCTGGGGGGTTGCACACTGAATCAACCAGATAGTAGAAGGGATGGTTTTGCTGTCGGTAGCTGCAAGCATTTCCTAAAACAATTGGGGCGGACTCTATAACAAACCCAAAACTAGGAAAAGTAAAATTAAAAAAAATAAAAAAAGGCTCAAGGTACATTTAAGCACTTATTATGAGTTGTGGATGCGAAAGCATGCACGTCATTCTTCCACTCCCTTATTTCGTTTGCGGCGTATTTGCGTCGACGGCAGAGCGAGCCCTCTCCTCGCCGCTCTGACCTTGGACGCTTGTGTGTTACCGCCGCGCTGACGGACACATAGCGCCATGGGGTGGCGGTCGTTGAAACTGACGCACATCGGCCAATAGGAGCCTTGTTCCTTGAAACTATGACGTGCGCCAGTCAATGAGGCCGAAGTCGAAATCCATCAGCTTTACACTGCTCCTTTGAGATTGGGAACTAGGTGCCGTTGTCTAGGCTTTTTGCGTAATTTCATAGCTGGGAGATGGCATCACTTGGAGAAAGGATTCAAGGTGCCGTTTGGCGCGGCTTCAAAGCTGATGACGTCGGTTCGCTCCACGGGACAGTTAACGCTTTCGCATTAAAAACAGACAATCACACACAAAGACTTTTAATGCAACTACAGGTTTATTTCGCGACATCACAAATGTATGTGCCGCCGACCCCCTCTGAAGGTCACCAACACCTCCTTGCAAATTGGTTAGCAAAGGAATGGACCTACAAATTGCCCTGCATGACCCCGAATCAAAACAACAACCAACAACAGAAGTGGGCTCTTGCTGAACTGACCTTTGCGGCAGCATTCAATGAACCCTATTAAATTGATCCTCAGAAAACTTCTCTATTCCCCCAGAAGAAGTCAGAAAAAAGACCGAGGTACACCTAAGCACTTCTTAGGAGTTGTGAATGCGAAAGCATGCAAGCCGCTAGTCCGCTCCCTTTTTCGTTCGCTGCATACTTTTTTTTCGCCAGTCAGCGCACGCCCTCTTCTTGCCGCTCTGACTTAGGACGCTCCGTGTGAATGGCGAGCTGATGGACACGCAGCACCATGGGGTGAGCGGTCTTGAAAACTGACGAGCGCAGCGGCCAATGGGAGCCCTGTCAACGCGCGCCAGCCAATGGAATGGAAGGCGAAATCGCAGAAACTAGGTGCCATTTTTAGCTTCAAACAGATGACATCAGCTTGCTCCATAAGACAGTTACTGCTTTCGCATTACAAAATTTTGTCGTAGATAGTTTCGTTGTAAATCAACTTGCCTTGTCGGCGCCTTCTTCGTCATTTTTTTTTTTTTTGGTGCCACGTGTGGTCTAAGTGCACAATATAATGGTCAATACAGTAAACTTTCGTTAATTCGACCTCGACGGGACCTTGAAATTTGGTCGAATTAGGTATCCGAATGATCGAATTAAAAAAAAACACAGAAAAAGGTTCAGATTAAACTTCCTTTTATTGTCCTGAGTACTCACGGATGGTCTGCTGCCGTCTGCGCTTAAAACGCGTGTCCAAAGGCATGCTGCGGAGAGCAGCGTAACTAACGTTACGTCCCCCAAAAATCGCGCACTACAAAAAAAAAAGTAAGTTTTACGAGTCGACTTTGGCGCCTGCCAGCCAGACCGTCGGCGACAAAGAAAAATTAAAAAAAAAAGGAAAAGAGAACTTGCGCTTTCCGATGCGCAAGATGGACTGCATAAGATGCTAAAGCACTTCGAGAGCGCAAGCTGAGAATGCTTTATGAGCCGACTTTGGCGCTAAACGGCCAGACTGTCGGCAACAAGAAAAAAACCAAAGAAAAAAATAGCAGCAAGAACAACAACAAAAAAAACAAAACAAAGAGAACTCGCGCTTTCCGACGCGCAAGATGGACCGCACACGATGCTAAAGAAAAGCGCTTTGCGAGCGCGCGCTGTTTCCACGCCCGACTACGTGCTATGTTCTCCGTGCTACTCCACCCCAGAATGGTTGCGCTGGCAATTGTCATTCGCGACGGTCTATTTCAACGGCGTAGAGGAACAGGCGCATATTTGCGCACGTTCGGCTTTGCAGCAAAGGGCCCGTGTTTCACCGTATGTTGGTGGTTTTTCTGCCGTGGTGCTGTGCAATGTGAGCCCGCGCGCACTCGCTCGGGTTGAATTATCCAATGCGGAGTCTTCCCGAGTTTGAACTATCAAACTTTTCCTCCCATAGAAATGTACGGATGCTCGCCGGGACTTTTGAACACGATCAAATTAAACAAAAATTTGAATTAATCGAGGTCGAACTAACGAAAGTTTACTGTATTTTTACCTGTAAATTGTGTGACTGTTGCTCTCACAGTACCCGGACAGCATACCTCTTGGGCTTCTGAACGGTCACAACGCCCTGGTGTCGGGAACATACAAGCATGCCATCGGTGAGAGTCTGTTCTTAGTTTGTGGTTTTCACCTTTCATAATAGGGAGTTTTAGAATAACGTATGCAATTTTAGCGCACGCAAGTGCTAAATTTAGCGCTTGTATTAGCTCACGCGACGCGAGAGAGCTTTAGAATAGCGTTTCTCCGTCGGTGCGACGCAAAAGCCCAACCATCTCGCGCTTGCGACGCCACCAAGATAGCCACAATTTTTATTTCACACACGAAATGCTGTAACTTGGGAAAAATAAGTTTTTTGGTCCAGAGTATTATTTTACATTTGTTTAAATGTGAGAATGCGACGCGAGCGGTTGACCGGTCGTGTCCGCTTGCGTCGCCTCGGCAAGAGAGGTCTCGTGTACTGACCTTCACACATCGTACCTTCGCCGAGAAATGTTCGCGCGTCACAAGCATCAAGCTGTCGGTGATCGTTGTCAAACCGAGTACAATGTCGTCCCCTATTGAAAATCGCAGTCGCGAGGATGCCGCCGATGTCGCACTCACGACGCCGCCAAAGCAGCCGCTGACATAATCCTGGAAGCCGCCATTTTTTTTAACTCTGCTCGTCTTGGCTTTAGCCAACTTCTCATCAAGAATCCTCCTTGGAGAAGCGCAAAGACTGTTTGCGTACGCACGCTATTTCTGAGAAATAGCGCACGCTAAAATTGCGCACGCAAAGCGCAAAACCTGGTTTGCGTTCGGAGCATGCGCAGTGGCGACGACGCTATTCTTTGCGTATGCAAAGCTTTAGCGTGCGCTATTCTAAAACTTCCTAATGTTTCGGAATAAAGCGGACACCTTGCGTCTACGGGCAATTCTGCAAAAGGCATAGAGATCATACATACTAACTCTAGAGGAAAAGGTCCGCCATTTTCCCATGCATTCTGGCTGCCGCAAGCGGCGGAGCATGCAGGCAGACCCTCGGGGTCCCACATGGTTACCAACTGCCTTCGATTTCACAAATATATGATCAGAGCAGTGTCATGAACTTCAACAATCCACGAACTTACCGGAGGAAAGATAGTTGCGTTCCTTTCGAAACTTCCTTTTTGCATAGCACCGGCTTCGGTTATCTGGTTTAGTTTCGTATTTCCGGGCGCGGGTGGCCCCCTCCACGCCCGGAAATACGAAACCGCGCAACTACTAGATTTTCGAGATTTCGACAGAAGGGAAGTTAATGCAGTGTAATGAGTATGCTGCTTTTTATAAACCTTAGAATAGCTCAGAATTTAGTTTGCAACGTTAAATTATTACTATTTATATTGCTGAGAGTTTTCGCGATTACCATTCTTCGCGATTACCATTGCGACTGTCGTCCTTCAGTTGGCAACATTGGTTTCTTTCTCTCGTGTTCTGTCGCTCTCTTTCGCAATCTTTCACTCGGGACCCAGGATGTCGGCGCGCGGGATTTGCCACTCCTCCTCACCCACCTTTACCCCCTGGCAAAAGGCTGGCTGACGCACTTGCGACTGCTCACCACAGTGTGCCTTGAAACCTCTTGGGATGTCTTACGACGGAAGAGAACACTGGTGCCATCTATCGGGCAGCGGTGGAACACTGCGTTTCGGTATACTCCCTATTTCTTTCGCGCATCATTCTTTCTTTTTTGGCTCGATAAACTTTTGACAATGTAACAAACAACCATTTTTCATGAATTGTAGTACATGTGATCTCGCAATGATCTCTCACTAGAGCAAAAACTTTTGCTCCAGTGATATGCAGTTCTATGGTCACCCCATAGATGGCACCAGCCTCCCAGTGCGTTCTCTTGTCGCGAGAGACCTCGAGAGCTCGGTTTTAAGGAAACGCAAGTGTGAAAACGTAGCCTAACCAAGCCCACGTAACGACGTTGGTCGGGCCGTCCTGCTGCGCAGGGGAGTACGTGCACCTGATGCAGGAGACGGAGCAGCAGATCCCACTGGTGGTCTTCTGCGTGGGCCTCTGCCTGACGCACATGGCCTGCCAGAAGTTCTCGGCCAAGCGGTACTCCCTGTACGTCCAGGCCGTCGCCTTCCTCGGCCGCTACGCCGAGCTCCGGGGACGCTGTCAGGAGACGTCCTTCAACGTCGCAAGGGCACTGCACCAACTGGGTGCGTGGTGCGCACGCGCGGCACGTGTAGTTGCGGGAAGCAAGGGGTCAATGTCGGCGGATGGCCGTCTGTGTTTGCGGAACCTCGAGCCAATACCGCCCAGAAGACCAGGCTCATGCCTTTGTCCCCCCCAACGTCGTCGGTAGTGGATCCACGCAGCTATGCATAGCCGGCGTCAGCATCGCCTCGAGCCCATATTGCAGCGTCTCGCTGCGAGTGCAACGCTAGCACGCGGAAATGCCACAGCGGACGTGTCTGCCGCTTTTGGCGGATCGGAGATCCACTAACGATAGCGTCGTGCGCAGGCCTTGCCTTTTAGCTGGTTTTGGCTGCCACGAACATGGGTGGCAAGAGCTGGCAAGGCAACTCCCAATAGCTTGTCCTAGCCACGAGTTGGGGTGGTCAACGCTGCTCAAATCTTGTTTTCTCTAACGTTTAAGATTGAATGCATATGTCTTAAACAGAATGCTTCTTTTGTGTTTATGCATTTAATGGGCTCGGCAGACATTAGACGAAGAAACATTCATCGCAATCCGTCGGTTAATCAACTAAAACTGCCCAATGAACTTTTGAAAGGGATATTACAACGAAATTTCAGTGTCTATTTTTTGGTCTGTATGTGTTCAAGGAAGCAGTATTACATCAGACACACCAGTCTCTCGTTGAAAACTACACGAAGAGAAGTTTTAAAATGAATTAAACGATTAGCAAATGGCACCTGGTGGATGTCGCTAATGCCTCCTTTGTAATCCTGTCTAGGAACCTTGACAGGTAGTGATGATGCCTGTCTCGCCTAGAGGCACCTGGTGGATGTCGCTAATGCCTCCTTTGTAATCCTGTCTAGGAACCTTGACAGGTAGTGATGATGCCTGTCTCGCCTAGAACTATACATGCCTTGAACCTGACGTCATCCTGTCAGCTCTTCGGCCTCCACGAAAGAAGAGGGAAGGGAAGAACTTCCCTCTCACCAAGACTCTCTTTTACATGCCCAAGATTTGCCCAGACGCTGCTATTATCCCTCTACAAGACTACAGAAAATTAACCCGTCGCTCAAAATTTCTACAAAAGCAGCTCTGCGTTTAGATATGGTGGCCCAATCGCTGGCGTGCTTTGGCTGTTTTGGTTGGCTGGAATGGCTAAGGCATCCCGTTGAAGTCAGCCTCTCCACAGTCTTGCTCGTCCCAAGACAGTTTATGTCACAATTGCGCCAGATGTCACATGCTCTCTGCTGGCTGCTCTCGGTGCGCTTGCCAGAGTGTGCCGTTTATAACGAAAGATACAGCCATCAGGCTCGAAATACAAACGTGTGATTCTCATTTACGGATATTGTGAATCATCGCCTATTTTTGATCACGACGGGTTTCTTTCAAATTTCGTTGAAGTATCCCTTTAAGTGTTGGTTTTATGAGTCACGCTCCAATTGCAGTTTTAAAGCCATTCGTTGATAATGGCTAGGATAATTCATAGGGCTGGGCAATTGATTGAGTAACCTACCGATTATTCCATTAACGCTTTATTTGCAATTAATTTTTTTAACAGGTTAATTGGTAAAATTTTGCAAGTAAAAATGCAATGCCTTCACCACACAGATCTTGATGAGTATACCTGTATGAAAAGAAAACTTTAGGTGAATTAGATCCTAAATTAAACTATAGGAACGAAATTTGTAACTGTTTTTCGCAGCAGAGACTATTGGGAACAATCAAGGGAGGTCGCTCTTGCCGGAGAATATCAATGACCCTCTTGCAGTTGAAGTAATAATCTCAGAGTGCGAGTGTCTTGGAACTGTTCTCAGCCGCACATTGAGGTTGATTCGAAATCAAATTATATATTGCACTGTTTGTCACATATTCAACAAAGGCACAAAAGAAATTGTTTTGCTGTTTTATATAATATGCATGGAAATGAATGAAACCAGTTAATCAATTAATTAATCGATTAAAGGGTGGCAATTAATCGGGTTAACAGTTTTAATCGACGCCCAGCCCTACTAATTCATACATATTGTGGAAAGGCAACAATCTTTGTGATATTTAGCGGTACGTTTTTTAACGTTTGTTGGCAGTTCAAAGGGTGTGTGCACGAAGTGCACACACTTTTATTAAGGTACGACAGTGACATACTCGTGCCGGTCACCTCTTCATTTCGGCAGCACGTTGTTGGCGGACGTGTCGACCGGACGCTGCCTAGATAACGACAAAGTGCAAGCCACTCTTCTCCGCATCATTTAGGACGCCCCACACTAAATAATCTGCCGCACTTCTACACCTGTACTTTTTGAACTGCTGACAAATGTGCAAAAACATGTGGATGGATATCTCAAAGACCATCGCCCTTTTGCAAATTGTATGAATTGGTGTAGCCATGATTAGTGATAGGCTTTAAAACTGCAATTGGAACTTGACCTATAGAACCAACACTGGAAAAGCTAATGAGGCAATTTTGGTTAATTAGCCAACGAATTGTGATGAATATTCTTTTTTAAAAATTCTGTTACTAGTAAAAAGAAACTCCTTATACACTACGAACCTCAGTCATTACGTCTAAATATTAATTATTTAGTGGATTCGACAAAACAATTTTCATTGTCTCCTTAAAATGGTTGGCATTTATTTGCTCGATTTACGGTAAGTTGTGCCGATTTATACTGCAGGACTGCTTCACCTGGCTGCGCACCACTACAAGCAGGCTCTCGAAATGCCTCCCCCAGTGACCGGAAATGATGCAAGTCTTTTCTTTCCCGTTTTCTTCCTTTCTTAAAAGGGCGGTGCAACGATTTTCAGACTTTGGCCAATTGACTGCAGAAATTAATGTGTCACCCACGGAACGAAGAACAGAAAACCGTATATTCTTGCGAGCGCTAGCTTTTACGTAAAAAAATGAAACAAATTGAAGGTCAAAGTGCTTCTCAACTCTCTCTGTCGCCTTTTGAGTGACGTACTCTGGTGAATCATATGGTTCCCCCTTGGGTTCTCTCTTCAAAGACCCCAGCTGCTTCGTCCGCAATTATCGACTTTTAAAGGATTAGCATCGTCGAAGGTCGCGGCGAGCGATCGACACAAAAGACGGTTTGCCACGGGGGTGACATCGAGTGTAGCAGCGGGAGGGGACAGGTTTTGTTCACTTCCGCGTACCCCCCAGAGTATGTCAATCATCCGTTCCGTTGCACCACAAGCGGCTGCAGATCGGCAAATTATTTTGTTTTCTTTTTTGTAATTACGCACCGCAAGAGCAATTTTTCGGGGCAAGGTGACGCGTTTTTGGTCACTTGTGCTTCAATAAACATAAAAAATACAAGCTGCCAATTCTTTCAGCACTAAAATAGTTGAACTACCGCTTTAAGGGGGGACACTACCCAAAAACGTAAATGTTTGAACCACTTGTCCGATTTAAATGACATCTACAAGGTTTGTTTGTGTTGATGTTGAGAACATTTCTGCCAACGTTTGTTAACCTGGGTGAAGTACAAAAAAATTGCAAATGTTCAAAGATGAGTGTGTGTGTGTCTGCATACGTAAACTATTGTTTTGAAATTACTTATAATTTTGTCGTTTTCATGTGTTAGTATATTGCTTTAGGACAGTTCAGACCAGATGGCTATGGAGCTATATTTCTGTATTATGCCTACTTTCATGACAAAAAAGCCACATAAACACAAATACTGTTTTCAGATTTCCATTCTTTGTCCAAAATTTTAGTTCTTGAGCATGAAAAATGACAAAAATAAAAAATACAAGCTCACAGCTATCTTCCACTTCAAATTTCACCCTGGGAAAACTCGTAAAAATGGATCCAAGTTACGTAATAACAGAGCGATAGTTTTCCTAATGTGAAATTTATGGCAAAAAGGGGAATGGAAAAAAATGTGTTCAAAGTGTTCCAACCTCTACCTTTTCTTTAGCATCGGTGGGCCGAAAATAATTTATAAAACATTAACTACATGCACTGCCTCCAGCACGCGCTTCGTGTCTACTGCTGGCGTGCTCGCTCGAGGAGCACGATATGCCGAAACGTTATCGAAGGTCACCAGAGGTCGGAAGACTGAAAATCCTCCCTGCCAGTCTCTGTTAGTAACTATACTATGTTTATTTATATTTCTGTCAGTAACTATAGTAGTATGTTTATGGCCATTCTTAAATTTTTTTTTTGCATTCCGTTTAGTTACGTCTTATCGGTGACAATATAAAAGTGTGCTTACGCAAATGGTCGGCTCTGGAGGACGATTGGGAGGCGACAGTTTTGCAATTGTCGTTTGGATTTCCGGGGTCATTGCAGACCCCTTGCAGACTTGCCCTCTGTCAAAACATCAATACGAAACTTTTTTTCCTTTCTTTCTAGGAGGTGTTTGACCTGCGCAGAGAGGTGGCCTTCAACTTGAGTCAGTTGTACATGTCTAGTGGCAACACACGACTCGCAAGCTACTACATCTCGAAGTACTGCATTATCTGAAGCTAAGAATCTTGCCACAAAAAAAGGTCATAGACTTTGACTCGCAATTGCAAGACATCAAAACAAAAGGACATTCGTTTTCACTTTTGCCGGCCAGGTGTGGTGAGGTACACTAACTCTTGTTGGTGCCGTGTTGTAAATATCTCGCGTAAAAAAAAGAATTAAAAATTATACAAGCTTGATTATGCTGACCAAGTGTGGTAAGCCCAAGATGTGTGATAAGCCTTCCAGGGAAGAAGAGAAGGGCATCTGCACAGCACCGCCTACCAAAGATTCACTTTCATTTCGCACAGATGCCATGAGGTGCCGCAGCACAATAGGAAGGAGTGCGAAGCGTGCAAGGAGCGTCTGTATTTCTTTCTCTCTCTCTCTTGCACTCTTCCTCCGTGGGAGCCCAGAGTGCGCTCGTGTCACGAAGCGGGGCGCCAGTGTATGTCTGAGCATGTGGTGTTTTTCCCCCACCGAGAGCAACACAGATGCACTCCAGAAGGATGTTGGCCTGGCACTGGTGTCCAACCAGTGGGGAGACGAACACTCAGCGTTTAGCTGGCAGTCGCCATATCGACTTCTGTCCCTCTATGGTCGCCGAAAATGGTTAGCTGCCAGCCATACAACGCATTCTGTGTTAAGATATTCTATCAAGACTTCTAAGCTCGGGAGAGCAAAAGATGATAGTGTACGAAAGCGCTTTGGATACTGGTCACCCATGGTGTAATCAATGCCCACAGCGCCAAGCAGACTACAAGCAGGACGAGCTCTCGCGACACCACAGTTTCCTCACATTTGTGAACAGGATCTACTCATTAAGTTTTTTTACAGCAGAGCTTTTAAGGGCTAGTTTCCCCAGGATCATGTCCCCCGCAAAGAAATGTCGACATAAAACTCTTGTTGCTGCCGTCGCTCATAGATGGCAGTAGCTGTCCAGAGTGTTGCGTTTGCCGGTTGTCTGCTTGCCGCCGTCGCTCATAGATGGCGCAACCTTTCGAGCCTTTCCACTCTGGCTTGCCGACTTGCGGCCGGCCATTACTTCATTCCCACCATAGTACAGCTTCGCTGGTCTTCCTTCTTTACCAAAGTGGAAAGGCTAAAACTTTTTTTATTTGTGTAAATATTGTAAATAATAAGGGCCAAACCTCAGTCACTACAATCAAGCAGCATCAAAGATGCCAATCAATGGGCTTTTTCTGTTTTATGATTACTTCTGCAATGATAGAACACATACAGAAATGTGACAAACACCATGATGATGCGCTTTTGATGCTGTTTGATTGGTCCCGTCAGCTCGTAGTGTCGGCTGCGTCTGGACTTGCAGTGAGACAAAGTATAATTCTCGAACTTAGGGCCACTAAGTTGACCAGCCAAGCATAGATTCTCTTCGAAACAAGGTGCTCGCCAACATTAATTTCTCCAACGCACGCAACCATTTGTCACTTTTGCGAATTCCTCGAACACCGAGACTCAATGCAGAAAATTTCCGAGGGTAACCGTAGTGGTGTCGATTCTCGGCTACATTATCCTTTGAACAAGGCAGGAAGAAAGGAGGGCCGAGCTTTTACTTCTGTAGGACAACTGACACGACAAAATACAGAAAAGAAATGCATGCAAACTGATCAACCTGGCTGACTGGGAAAGAACAAGGAACCTTTTGGTTTTTAAAGCAGTGCTACTGTCCACCCGTTTCAACAAAAGCTCGTGACCACAGAAATGAGGTGACCGGGCCGTGCAGTTTCGAAATGAAGGCAGAACGGGACATTCTGCATCGTATGTCGGACGATGCTATGCAGCAGTTGACACTCGAAACTAAATCCTTGGGAGGGAATGGAGGTGTCGCGAAAGGAAAATGAAAGACGTTTACAATTCTCTGTAATGCAAAATTAGAGCACAGCTCTTGAGGAGGAGGGGGGGATGTACTCCATACCCTCCCCTTTTCCTCTGTATCCTCCACTGCTCCTCCATACCCAGGAGGGGGAAGGGTACACAGGAGGGGAGGATCTGCACCCCCCTCCCCTCCACCTCTTTCGTGTCCTCCTCCTCCTGCGTACCGTCCCCTCCTCTTCCGGTTGTGCCGATGGCGACGCGTGCAAAACGGGAACGAGCCCCTAAAAGTAGTTTCCCCGTTAGATTTAGAGGGAAAATTGATGTCGCATGACCTCAACACCAATTCAATTCCCCGCTAAATTTAGCGGGGAAACTGAATTGGTGTTGAGGTCATGTGACATCAGTTTTGCCACAAAATTTAGCGGGGAAACTACCGTAATATACCGGGCAAGCGCCTACTCAAAATTTAGAAATAATCGCGAGAGGATGGCGGATGGCCGCTTGTTCGGTCATCAATTTTACATATGAATATACTGCCCGTATTTCCTCAGATTTTACAAATTTGGGAATGGGTGCTTGATGTGGGCTGGGGGATGCGCGGTATTCTACAGCAAATGCACAGCATTGCATTATGGGACATCACAGACCTACACACCAATTCAGTTTCGTCGCTAAATTTACTGGGGGAAGTAAATTGGTGTATACGCTTGGGACCTCCCATAATGAAACGTGCGCAATTACATCGACGCTATATGCGGAAACGGGCACCTATGAGCTGTACTCTAAAAACAAAGAGGACGAGGGACTGCTCTCTAATAAAATGTTTGCTTGCAGTACACTTCGCTTCGTCCTGTGTACTCTGGCTGCTTTTGTATCCGCCCTCAAAGTAGTAATACTTTGTTTATTCTTTAATTACAAAGTGCAACGTAAGAGACATGTTCTGTAGTTCTGAACATCGGAAAAGCATGAAGAGAAAATCCCCTTCCTTGGATTCGCTTCTGTTTGAAACGGACCGTCAGACAGCATGCGACCTCTCTGAAGAAAGCCGGTGCCACGTGAAGTTGAGCTTAGGTGGCAACCTAAATCTACATGGCTTATCGACACAAATTTTCACGAAATGCCAACTCCAGTGTTTAGTCATCCAGGTGTTTGTACAGCATTTCACAAGTTGAATGGCTTTCGAGTAGTCTTTAGGAAAAGCTACTTTTATACGAGTAGAAAGGTCCGCACTCCTGCTTGTTTTCACGGGGTGTGGGCTGCATTCGTTTTTCGTGATTGTGGTTCACTGTTCTGCTTCACAGTCCATTCAGCATCTACGAATTTGAACTTGATATAACAAATTGTCTACTTCAGCCATGGGCACCATGTGCGTCAGTCGTGGCACCGTCCAACAGTCGTCGACGAAACCATTCCCTCTGCACCCTGTCAACTCCGTGGCGAACCGTCTAGTCTTGGTTGCTCGCCGCTACCTTGACCGATGCAGCAGCCCGTCTGAACCTTGAAAAATCCACAGTTGTAGAAGTCATTGAGGACGAAAGCCAGAGGGAAATCTCATACCCCCACCCCCACGATTTTGCTCGAAAGATGGAGCAAGAGTTGGGGGGCATCCTAGACTTTGTTTTATTTTTTTTTTCAATAAAAGCTAGCGCATACAGAGAAAAGAAGTGATTTCCATTTCATTCTATAGGTGGCACAGACTAATTCCCACAATCAATTGGCCAAATTCTAAAAATTCTTACACCGCCCCTTGCCTAGTGATAACCAGTGTCACTCGTGCCAACCATTACGGACCGTAAAGCCCGACCAAGAGAGTGACTCGCGTTTCAGTTTTGGCGCTGGTATAGCATGCTCTCCGACAGATGGCAAAACCACCCCTGTTGCTCCATTTACCTTGGGTAGTTTCCTCGTATGTTTTGCTGTTTGACAGAAAGAAAACACTGCATTTAGCCAAAAAGGAAAAAGCAGTCTCTTGCGAGCGTTCATGATAAGCAACATGGCTTTGGCACGGAGGTTAGCTGACAAAAAGATACAAAACCTTTTTTTTTTTAAAGCGATTATTGCTCGGGCACATGCGACGACGAATCCTTTGGCCTTTCCGATTTTTAGGAATCGGGTCGATAGTTGGATGGGCAGGAACAGGAGTGATGAAAACAATGTGAATCCGCAGGCGTTCTATCAACTTTGGCGTCTGGACGTCGGTGGAACTCCGACCAGAAGTACTGATTTGGAGCTGGATGTGACACCTGGAAAATCGAGGAAATGTTTTTGTTCTATTTTAATGCAAATTGCCTGTTTAAAAAAAATTTGCTGCACGTTCCTTGAAGAAAAAGAAATGAGTAGGAAAGGGGTTAAAATTATGATTCTCAAAAAACGATCACCAAAAAAAAAATTTTTTTGCAATCCGTTTTTTTATTCAAATGCTCTAGCACGGTTTGGAAAAACAGATCTAACCTCAAACTGTTCACGACAAGACAAAGCTCGGTTACAAACATTCAACAAATAAACTGCGCACAAACGCAGAAGGACATTAAAAATGATGATCACTGACAGTTTGGCAAAACTACCTGAACAAGGAATTTACCACCCTCCATGAATGTCGAGTGAACTTGCAAGAACAGATTTGCAGGCCCAACCATGCAGCTTGCACAGAGTCACTGTCACAAATGCTGGCCAAACTTTTCAGATGACAGCTAAAAATAAAGAATGAATTTGAAAGCTGTAAAGTCGCACAGTGCTCCCCTCGCACCATAAAAACAGTAAGTGTCGCTCGAGGGCTCTGTAGCGCGGATCAGTCCTGCAAGCTTCCGGAAGAGCTGGGGTCAGCCAGGAATCCCAAAGGCACTGCGATGATGTCGGTGACCTTGAGGTACTGTCGAATGCAAAGCCAGTTGTCGAAGCCAATCTGGTCCAGCTGCACTCTGTTACTCTCGCCACAAATCACGGCGGCTCTGACGACGCCTGCTTCCACCAGGAAGTGTTCATCGAGGTAGCGGGAGCTGCTCGCAATCCTCCCCTTGATCTCGTCCTCTGGTTCGGCGCCTGCTTTCTTCAGCGTTTCCACGAGGGTGGAGCCCTTGGACACCCGTTCGAACGCTTCGGCATAGCGCCTGCCTCGCGACCCGGTCACAAACTGCACTGCGCGATGCAGAGTGGACAGGTTCCGTCGCAGAAGCTCCTGGACCCCAAACTGGAAGGTCGGCGTGCTCAGCATGTTGAGCTTCTTCAGGACCTGCCCACGGAGGCCGTATTGGTACATGTCCCGACTCTGCTGCGTGGGGTTCCGTTGAATGGCTGCCCTAAGAATGTAGTGATTCTGCAGCAGACCGTCTGGCACGCGGTCGAGCACCCGGCTCTGCGGAAGATCCAGGAGGTCTAGGGTCAATGTCTTCAAGGTCCTGCTGCTCCTCAGCATGCGCCAAAGCAGGTCAGCCTCCGGTGCTTCGACAGTCCAGAAGCTGACGCTCAGATCTGTGAGGCTCGTGTTGCTCGCCAGTCCCTCTACGAGAATCCGCGATGACGATGCAGTGGCGAGGAACTCGAACGTGGCACACCTTAAGCTGCTTGTGGTCGACAAAAGGAGTGCGAGGGAAGTCGCGGACTCCATTTCGATCGGGTACTGCAACCCGATGCGAAGCTCTCGGAGGCAATGGTGATGAAGCAGGTGACAAAATGCACTGGGCGGCGTTAAACAAGCTGCGCTCCTGTTGGAGTAAGCCACTTTGGTCAGGCTCGTGGAGTTTCTCAGACCGTTCTCGAAATCTTGAGGGTTGCCCACATCTGCGTCAATCGTCAACCTTCCTTCGGTTCCCGTCTCTCGCATGAGTAGGACGATGTCGTTAAAGTGGTCGTACATACTTTCCTTGAAAGTAACAAGTTGAAGCGACTTGTTGAGAGCCAGTGCTTGCAGGAACACTCTGTAGTCGGGGACGTCCATGCCGAGCAGACCGAGAGTCAACTTCTGCATCGTGGTGTTCTTGGGAATAGCCTCTGCGAATTCGGGGATGCAGTAAACGGTGCCGCCTGAAAACACCAGTTCGCGGAGGCCCGTGTTGCGGCCCACCAGGGCGGCCAGGGCAGTTCCATCGATTTCCCATTCCCTGTAGCTATCGTAGAACCCAACTTCCAAATACCGTAGGCCCGTGTGCTGCGCAGCCACCTCCACAAGCAACCGCTCTGCTTCTTCATACAGCATAAACCCATCAAGACATACTTCTTCGAGGTTGTTGTTCTTCCCCAGTGCTGTGAAGAGTTTGAGTTCCTGGCCATAGTACCCAGGAGAATGGCGCAAGGTCAGCTTCGTCAAAGAGCCGCTCTCCGCAACAAACTCTGCAAAGCTCTCATCGGATGCAGGCTCTAGGACAAAATTGTCAGAGGAGAGTACCGCAAGTTTCGGGCAACCTTTCAAAGCTTTGACAAACTTCGTGACACAACTGAGATGAACTGCATTATCGACATCCATTTCAAGGGAAGGTAGTCTGAGGATCTTGAGCATCGAAATCCTCTGGAGGGCATTTCCCAGGCAGCCCAGAGCACTTGGCGGCAAGTAAACGAGTTTCATGTCCAGCTCTTCCAGTTGCGCAAGCGTGCCGATGGCGGAGATGACGTCCTTGAATGCTCGTTTGGCCTGCCAGTTACGCAATGTCAGCTTCCTGAGCCCAGAGTTGAGGTGCAATGCGTCGGACAAGAGTCCCTGAAACTTGGAGTGTATCAACCAGGGGAGGACCAAGGTTTTGACGCAGCAGTGCTCCCAAAGTAGCCAGTGTAGCAGGGACCACCCTTTGACGCACGGACCCTGGTCGGCACCTATCGGGTAGTGCGCCTTCAGGGGAAAGAAGCCGAATTCTCCGGGCTCGTCTTCCTTCAGCTCCATGTCGAGCAAGTGCAGATATTCATTGCAGACACTGAGATGGTCTGCGATGTGGCAGAGTTTGGTGCCATTTGCAGTGCAAGGAGCGAAAAACTCTGAGTTCGTCCTATCGTCGACGGTGTCGAGGAACGACAAGATGCCCTCGGCAGTTGAGGCACCAGGACATAGCTGGTGGACGCGCGCAGCATACCGGTGGAGCTTTTCACCGTCTTTGGTGGCCGTGCTATGGGGGGACAAAGAAAGAATTGCCAACATCAAAATCTAGCGCCGTTTTTCATGGGCGGCAGGGAACACGGAGTTCTGATTTAGCTTCGGGTAACTGCTTGGACCACTATAATTTGCAATATAAAATAAATTTAAAAAATAAAGAACTATTGCAGCAAGACGGCTACCTAGTGCAATTTTTTTTCTTTCAGTGGTGCTACGAGACGTGTGACCACACGTCCTGTGAGTGGTATTGTGCAAGAGTTAAGTCAATTAAAGCTTAGACATCTTTGCACAGGTCCATATCACATGAGCGAATTACATTTTAGCAAACAGCGATGTTTTAGCAAAGAGTAAAGCTATACTCACTACATCATGCATTTTGACCAGAAATGGCTATACACACGACGCTGAACTCGTACAAAACGAATAATTACAACGAGTTTCTGAAGTGGTGGCCGCATAGTGGCAAGGTGTCTGCTTCATATGCAGCGGATGGCACATTATGGCCACCGCTGCTGCTGCGCCATTAAAATCTATCTTAATCTTACTTACTTACTCATACGCAGCGGACCCATGTTCGGTCCCCAGTGTAAGCATACTTTTTTTTTTAATGCGAAAGCATTAACTGGTCCCATGAAGCGAGCTGACGTCATTAGCTTGAACGCGAAAACGGCGCCTAGTTTCTCCAATCCTTCAGTTCCATAGGCTGGCGCGCGTCGACTAGGCTCCCATTGGCCACTGCGCGCGTCAGTTTCCACGACCGCTAGCCTCATGGCGCGCCGTTAACATGGAGAGTCCAAGCTCAGCGCGCCCAGGGGAGAATGCGCGCTGACCGGCAACGAAAAGTATGCAGCAGACGACCAAGGGAGCGGACAAGCGGCTTGCATGCTTTCGCTGCTTATAAGTGTACCTTGAGCTTTTCTTTTTTTTTTTCTGAAGTTCTTTTTTTTTTAGCATTTGGCGATGTTTACATTTTTTTTTTTTTTTCAATAACAATGACAACAAAGAAAAAAGAAAGGTGTCTAAGAAACTTTGCTGAACTAAATGGTATGGGACTCCTTTTCCGGGGGTGCAACGGGGACAGCGGGGCTTGGATTGCCGGCTGGACGCCGCGAAGCGGCGTGTATGGGTTAAGTTTTGGAATTAGCAACCGCACACTGCCGCCACGAAGCGGCGTCAATGCAGGCGGCGGGGTGGGTTAACGCTGTTGAAGGGGTACAGGAACAAAAATTGAAATATTCAGATTTCGTTCGGAAATGAGTTAAGCATAATAGCCGTAAATGATAATCGCACGTTTGTATTTTGAACGACTAGCTATATTTTTCGTTCCAAACGGTGCACTCGACCAAGCGCTCGAAGAGAAGCGAACGGAGGGCGCGATGTGTCATGAGATATCCAGCGCAAACAAAAACAAAGAAAAGATCCCCCGCATTTGTGACGAAGCAAGGCAGGCACGGTTATGAGCTTTGCCCTTGGTGGCGTTGTCAGCGTTGTGGTGGTGTCAATAGCGTCAGCACGTTACAACCGAGCCGTTCGAAGTACCCGTGGGGTGACGAGCGTGTGGCTGGCCCAAGGAGCACGTAGCTTCCACAGCACTGTCAGCTTAGGGCTGAACGGGGTGGGGAAAGCAACTTTTGTTTGAGTTTTGAGCGACGGGCTAATCTTCTAGGGGGACAATGGCTGTGTCCGGTTGCACAAGGAGTCCTTCCTTTCCGTCTTCGCCAAACGGTACAATGCGCGACTTGTGAGTTGAGGAGGAAAGCTAAGAGGGAAAATGGTGAAATGCCAAAGAGCGGCACTGCTCCGAAGGAATCTGCTACGTCAAGACTACGTAGCAGATTCCACAACATTGCAAGACTACCTCCCAAATAGGCTCTGCATGCATCCACCAGGTGCACATTGCAAGATTGTTTATTTAGTTTGAAAATTATTTTTCTTGTGCCTTTCAACCGAAGACTGGTTTTTTTGAGGTTAGGGTGCAACATGCAACACATTCAAGCTAGAAAATGAGCATTGGAATTTCGTTTCCCTACCAGTTAGGCGCGTGTATAGCTCACCAGTTATACACGCGCCTAAAAAGGGTACCCCAAACGCCATGAGGTCTCCGCGTAGTGCGCATTACCATTTCCAGTCGAGGTGTACGACGTAGTGCGTATAGCTTTACTCTTTAGCAAATAACGGGGGCGCGTGTTAACCCCCCCCCCCCCCTTTCCCCTTCCCCCGCGCTGCGCTTACCGGCGGCAGTCTGCGGTCGCTCATTAGAAAAATGTTAGCCCACTTGGCCAAAAGCACTGGATAATAATATACTTGGCCCACCCGTAAACGCCGCTTCGCGGCAGCCGACTATTCGCTGAAGTGTCATTCGCTGAAACCTCGGCGTTCGCAAAAAACATTATTCGATCAAGTGAGTGCTTCCCGCTTCGCACTTTGTAACAAGCAAAGCTCTCGAAGCCGTGTGGCAAGAACTTGACACAAAGCTGCAGGTGCAAAGTGCAACTTGCGTTATTTGTTCGAACGGACGTTTTCTCGGCCGAGGAGGCATTCTTGACAAAAACAAAAGTTTAGCAACAAGCACCCAGAGTGCCCAGAGTTGGACCAGTTGGACTTTGGATTGGATTGCAACATCTCTTGGACAAGCCAATCAGCGAAGGCTCCGGAGAAAGCAGAGCTGGATGACGGCTTTGAAATGGGGTACGTGATTTCTACTGCAACTCGAGATTCGGAGCTGTCACGCAACCGACGTGCGATTCGCGACCAATGCGACTGAGACCTTGGTCCACAGTGCCTTGGTCGACCATCGAAGCGTCCGATTAGCGAGTTGTCGTGGCAGCCGAGATGCTTCTCAAAATTTCCCGCCACCGCATGGGTACGTGTTTCGCTGCTTTCCCCTTTTACTTGTCGCACAGCACAGCTTCACAGTTGCGATCACCGTAAGAAAAAGACGTGATATTGGCCTGGGTCCGTCCAAGGAGGATATAAATACTAGGAGGGGGCACGTCAGGCACGTTGCAATATATGTGAAGCCTAGTCATAAAAAGTGTAAACGATATTGTGCCAACGTGACCGCAGATCTCCCTGGCGATTGGTGCGCGTGACATGTCACGTGCGAGATGGATGGTTGATTGTAGAAGGATTCCTTGCAGGCTTGCGCGCGCTCCGGCCGGTAGGTTCTATTTATCGAGTTATTGCAATAAACGCTAGAGGCTCAGCTGGCGCTAGTGCCTACGGGACTTCCGGTTGCAAATTGAAGCAGACAGCAACCAGTCTACTTTTCCAGTCTTCCTGTGTATTCCTGTGGAAAAAAAGTATGTGATATTTTTCTCTTTGCCATGCATCGGTCCTGTCCGTTTTGATTTGGCATATATTAGCATCCTTTTAATGTTTTCTCAAGCTGATTCACTCTGTGTGCTTCATAGCGTTGACTATATGCGCAAATACGTGCCCTATAATATCAGTCTGCAACGTCAACATATATTATACAGGTGTATTAGGCTATTTTAGCGCAGCGTTCGACGCCATGAATTCTAAAGAAAAACGCTCTGACTGACACATAGTTTTGTACATCCGATTGTATAACGTTCTAAACTTTTTATTCCGTCGTAACACTACGCAATATTTACACCTATAATCGAGCGCGACGTGAAAACGCACTTGCGTTTTCTCATAGGAACGTATTACTGGAAGTCAAATTTAGACTGCTTGCTGTCTGCTTCAAAATGCAGCAGCACACTTGAGTCATCTGAACCCTCTAGTGTTTATTGTTATAACTCTATGGTTTTATCAGATCGAAGGCTAGGCATGAAGCAAGCAAGCAAGCGGCTGAGATCATATTGCAATTAAATGCAAAGGTGCAAGCGGGGTTGAGGCAGATCACGAGCAGACGACGTACTGCTGCTGGTACACGGGACGATCAGGGCAATTGCCGCAACGGAGAAAACAAAAGCCTGGCGTCGCCGGGACTACGGTGGCCGGAAAGCTAATTTTCTCCGGCTATGGGACGGGTGCTTGCAGCGTGGTCGGCTGTTGCAATCGGACTGGCTTTTCTTTAGCGGGGGTTACCTTTCACCGGTAAGCCCTTGGCGTATTACACACACATAGTTTTACGATAACAGGAATCGGTCAACAATTCTCTTAGATGTACGACGGTCGCCAAACTGCGGAAATTATGCATTTGGGCCGTTGGTCGCGGCGGTGGCTGGACCCCATCGAAGTGGAGCGTGGTGTGCTCCGTGCACTTCCAATTGTCAATAAAACATCTCCCAACCTCGAGTCAAGTTGAGCTGGTTCAATTTATCACGACAGCAATAAAACGTCCCAGTGGACGACCTGCATAGCGACCACAACGAAAAGAAAAAGCCAGTAGCGTGATGTAACATATGAGAGTGATGAGAACGCAGCTATCATTTGCAGGCAAGCGCGGAAATCATTGACGTAAAAATGCGCATTGGTACAATCTGTCGAGTTGACATAGTTACGCAATTTTGTGTGTATATAATTTATTCTTGCTTTGGCTACTGCAGTAATTAGAGGCCAGAAGATAAAGGGAATACTCCCCGCAGATGCACGGTACATTACCCAAAACACGCTGACAGACTTTGTTACAGCGCTGACGTTCCACGTTGAATACTATCGGTTTCGGGATGGTAACGGTCTGTAGAAAACAGAAGGCATAACGAAGTGCAGCAGGCGTAGAATCGGTCGGCTGGGCGCGGGCCACAGTTTCTGGCTGTGATGACTGATAAATGAAACCCATGAGCACCACGCTCCCTGCCACTGTGCTGCTACCCGCAACTGTCAACAACCACGCGACGGTCAAGTGCTGGGCCGAGAAGTGAGGAGGGTAAGGAGGAAAATGAGAAAGAGGCGAGGCGTCAAGGGAGCGTGGCTTGGGGAGGCTCATCAAGCCCCCCCCTCCCCTTCTAACCTCCTCGGGTCCTTCGGAACCGTAAAGCACAATAGGTAAATGGAGGTGCACTCACTCAAATTTTCGTCTATACGTAATGATGATAATATTTATTTGCACTCGCAGATGCCAGTGAGAGCAGAAAAACGGAGGATCCATGCCAGAAACCCGCAGCACCAGAAAAAGAAAAGGAGAGAGAAAAATTGAGAGCCCTTCCACTCTGTGAAGAGGGGAAGTCCAGCGAAGCTGGCATTCTGGTAGAGACAATGACGTTTTATTATTTGCAACTTCAGCCCGCCGCTGGCCCTCTCGCGGACGAGCGGAGAACCAGAGGAGCGGGGATGGCAGCGGCGGCGGCGCAGAAACGGTGGCAGGGACTGTCGTCCTCGATGCGTGAAGCCGTTTTAACGAAAAAAGTGAGCGCGTTAACATCGCAATTCTTGTGCTCCGCCTTGCAACAGTGTTGCACAGAGGACCGGGATGTCAAATTTCATTAGAAACTTTTCGCACATCGCACACGCAGCGGATTTCTGGTCTTGTGCATGGCTGCCAGCTTAATCTGTGCTCAACGTGACGGCAAATGCTCCCGCTAGTAATGTAGAGCTCTAGCGTACAGTCTACGAAAAGTCTACTATTTGCCCTAAGTAGGAGAAATCTGGACGCACAACGGTATGTCGAGCAATACACATCGGGAATCGGTTTGCGTTTTAAGTCCGTTACAAGGAACATGACCATTTATTCCAAGCATTTTTAAAAGACAGAATACGCATACTTGTGTTCAGGTAATTACAAAGCAAATAAATAAATGTTTGAAGCATTTTAAGCGCATCTGAGTTAGTTAGCCGTTCGTGACGAGAGCTGAGATTGGGCAGTTTTGGCGAGAAGGGCCGCAATGTTACAACTAACATGGTACAAAAAATGTATGGTGTATTCAAATATTTATTTTTCATAGAGCAACAAATAAAACCCCTAAACACGCCGCTTATGTTAATAGGTAGTTTCAGCATGGCATTACCGCAGGCTACCTTTGGCTACTGTGAGCACTGCAACGCTCCTGACGCGTGCTGAAAATTGTGCTTCCAAGGCACAGCGCGAGCTTCCGGTTGCAATGTTACACCGCACGGTAGCCCGCGGTATCAAACTTCCTACCGATAACCATAGAGCAGTTTGATCACATGCTGCAATACACTATAACCAAGACGGTGAGCAGCGAGTTGCGAGCCTGTGACACGAAGACAGCAATACTGTGAACGCTGCTATTCTGAAGCTTAATGGTCACGAGGCGCAGCTCACTTCTTAGAGCTCTAATGGCCAGGCAAAGCGCAAACATGATATCTTCATCGCGCTCAAAAATATTTTGCCACAAACAGTGATGTGGCTGGTGCCTAAAACGGGCTTGCATACCACAAAGCTTCGCAAGTTGAGGTTTCTGCAACTTTTAAATATCAGCATGCTCGTTTTCCTACCGCGCATGAACATCCCCGTCCACTGTAATATGATCCTGGCCTAACCGCTTCTCATTTTTGTAGACAAATAAATCATTTTTAGCGCACTGACCAGCGTCAGCGAACAGGCGCACGTGAAATCCTAAAGAATCTATACCCGTCTCTTCCGCCATCTTGGAGCTACCGCTGCACCACCTATTGGGTGTTGCGGTTGCGAATAGCACTGTGACGCCGACCACGGCGCAGGGTCTAGTGCGCCGCACAGGTGGCCGCCAAAGAGCGCGTGGCGAGGAGTATACACGACTTGGGAAAGAGGCGGCGGCGGTAGATAGGAATATAAGGTGGGGCATACATCGTTGCATTTGAAAATTGTTGGTCTACGCTCGGTCTGTCGTCGGAGACGATCCGCCAGAACCTGGCCATAGACAGCTTCGCTCTATAAGAGAAAGAGGACAGAGAAATCCCAAATGGATTGTCGCCAACACCGCCAAAACCCAAACCCAGTCAGAGGCGCAGACGCCCCATGCCACCCCACGGTCAGTGGCCACATATGGCGCTCTGCAGCGCCCGACAATCTGCAGCTCCTGCCACAACCCAGCCCCGGGGCAAACCGGGATGTTACATTGCACTTTGGGTTCATTCGGCATGCAGGTGTCCAGCGATGGCACAGCAGAACGTTCTACATTCATCCTTATCTGTGGGGAGATCGTCTGTCAGTTCACGAGGCAGTGAGTGCCATAGGTCTACCGACTGTACCAGGAAGGAACGTCTATGATGCTCATTGCGAGATAGAAGGGGCTGTTAGGTCCCTGTGCGGGCTTTCCTCACTTGCAAAAGAGGCAGCGATTTTTTGTCAAGTTGAAGAATGAGAGCCAGGAGTCTCATCGAGGAGACTTTGCGACGGGTAGACAATGGGGTCCAGTGGACCGCGCGCAGCAGCTGGGCTGTTCCGATATCCCGATAGGGAGGTGGTGGTGAAGACGATTGCTGGCGAAGGATGGTGTATTCAGCTCATTGTTGAATGCTCTCCAAAGCAGCTACTAAGTGTACTTGCACCGGATCCCAAATAGAACTGCAATACTCTAGAAGGGGGGAGGGAGCACTAGAGCAATGAAGAGGTGCTTCAGAGTCTGTGGGCCCATTCCCCTGGACACCCGCAGAGCAAATCCAAGCATCTTCCGGGACTTGGATACAACACTGCTTGCGTTCGGCTTTTGCATTCGGACGCGTTCGGCGAGTGCAGTGGAGATATTACTTATTTTGAATGCTCTATGAGACAGTTCAGTTATTTCATATTTCGTGTTTCTTAAATTTCAGGTACCAGCAGGACAGCGAAATGGTGCCTTCGTGACCGTTCGACTGTTTGCAGTTGGCATTTCACTGATAACTGATCCAGGGCTATTGCCTTCACCGATAAAACGCCAGTACGTCACTCCCGTGACGTACAGGCAATTTGGCAATTTGGTGCCGTAGAGGCCTCCTGCGTTGAAGCTTCGAACATATCATGGCGCCCTCCGGTGGTGGACGCTAGAGTGTCCGAATAGTACAAGTCCCACGGCCCCGCACAATGACAAACCTGTTCAGGTGGCTGTTTGCCTCTGCAAGCGGCTATTATTTGTGCGTTTGTGTGGTCACGACTCAAAATGTGCCACCCACGTAGTCATCACCACACATCGTTACCCCGGAGACCCGAGCTCGCTGCAAGCTAGTAATTCTTCCTTCGTCCAAGCACGTCGGGACCGGGAGCAAGAAGCGCAGCCAACGTCTCCATCGATGGTACTGTTGCATTGTGAACTGTCAAAAACAAGAAGGGCTTAACCCCGGAGTAAACTTTTACAGATTCCCATTGAAACCGTGCAAAGTCGAGCGGAGGGAATGATACTAGCCGCCCAGCACACTGAGTAAGCTCGCCGTCCAGGTTGTTCTGCTAAACATGGCCACTCAATCAAGCGGCCGTGGCAGGCATTGAAACGTGTGTCGTGCAAATTTTACGAACATGAAAACGCTATACTGTCCGACCAGTGGAGTGATCTGATTAAACCACATGTTTTGCAATACGAGATCAGCAATAAAAGAGCTCGAGAAGCAGCATGCAGTGGGAACCCCTTGCTCGATTGACAGACGGCCGGTCGCCGCTCGATCGCTTGCGTCTGCTTTTGAGCGTTTTTGAGGTTGGTCATCAGCTGATCATGTTGGCTGTATGGTGCGACTGCAGTTTGGGAGTTTTTGCTTACAGTTACAAGGCACATTGCTGTATCTCATATTGCTTGCCTCAAGCTCGACATCATAGGAAGCTCGCTGTTCTTCCAAGTGACAGCGCTTCTACACCATATTTACGGCTTCTTGTACGGTATAGACGCAGCTTGCAGTAGCATGCATTGCTGAGTTTCTTCTCTTTAGGAAGTGTTGAGGAGTGTAAGAAGCTTTCCACGTTAGAAGTTGGCTTGATTCCGCGCCGTAAAACAATCACAAAGGGAAAAAATTCATACTGCCGGCTAACGTTTTCACGCGGGACAAATTCAAATGCGCAAGTTCGTACTAACCAATATCAATAAACAAATCGTAGAAGGCGTTACAAGCCAGTGTTTCCCAGTGCCGTATATGTAGAGAGTTTGGCCATTTGTTGGGAAGTATAGGAGACAAACAAGGAGACGCCATTGGCCGAAAGAAGGCTGGGCATGTTCCAGGGCATCTTCACAAACTCGAATGTGGCCATTCAGGAGCCGGAAATAATACCCTGGTGGTGGTCGCGAGAAACAAACCTGATAACTGCGTCGGAGTAACTCTCGGTGACTGAAAATATGATGCACGTGATGTTTCAATCATGGTCATCAAAAATCATGGTGGAAGAGTGTGACTAGCGAAACGATCGACATAATCCGTACGGCAAGCGCCGAAGGCCGGGAATCTGCCGTCCGAGTGGTCACACACTATCCAAGCAAAACAGAGTTCGAGCTGCGCGTTCGTTTCTTACATATTTCTGCATGATCATGATCGAAACATCACGTGCACCCTATTTTCAACCACAAAGGGCTACTACACTTCACTCTTACATGCTACCAACATAAACCTTGGACCAAAGCAGTTTCTCGCTACCACCGCTAGGGGATTCTTTTAGGCTTCTGGTTGGCCAAGGGAGCATGTCTAGCCCACTTTCTTTGTCTGGCGCACGCCCTGGCTCTGCCCGCACCTCCCATTGACCAAACTCTCTGTATACACTGCTCTGGTTTTTCCGCAGCACCTCCTGGGCAACACAGAAGGCCTGCCTAGTGACCGCTCGACTGTTTGCAGTCTGAATTTCACTGATGATAACAGCGTCGGCGTTCAGATAGCAGTCGGCTTATCGAGTTCCATTACTGTCGGTTGACGGAAGTGGTTAGGAGCCAGCCATATAACACAGTCGGCGTTAAAATATTCTATGAAAGCTTCTAAGCTCGGGAGAGCAGATGTTGATTTTGCTCAAAAACAATTTAGATACTGATCACCCAGAATGTAATCAATGCCTAGAGTGCCGAACAGACTGCAAGCAGCACAAGCTTTCGCGACACCACAATTTCCTCACGTTTGTGAACATGATCTACTCATTAAGTTTCTTTTATTTGTGTAAACATTGTAAATATTAAGGACCAAACCTTGGTCACTACAATCAGGCAGCGTCAAAAACACCAATCAATGGGCCTTTTCCGTTTTATGATTACCTCTGTAACGGTAGAATACAGAGAAACGTGACAAACGCTACGATGATACGCTTCTGACGCCGTACGATTGGTCCCTTCAGCTCATGGCGTCGGCTGCGTCTGGACTTGCGGTGTAATTCAAGAATTACACAACATAGTGTAATTCAAGAATTCAGGGTCACTAAGTTGACCAGCCTAGCATACACCGTCTCCGAAACAAGGTGCTGGCCAACATTAGTTTCTCCAATGCTCACAACCATTTTTCACTTTTGCGAATTCCTCAAACTCCGTTACTTGATCAGGCAAAGGCCGAAGGCAGAAAATTTCCAGGGTAGCCGTACTGGTGTCGATTTTTGGCAACGAAATCGCGTGCACAAAGCAGGAAGAAAGGAAGGCTGGGCTTTTAATTCTGTAGGACTAACTGACACGACAAAATACAGAAAAGGAACGCGTGCAAACTGTTCGACCTGGCAGACCGGGGAAAAACAAGAAACTTTTTTGCTTTTTTAAGCAGTGCATTGTCCACCTTTCTCGACGAAAGCTCACGACCGCAGAAACGATGTGAACGAGCCGTTCAGTTTCGAAACGACGGCAGAGTGGGACATTCTGCGTCGTATATCAAAGTGTGCTACGCAGCAGCTCGCAGTAAACACTTCATTTGTGGTCTAGCCGCCTCTGGTGTTCTCCCCCAAAGTAGTAATTTGTTTATTCTTTAATTACGACGAGCAACATCGGCAACACACCAAGAGAAAATTCACTTCTCTGGATTCAGTTCCGTTTGAAACGGACCGTCAGACAGCATGCGACCTCGATGCCACGTGAAGTCGAGCAAAAGTGGCAACATAAATCTGCACTGCTCATTGTCACAAATTTTCACAAAATGCTGACTGGTTTCTGGTCTTGCAGGTGTTTTTACAGCCATTCACAAGTTGAACGGCTCTCAAGCAATCTTTAGGAAAAGCCATTTTTATACGGGTAGAAAGGTCTGCACTCCTGACTTGTTTCCACAGGTTGTGGGCTGGATTAGTTTTTCGTGCTTGCAGTTCACGGTCCTGCTTCACAGTCTATTCAGCATCCATGTATTTGGACTTAGTATAACAAACGCTCTACTTCAGACACCTCCAAGACAACAGAATGCAACTGCAGTTGATCATGTTATAGCCGCAATGATTTTTAATGTCGAAAGAATTTGCAGCTTGTTTCCTTTTGTATTGTTTATCTTGGCACAAATGAAAGTAAACACGCTGCCTTCCTTCTAGATAATGCGATTCCACCGTGTAATCGCAAAGGAAGACAACGCATTGTTTCCGGACCTGCAGCCGCCTGGAAAGTTTTGTGGCACCATCCAACGGTCATCAACGAAACCGTTCCCTCTCCACTGCTAACCTCCCTGTCAACTCTGTGGTGAACTGTCTTTTGTCTCAATTGCTCGCCACGACCTTTCTCGATGCGGTAGCCAAACAGGACTTTGAAAAATCGATGGCGGTTGTGGAAGGCATTGACGACGAAAAGCCCGATTGAAATCCTGTACCCCCATGATGTCGCTCGAAAGATGGTTCGAGAGCTGAGGGGGTATCCTAAACCTTTATTTGCTTATGACTTTTTCTTAAATAAAAGCTAGTGCACGAAAGGAAAATAATTGATTTGCATTCTTCCTTCTATGGGTGACACAGACCGATTCTCGCAATCAATTGGCCAAAGTCTGAAAATCGTTGCACCACCCCTTAAAAATATAAGATTCTCAGAAAAAAACCTCCAAAAACATTACCTGTTTTTTTGTAATGCATAACGCTCTTTTATTCAAATCCTCTCACGTGGTTTGAAAAGGCAGATCGAACCTCAAACTGTTCATAACAAAACCAAGCTTGATTACAGGCATTCAATAACTCTAAACTCCACACACACACAAAGACTGAAAAGCGTTAAAAATGATCGTTACGGAGAGTCTGGCAAGACTACCCGAACAAGGAATTAACCGCCCTCTATGAATGTCGAGTGAGCTTGCAAGGACAGATTTGCGAGCCCAACCATGCAACTTGCACAGAGTCACTCTCGCGAATACTGACCAAACTTTTCAGATGACAGCTAAAAATAAAGAATGAATTTGAAAGCTTTTAAGTCGCACAGAGCTCTACTCGCACCATAAAAACAGTGTCGCCCGAGGGCTCCGTAGCGCGGATCAGTCCTGCAAGCTTCCAGAAGAGCTGGTGTCAGCCAGGAGTCCCACAGGCGTTGGGACAATGTCGGTGACCTTAAGGTACTGCCGAATGCAAAGCCAATTGTCAAAGCCAATCCGATCCAGCTGAACTCTGCCACTCTCACCACAAACCACGGCGGCTCTGACGACTCCTGCTTCCACCAGGAAGTGTTCATCGAGATAGCGGGAGCTGCTCGCAATCTTCCCCTTGATCTCGTCCTCTGGTTCGGCGAGTGCCTTCTTCAGCGCTTCGACAAGGGTGGAGCCCTTTGACACCCGTTCGAACGCTTCGGCATAGCGCCTGCCTCGCGACCCAGTCACAAACTGCACGGCGCGATGCAGAGTGGACAGGTTCCGTCGCAGGAGCTCCTGGACCCCAAACTGAAAGGTCGGCGTGCTCAGCACGTTGAGCTTCTTTAGGACCTGCCTGTGGATGCCATCGTAGAACATGTCTAGACTCTGCGTGGGGTTCCGTTGAATGGCTGCCCTCAGAAGGTAGTGGTTCTGCAGCAGACCGTCTGGCACACGGTCGAGCACCGGGCTCTGCGGGAAGTCCAGGAGTTCTAGGGTCAACGTCTTCAAGGTCCTGCTGCTCCTCAGCATGCGCCAAAGCAGGTCAGCCTCCGGTGCTTCGACTGTCCAGAAGCTGACGCTCAGATCCGTGAGGCTCCTGTTGCCCGCTAGTCCCTCCACGAGAATCCGCGACGACGCCGCAGTGGCGAGGAACTCGAAGGTTGCACACCTGAGGCTGCTTGTGGTCGACAGAAGGAGTGCGAGCGAAGTCGCGGACTCCATTTCGATTGGGCGTGGCAACCCGATGCGAAGCTCGTGGAGGCAACGGTGATGAAGCAGGTGACGAAACGCGCCGGGCGGCGTTAAGCCAGCTGCTTCCCTGTTGGAGTAAGCCACCCTTGTCAGGCTAGTGGAGTTCTTCAGCCCTTTCTCAAAATCTTGAGGATCGTGTACGTCGGCGTCAATAGCCAACCTTCCTTCGGTTCCCGTCTCCCGCATGAGTAAAACGATGTCGTTGAAGTAGTAATATGAACTTCCCTTAAAAGTGACTAGTTGAAGCGACTGGTTGCGAGCCAGCGCTTGCAGAAACACTCTGTAGTTGGGGACGTCCATGTCTGGAAGACCGAGGGTTAACTTCTGCATTGTGGTGTTCTTGGGGATAGCCTCTGCGAATTTGGGGATGCAGGAAACGGTGCTGCCTGAAAACACCAGTTCGCGAAGACCCGTGTTGCGCCCCACTAGGTTGGCGAGGGCAGTTCCATCGATTTCCCATTCCCTGAAGCCATCGTAGAACCCCACTTCCAAATACCGTAGACCCGTGTGCTGCGCAGCTACCTCCGCGAGCAACCGCTCTGCCTCCTCATGCAGCATAAACCCATCCAGACACAGCTCTTCGAGGCTGTTGTTCTTTCCCACTGCCATGAAGAGTGCGCATTCCTTGCTGTGGTAGCGAGGAGAATGGCACAAGGACAGCTTTGTCAAAGAGCTGCTCTCCGTAACAAACTCTGCAAAGCCCTCACCTGATGCAGGAACCAAGATAAAATTGTCAGAGGAGAGTACCGCAAGTTTCGGGCAACCTTTTAAAGCTTTGACAAATTGCGTGATACAACTGAGATGACTGGCATTACAGACATCCATATCAACGGAAGGTAGTTTGAGGGTCTTAAGCGTCGAAATCCTCTGGAGGGCATTTCCCAGGCAGCCCAGAGCACTTGGCGGCAAGTAAACGAGCTCCATGTCCAGCTCTTCCAGTTGTGCAAGCGTGCCGATGGCAGAGATGATGTCCTTGAACGCTCGTTTGGCCTGCCAGTTATGCAATGTCAACTTCTTGAGGCCAGAGTTCAGGTGCAACGCATCGGACAAGAGTCTCTGATACTTGGAGTCTATCAACCAGGGGAGGATCAGGGTTTTGATGCAGCAGTGCTCCCGAAGTAGCCAGTGTAGCAGGGACCACCCTTTGATGCAAGACCCTTGGTCAGCACCTACTGGATAGTGCACTTTCAGGGGAAACAAGCCAAATTCTCCGGGGTCACCTTCCTTTAGCTCCATGTCCAGCAACTGTAGAGAGTCATTGTATACAGTGAGATGGTCCGCGATGTGGCAGAGTTTACTGCCATTTGCGGAGCAAGGTGAGAGAAACTCTGCGTTCGTCCTAGTGTCGACGGCGTCGAGGAACGAAAAAATGTCCTCGGCAGTTGAAACACCAGGACATTGCTGGTTGACGCAGGCAGCATGTTGGTGTAACTTTTCACGGTTCTTGGTCGTCGTGCTATGGGGTACAAAGAAAGAATTGCCTACATCAAAATCTAGCGCCGTTTTTTATGGGCGGATAGTGAACGCGGAGTTCCAGGTCTAGCCTCAGGTAACTTGCTTGAACCACTAGTCTGCAGTATAAAATAAATTTAAATAAACAAAAAAACTAGCACAGCAAGACGGCTAGTTGGTGCAATCTTTGTTCTCTCAGTGGTGCTATGAGACGTGTGACCATACGTTCTGTGAGTGGCATTGTGCAAGAATTAATTAAAACTTCGACATAGCTTCGCACTTCGTAACAAGCAACGCTCTCGTAGCTGTGTGGCAAGAACTCGGCACAAAGCGTAAGTTGCAAAGTGCAACTTACGTTGTTTGTTCCAACGGGCGCTTTCTCAGCCGAAAAGGCATCCGAAAAGGCATCCGCGCCCGTCGCCTAACGCAAAACGGAGCACGGACAACACGGAGCTGACGGAGCCGACGGAGCGGCTTGGAGGTTGGATTTTGGATTGGATTCTGATCAAAGCGCCGTGCGTCGTCTGCTACGGGCGCACGTTCAGAAGCATGGATCTCGACGACGCAGGCCCGTTTCCGGCTGAGCTGGGCCCTCCTCAATAAACGCTTGTTGTTTTTGTTGTTGTTTCTTCCTACTAAAGGTTGTGTGATATCGCTCACATGCGTGAAAATTCAGCAAAGCGATTATCATTATGTCGGAAGCTTCCATAATCTTAGCGTTGTGGTTTGTACACAACCGCTGGTCCCACATATTTTGTTAACTCGCACAAATCATAGCTTTCATAAAACATTGAATGTTGATTGAAGCATGTAATTTGCATAAAAAAAAACGACTGATCGCTACTTTTTAATTTATCGGATTTATCAATTAATAAATCCGTTAGTTCATGTTTCACCAGCCATATTGCATAAAAAAACGTTAAAACTACACTTTTTTTTTTTACTGTTACCTACAGAAATACAAACACGGAAAGCCTTTAGTATTTTTCAAGTTATTATTTAAACAGTATAATCACCCTCGATGACAATCACAAGCATGCTGGAGTGGTTTACCGTGCAAGCCTGTGTCCTAAAAGAAATAAAGACGTCAGAAATATTAAAGCCGGCATTTTTTTTTTTTTTTTTTTACTTTTTCCTGACTTTCTTCAGCACAAGAATTAAACGGCAAATTAAAGCATCACTTGAATAATCTGAAGGTAAATCGATGAGCTGCCCGGTCCTGATATGCGTTAGGTGAGGGCAGGGAGGGGGGGGGGGGGGGGGGGGGGCGCAAGCGCCCTCTTTGCCCGCCCGGTTGGTACGCCCATGGCCCCAAACCAACGTTACTAAAACACTCAGTTGGGAAACTCGCCGTCGAACCCTGGGCCGCTGGCGTCCACCGAGACCGAGCTAAATGCGACAACAGCGCCACTCTTTTTCGTTTGTCTGTACTATGGTCACCTCGAGCTTTTTGAAAGCCTGCTTTTTGCGTAAAAACAAACGGAAAAGACTCTTTTTGTATGAAATTTATTGGAGTTTAGTACCAAATGATGGGCGCGTGATGTTTTTATCATCTTTAATTCGCAAGGTTTTGCGGAACAATTAATATTGTTTTTATAAAACCATGCCTCAGCGGGCCTTTCAGGTAGCGCGTCCGCCGGAGAGACGGGGGTTCACCCCTGTCAAAGCCAGAAATAGAAGTCACGTGCAGTTTCTCGAGTTGCCGCTGCGGGAGAAATGGTGGCGTTGTGTTCGTCATTAGCTCGGTGCTCGGAGACAGATTGGGGTCATATCTTTAGGGCTGTCTCTATGGGAGTTTCCCAACTGAGTGTTTTAGTAACGTTGCTCCAAGCCAAACCGAACTGCTGAACCAACGGCAGAACCCTTTTAATCGGACGGCGCCTTGCGCCATCTAGCCGAGACAAATTCGAAACGACGCGCGCGCCTCTGGCGGTCTTCATTTTCCTTTCTCCTCCATCGTCTGCTTCTGCGGCTCGCGGGCTGTCGTCTGCTATCTGGTTCCGCACTCGCGCGCAGCAGAGCGCGTGCGGCGTCGTGTGGTGTGGGTGTCCGTGTTTTCCAGCCTGTGTTTTCTCGCCGCGCTCGTCGGCGGGCTGTGCTCAAACCGCAACGTGCGGGGTTCGTTCTCGCGCTAGGCCTCGGTCATGGGTCCGGCTAGCGACGCCGATCCTTCGCGGCCCCGCGACCGCCACCGAGAAGTCACCGGTGCGTTGACGCGACAAGCGACACTAGTCCGTCGCTGTCGGGACTTTTACGCCAGGCGACTTCGACAGTCTGAACTGCTGCGGCGAAAGTGGCACGAAGGCAGCGGCTCGGACGGCGACTGTTCGTCGACGACGTCCACTTTGTCGTCCGCGTCTTCGTCGTCTGCTTCTTCGTCGTCTGCCTCTGCCGCCGAAAAGGATAACACGTCGTCGCCGGAGTGCCGACTCGCTGGCGGTTCCGACGAGCAGGCTGGCTGGCGAAAGTCCAGCTTGGATCTGGCCATGGATTCGCTACGCAGAGAGATCGTGAGTTATCTCGCTTGTTTTGTGTGCGTACGCCGTGAATACCTTGGGATTGTCTCTCATTAAGGCGCAATAGCACGTGAGAGGGCTTGATTAGTAAAGGTCTGGCCGCAGAAGAGAGACATGGCCATCTTGACTCGACACAGGCTTGTTTACCATCTTCCGGTGCACTTGGCATGGTGATTCGAATGAGTAATGACGACAGTTATTAGCGCTCAAATTATGGTCAGCGTGATTGCCGCTGCATTTCAGCTACGCTCCTCTTTCCAGTTAGTTAGAACCACTGCCTCGTGTTAAAAGACAAATTACACTGTTTCGTCATCGTCAAGGAGATATGTTCTTCATATCCACAAAATTGATCATTTAAAGCTTAAAAATAAATTTATTTCGAATTACCTGTAATTCGTAATGACGCGCACGTATTTTTAAGCGAATCGACGTCCCGCTACTGCAACATAAGCGCTCAACATCACTTTTCCGTTGTTTATCGGGTCAGGACTGAATTAAATTTAACCTATGCGACTACAGATTACTTCTACTGAGACTTTGCATTATTGATCGATATATAATACGGTGGAATTTTCTTAGAGACACGCGACATTGTTAGCGGAGACACGACATAGCTGCATTTTTTGCGTTTTCACTCAAATTTACTGCTTTACCGATCACTTTCCTCAAATTCTAAAAGAAACACAGAAAAACCAGCCGATTGCTTGTTCCCGCTATCAATGTACTGTTGTGACTCGCGAGCAACGAGCAAAGGTATAAATTAGCAAATCCGCGTGACTGCTTCCCTTTTTTAATCACAACATAATGTTTTCTCCTGTACTTTATTTATTACGTAAGTACTACATACTACTTCTTCATGGTTCATGAACCCCTGTAGGTACTACTTGACATGGAATTAAAGTGCGACTGATTCTGAGTCAATCACGTTTAAAAAAAAAATCGACATACGCTGACCGAAGCGTAGCTCAGCAGCTGAAATTCGCTTTCCATTTCCACCGCTCGCGGGTAATCAAAATAAATAAACTTTACTTTTTTTTTTCGCTGACACATATGTGTGTTGCTATTCTACTTGGTCCACTGCTCGCTCATCTCAAAATGAGGTGAGCAACAGTAGTGATGTGGCTGTTGCGCCAAAGTGCTTACTGTGCTGCATCATCCTGCTACATTTGACCGAAATATGAGGAACGATATGCTTATGCGAGTTTTCATAACTTTTGGTTATCGCCTCAGATATTGCACTATTCGATTGCATTTCGTGTCAAAGAGTGACAGTACCCCGAGGTATCGCGATAATTCTCATGTTCGTGGTCTATTCTGGAGGGTTAGTTAGTTTCGTTGAGTGCGCTTCTCAGCGCGCACTGGTGTACTGCAGAGAAGCGGCAACCGTAAAATAGGCGTCGCGATTTTGCGCGTCTTGCTTCGCCGCAGCGCACCCGCGTGCTAAGGGGAAAGCACTTCTCCAGAGCGAAACACGACACAATTTCTGAAGGCAACTTCGGTTTGATCTTTTTACCAATTACAGATCCAGCAAGAATACTTTGGCGTACTTTGGCGTTGCAAGAAGATTTATATATGCACTGTTTTGTAGGTTTACTTTTTTATGCCAACTCTTTTGTTTGGTTATCACTCTTTTATAAATGTGAGTAAATTAGAACTAAATTGGCAGGATCAGTGTATGGAAGCTTGGAAAGAACCTTCACGAGTTCAGTGGGGTTGTTTTTAAGACGACGTGTTAATCGTCGCATGCCCATTTTTGTTATGAAGTTATGCGTGTAAAGCGTAATCGACGTTCGTTCTCATATGACTTTGTTTCTTAGCTGAGTTATAAATTGCACTTTTATTACAACCTTTAGAACTCGAAGGAAACATTAATTTAGGCGCTGAATCTTATTGTGTTCTAACATTATTTAAGTGTAGTTCAATACGTAAAATATCCATTCATAGCAGTTTGTGTTTACGGAGTCATCAGTCATATTCTTGTTACGGTGCCTGGTGCTTATCCACGCGACTAAACGCTCGTTCTGTATTTGAGGGAGTTTCTCCTGCTGGTGCAATCGATGCTAACTGAGGCTTACACCCAAGTGAGAAGGCAAAGTAGACACTGCCTTTTAGTTGGACGAACCGACCACATTGATCTTAACATAATATTTTCAGTGGTATAAATGTTACAAAAGTTCCTTTTGCTGTTCCAAAATTGACTTTTGACTGCTCCAAGAGGTGCCCCAAAATGACCGATACGTACCGATCTCATTACTGCAACAGCAGTCAACACCAAGAACATGCTGAGCGCGGCCGTGTCTTGACAAGACATTGGTTAGGATGGAGGTTAAACTAAAGCTTGTAATGACCTTTAATATGCGAACAAATGCGGTACGAGGTACGACATACCAAGTCCTTCGATACTTTGGTGCCTTACAAGCAGCAACAGCCAGCACACATGACGAAGCACATTTTACTAATTGTATATAGCATCCTCGTTATATATATAGTTCCGCAGTGAATCGCTAATGCTAAAAGGTGCGGGTGCGCTTTTAACGTGGAGCTCGAAAGCGAACCCCGGATAAAAGCGTGGCCGCGAGGCTCGACACCGATTGGTTGACGGATGGGAGAGGAGGAGTGAAGTGCTCGATGCTGATTGGTTTACGGGGAGGTCATGTGACCAAGTGAGGAGGAGAAGTGCAGGCGAGGTGGGAGAGGAAGAGTGGGTTAGAAGGTTCTGGACGATCACCAGGTTTATCATTTCAAGTGTACGCATGCTACGCGTTAAATTATCGGACAAAGAGCGCCGTGAATGTGGGCGTCTGACCGAACAGGCTAGGCGTGCTGCTGAACGATGACATAAACGTTTGTGACGCTGCAACGTTTCGCGTATGCAACACGATTGCTTAGCTATTTGCCATCCATTTTGTAGATCTCTTGTTTTTGAGACTGCTGTAAAGTTTAAGGTCACGTAAAAAAACGCTGTTCTTTTTTAATTTTAGTCTCCCAGACACATGCCTGTTTGGTATTATTATTATTATTATTGTTATCATCATCATCATCATACATTGAATCCTTAGCGCAAATAGCAGACGAACTGACAGTAGCACTTTCATTTCGAATAAAGGCCGGTACGTTTCGTAAATGCTTCGCTTTTGGAGTCTAAAACAACGTGGTCACGAGAGCCCCTCGCCTTTCTCTTCGCTTCTAAGAGCTCTTTTTTTTCAGTCTTTTTTTTTTTGCGTTTTTGTTTATTCTTATCATCTTCCATCGGGGTCCGACGCGCTGAATGAGCCGTTGGCCTTTGTGGGTCCAGTCGCTCTTTCGCCGAAAGATTGGAGAGATGAACCGACAGGTTGGGTCACGTGACTTCTTTCTAGCCTTTTGTTCCCCTAATCTCTGGTCATCCGTCGTTTCCTTTTTTGGTCGTACGCGGAAGGAGAGAGCCTGCTCCTTTTCGGCGCCATCTCCATCTCACATCTTTCCTAGCCATTTTTTTGCTCTCTCTTAATCGACTCTTTGAAATAGGAGCAATCGACGGCACCTTTCGTTTGTTATTATTTTTTTCGCGGGCTTTCGAGGAAACAAACTTCTCCGTACTGATTCAGCAATTCGAGCGCGCGAGGACTACCTGCCATATCTCCGCCGTGCTTCCGTGTGGTGGGCGAGATTCGAATATATTCTATTGGCTGGTGGTACGAGTTGGACCTGAAGGAAGAAGACCGCAACACGCACACGTGGTCACATGCGCACATGCACCCACACACAGACAGGCACGCATCCACGCGCATACCGACAGCTACACACATACCCGCAGGTACATATATACAACAGGCACATGCACTATAAAAAAAAAAAAAAGCATGATATTGACCACCGGCTTCTACAAGTAGTCGCAGCCTACATGCACGTGACATAGCGTATTTTGTGATACCGATACTTCTTCTCGTTTACTCCGCTGCTGTGTGCCGCCTAAAGTTCTTCGATAAATGCGCACTTTGTGCTTGACACAAGTACCGACATTTTTTGTATGCGCCCACCGCGTGATGTACGTGGTTGCGCGCACAGCGGAAGGTGGAAATGAAAGGCGTCTGTTCGCTCGCGGTTATAAAACTTGTAATGCGCTTCGTCATGTGTCTTGGTTGTCGTTACTTATAAAAGAAAGTATCAAGGCGACCTCCCCCAACACACACAAGCAAACACTTCCTTTTTCGAACCTCAAGGTCAATTTTTTTTTGTTATTAAAAAAATTCCGTATACTTGTTTTTTGTTTAGGAAAAAACACCTATAATAGTTCTTGGTGAAATGACAATTACCTACGTCTGTGACGTTAAATGTGTTGGTGAGTGTATCCACAGCACCCCCCCCCCCCCCCCCCCCTTCCCTGGGCTTTGTGCCGCAACGCTCAGTGACCCAAGGGCTGTCACAAGAGGGAGGAAGCTCGGCCACACCGAACACGTTGCCCCCGCGTTCCATCTAAATGCGCCAATCAAGAAGTTCAGTGATAATTTAGACGTTCCGAAACAATCACGATGGTATTTTGATCGGTTGCCGCCAGTAGGACCATTAATGATAGTGGCTGTACGGACGTTTCATGGCTGTCATTAGAGGCTGTGGCACTTTCCAAGCCCTGGGATCGTATATAAGTATATGCCTATCTTTGTTTTGATTTCGGAACTTAAAGGACGTTGCCTGACGACGTTAGCAGCGTTCGTGGGGTGATTTGACGCGAACAATCTCAGCCTCCGACTGCTGCGACTCGCGAAAGCTCCGTGGCCATTTGAAGGAGCGCCAAGTCGCCTAGCTGCCCAAGCATCCTTCCCACGATATGCAGATCGGGATAAGCGGGGTCGACACGCGATAAAGTTGACTGCCAGAGACGCGTGATGTGCGAAACTGGCGAGCACGCGCCGTAACTGCACGGATGCGGAAGCGTTCTTTTTTCGGACCGCCGCGGTTGAATATACTCCCAATCTGATAAGAAGAAAATTGTGCGGTTTCTAAAAGGTACCGAA